CCACCACGGAAGGTCGACACGGAAAGCTTCATACGGAATGTTATCAACACCAGGTGCCTTGCCTGAGGCACAACCGGCCAACACGGTTTGCATTTCATGGAGCGAGAAAGGATCCCCGGAGTTACCAGGCAGCAATAAAGAAAGTCTGAGCTCACGAATGCGTCTGACACGACGCTGCACACGAGCATACTGGCGATGGTCGAACCCTGCGGGATTCTGCAAACTAACATGCCTGAAATGCTCACGCCAATCATTTAGACAAGCTTGTTGCACACTGGGGTTGGAAGAAGAACTTGGACACAGATCTCGTGCAGCACGAGCGGTGTTTCGACGAAAGCGACGTCGAACTTTACGGGCAGCAGCACGGGGACAACGTGTTGTCAGAACCTCCAGGTCCTGCAACCAAGACGACCAAAACGACTGCTTGGCCGCACGAACTACACGATGGAAGTTATTCCTAGCGACCCTGAAGGTAGTCTGGCTTTGGGCACTGGGGTTGCGACGACTTTCACGCCAAGCGGCATTGCGGGCAAGCAAAGCGTTCATGCACGCATCATTCCACCAAGACGGTTGTTGCTTGCGGGGGTCCTCTCCTGATTGAGAGTAAAGCGAACCATCAGCATGCCACAACATGTGCAGAAGCTGATCATAAAGATCATCCAAGCGTTTGCGCAACTCAGTTTTTGGAAGCAGCGGTGGGTCATGCAGTAATTGCTGCACTTGGCTGCTCCAGGACTGAATTTGAGGCTGTTGCGTAATCAACAATTTTCGCCAATCACGGACGTGTACGGTAGGCGGCGGTTTGCACTGGACAATGCTTGCTTGCTTATGCAATGTTATCATTAAGGCAAAATGGTCACTACCCAGCAATGGGCAGCAAATCCGGCGATCCTCACATTGACAATGCATGCCATTATGAACTTCTGCAGACATCCTTCCGTATGCTCGCGCTCATGATGCTGCAGTCTGGGCCGTCGTTGCCTCTTTGCTGGGCGACCCGGGGCCCAGCGACGGCGACGACTGGGCAGCTGCGCGCCAGGTCGCTTTTCTGCCGCCGAGCCTCGGGGGGCTCGGCCTCTTCGCGGCTGAGCGGGTGTCGCCGGCTGCTTACTGGGCGGCGTGGGCAGATGCACTCCCGGTATTGCACCAACGATACCCCGACGCAGCAGACAGGCTCGTGCGCGAACTCGAGGGCGAGCCGGTCTCGCCGTGCCTGCGTGCCGTCGCCGACGCAGCACGCCAGCTCACTGGCGTTGGCTGGGCGCGTAGACCGGACTGGGCTGCCTGCGTTCAAGGCGCCGTGGCCCCCACCACTGACGGCGAGCTAGGGCTTGGAGGGCCCGGCTGGCAGCGACAAGCGGCTCTCGCACTTCACACTTCCTTTAGAGTTTAGAGACCGCGACTTGCTCCCAGCCTTGACTCCTTCAGCTCGTGCCCTCCTTCACTCCCAGTCCGGTCCGCATGCGGGAATGTGGCTGGCGGCCATCCCTTCTGATGCGGCGACTACACTCACGCCCGACCTCATGCACCTCGCGCTGAGGCGTCGCCTGCGCCTGCGCTTGCCCATAACAGGCCGGCACTGCGGCGCGGAAGGCCGCCATGGCTGTGGAGCTGAAGTCGATGCCTACGGGGACCATCACCTCGCCTGCCCCCGGACCGGCTTGTTGCCAAGACGCGGGTTCGTTGTTGAGCGAGCCTGGGTGCAGGTCGCTCGCGAGGCTGTTGGCCCGGAAGGTCGGGTTGTCCCGCAGCAGTGGCTTGCGCGCACTACTGCGCCGCAAGTCCACGCCGACGATCGTCGCCGCCTCGACTTCGTTGTCTACGGAGCGACGACTAATGGCGAGGCCTTGTGCTGCGACGCCACGCTGGTGTCCCCACTTACCCGTGCTGGTCGCCCCGTCTCGGGTGCTGACACGCGGGCGGGAGTCGCACTTGCTGCGGCGCGACGACGCAAACTCGCGCGCTACCCGGAGCTCACCCGTGGCGGGCCTCAACGGCTCGTTGTCCTCGCTGCTGAAGTCGGGGGGCGCTGGAGCGACGAGTGTCAGCAGTTCCTCCGTACTTTGCTCCGGCTCCGGGTCCAACGAGCCCCGCCGCCGTTGCGAGCCTCCGCAGCCCAAGGCTGGGCACGCCGCTGGTGGAGTGTGCTGTCGGTAGCCCTGCAGCGAGCCGTTGCCAGCTCTGCGCTTGGAGTCTGGTCCATGCCGCCGCTGCCTGGAGCGCCTGACGTGCTTCCACTTGGCGACGTGCTTGCTCTTGCGGATGCGAGCGCCCCCAGTCGGCTGCCGCTCCGATAGTGCAACGCACTAGGGACCGAGGGGTAGTTTAGACGGCGTTGGAACAGTTCGCGCAGACGCAAAAAGGCGCGGACAAAAAAAAAAAACAAAAAACTTCGACATGATGCACAACACCAGGAGATGCAAACACTAAATCTAGGGCGGCGCCATGCCGATGGGTCGGAACTTCTACTTGGTTTTGAATTTTCCAAGTTGAACGTATCAAGGAGTAGCCGGATCAACTCCATGCGGTCAGCGTTTCGGGGAGGGTGCGAGTTAATGAGACCCGGGAACCAAACATTAGAATCACCAGCAATGACGAGGAGAACCCCTGGCAAAGCACGAACTACATCAGCAACAGAGGCAAACAATCTTTGCCAGAAGTCTGTACGCACGGACTCCTGACAGCCAACATGCGGTGCGTAAAACGAAGCGAATGCAATGCTAGGAGATGTGTCTCCTTCGCTCAAAAGCCTCCACTGGATGTCGGTTTGGTCACGAATACACTGGATGGGCGAAAGACGAAACGAGGCGTCCTCACGATGCAGGAAACCAACATCTCGTCCACGAGAGCCATTAGGCCCGTCAAACAGGTAAGGCTGATCTTCAGGTAAAGTTGTGTCAGCCGGGCAAAAAGGCTCTTGCAACAATGCAAAATGACAACCTTGCTCACGAAGAAAATGCGAGAATCCATGAAAGCCATCATGTAACCGACCGGAAACGGACCAAAGTCTATTGCAGTTGAAGACAGCCAGGCGACACATGCCGGGCGCATCGGGGTCGCCTGCAGTCACCGAGCGCCCACACCGTTTCTGCGAGATTTTTGTAGGCTACACTAGGAAACCTAGGTAAGTAGCTGTACAGTGTAGAGAGAAGAGGGTTTGAGCTAAAGGGCTTTAACCTGACTGCGACTCACCGCAGCCCTCTTTTGCAGAGTGAAAATAGTGAGCCCAATACGCGACCCAACCTCCGCGCATGGTAGCGGAGCTGGTTCGGTAGGCCCCGACGCTCCTAGGGTGCGCGGGCCGAACCGCCACCCACCAGCCGCCACGTCCGAGTGGTGGGGCTGGTGGGACTGGGACTCCGACTGGAGTTCCCAGTGGGACTGGAGGACCTCCCAGCAGGAGGAGGCCTCTTCCAGTCACGCACCAGGAGGTGCCAAGGGGAGCGGAGCCGCTGAAGCTCCAGCTCGACCGCGCCGCCCTCTCATAGGCGAGCGCACCGAAGCCCCGAACCAAAACCGGGGCAGAACAGCCGAGCCCGAAAAGGGCAAAGGCAAAACCGGCCCGAGTGCGGGCCGCCCCGCCTCGGAGTCGGGGAGCCGAACCCCCCGTCGCGGGGAGAAGGGAGCAGGGAAGCCCACCAAGGGCAAGCCTGCCAAGGCAGCTGCGCAGCCCGCGAAGGGCAAGGCAGCACAAGCAAAAGGAGCAGAGCAGCCCGCGAAGGGCAAGCCAGCTCCAGCAGGCAAGTCCGGCAAGGGCAAGCCTGCGACCCAAGAGCCTGAACAGGGTTCTGGGAAAAAGAAGAACCACCGAGGTGGTCGTTCCCAAGCGGCCCGCGCCAACCGCGAGGCCCGCGGCGCCGAAAGGCGCGAAAGAGAGGGTACAGACCCGGTCGTCCTCGTAGAGGGCCCGGGGACTGATATCCCAGAGCCGCGCACGCCGGAGGAAGCTCCTGCAGGTGCCGGCCAGGCCATTCAGAGCCCAAGCTCTGAATCCTCCTTGGACACCGCGGCGGTGCCCAAGGCGCCAGTCTTCACAGGCCCCGTGCCTGGCGAGGACACTCCAGACTTCGGGGGAAGCAACTCCGAAGGGGAGCGGGAAACCCCGCCCGCTGCTGCTGCAGCTTCTTCCTCTAGCGGGGTCACCCCTGCTAAGAAGGAAGAGCCGGCAGAGCGGGTTGCCCCGCCTGCCTCCGCAAAGGCTGTCGCAGAGCCAGCCGAGGAGGCAAAACCAGAAGCCTCACCGAAGGCCGCGCCCAAGGCGGCCGAGGCAAAAGAAGAGAGCTCTGGAAGCCCCAGCTCCGAAGCTGGGCAGGAGCAAGCAGTCCCGGCGAGTGGACCCACGGAGGCCACCCCGGAGGCAGAGCCGAAGGCCCTACCGAGAGGTGCTCCGGCAGCCAAAGCACCGACGGTGAAGCCGCCACCTCACTTGGGACCACCGCCTCCACTGAAGGAGGAACCCAAGGCCGCACAGCCAGGGCCAGCAGAGCCCGAGGCTGCGGTACCTCCCGCGCCTCGGGAGGAAGCTCCGGAGCAGGAGCAAGAGCCCACCTCGCCGGCCGACGAAGGTGAGGAAGAGGAGTCCGAAGAGGAGAGCTCCGAGGGCCAAGGACCGTGCCAGTTCCTGAACGGACTCAGGCACGCGGCTCGCAACAGGCCAGAGACCCCTTGGGAAGGCAACCCAAGGCTGGCAGAGCAGTACGGAGAAGCCCTGGTCTTGCTAGACGAGATCAACCAGGCTATCTTCGACGCCTCAAGAGATGAGCCAGCAGCCGGCTTATCCGCCCCCGCAGGGCGACCCCGTGGTCGAGGCTCTGCGCGGGGAAGTCGCAACCCTTAGGGGGTTGTTGGAGAGCCAAGCGCAGCAGCTGCAGGCTGCGATTGGCGAGTTGTCGGCCCAGAAACAACAGGGCCTAGCTGCAGCAGCCGCTACGGCGGCAGCCGCCACGGCGGCACCCGCCCCTGCGTCGCAGGCGAGCGGTGGAGGGCACTTGCTCAAGAGCATGCGGCTCCCAACTTCCCTTAAGGGGAGAGACGACTGGGAGCGCTTTGCCTTTCAGGCAGAGTCTTACCTGGCGGTCGTGGACACCAGGTATCCAGCAGAGCTGGAAATAGCTCGAAAGTGCAAGGCGCCACTCCAAATGGCAGCCATGACCGAGGAAGTGCGGACCCTTAGCGTCCGCCTCTTCGGCATGCTGGGCAGCTGGACCCAGGACTCCGCCACAGCTGTAAAGCTGGCGCGCGGAGTGAAGGGCCAAAATGGGTTCGAGCTCTGGCGTCTCCTGTGGCAGGAGCATAACCCAGAGAACGAGTCCAAGAACCTCACCTGGAGGCGGACCCTGCTGATGCCGAAGTTCCCGCCAAAGGAGAGTGACTTCTCCTTGGCTCTGCAGGAATGGGAGGCAGATGTGGACCGCTACGCCTCCGAGTATGGCGCAGGGCGCGCCCTAGCAGATGAAGATCTGCGGGCAGTGCTGGTGACCGAGAGCCCCACCGCTCTTCGGCAACACCTCGCTATGCACGCGGCGAGTCTTTCGACTTATGCCGAGGTGAGGGAAGTGGTGGTGAGCTACTTGCAAGCCAAAAGGGTCTGGACCCCGAGTGCGGGCTACGCCGCCTCCTCCCGAAGGGATCCTAACGCCATGGACATTGGCAGAATAGGGGACCGAGACGGGAAGGATGGAAAAGGCAAAGGCGACAAAGGCAAAAAGGGGGATAAAGACCATAAGAAGGGCAAGGGCGACCACAACGACAAAGGCAAGAAAGGGGACAAAAAGGGGAACCAGCAAGGAGGCAGAGACGGCAAAGAGAGATGCCCCATCTGCTGGAAAACGGGGCACACCGTAAAAGAGTGCTGGTTCAACGCCAAAGGAAAAGGCAAAGGCACCAAGGGCCAGGTGGCCCAAGTGGCCGACGACGCGGCCACGACGGTGTCAACAGCTTCCTTGGCGACTGCGGGTCCCTCCGCGTCTCAAGTTGGGGGAAGCACCGGCGGCTCTGGCGGCAAAGGCCAGGTGCGCCAGGTGCGCGACGACCGCATCTTAGGTGTGCGGTTTGCCCCGCCTCACGACACCGAGCCAGAGGAGGACAAAATCCTCAAGGTGTCGGGGAGTCTTCTTGTGGACTCCGGGGCGTGTGTGTCCGTGTGCAGGCCCGAGGCGTTTCCCGACCTGCAGCCCGCGGGCCCACCAAAGAGCCTTTACTCGGTGGACAACAGCCGCCTGAAAACAAAGGGCCGTGTCCAGCCGAGCCTCCTCTTAGGGGAGGAGCGTCAGTCCTGCAAGGTCAACTTTGAGGTGACCGAGGACATAGAGGATGAAATCCTCAGCATCAGCCGTGCTGTTGAGGCCGGTGCGGGCATTTGGCTCCACCGAGAGGACAGCCACATTTTGTGGCCCGACGGCGTCCGAGCCTCGATCCTCAAGAGAGGGTCACAGTTCCTCCTACCCTACGAGCGGGAGCTCCCGCCGGGGTCAACAAACCGGGTGGCACCGGTGGCGGCAGAGCCACCAAACCCAGGCAAGGACCTGGGACACTACGAGTACATCCCGGAGCACGACCTCGAAGCTCGAGAGGTAGAGGACGCGGCGATGGAAGCAGCAGCCGACGAAGAGGCCGCAGCTGCTGAAGAGGAGGAGGCTGCGGGAAACCCCGCCCCTCTAGAGGAGCAGGCCGAGCAGCCTAACTCCAGGCCACGCGGCCTAAGGGCACCGCGCAACCCCACGGCGCAGGAACGCGCCGAGCACGAGCTCACTCACACGCCCTACCAGGCGTGGTGCGAGAAGTGCGTGGAGGGAAAGGCACGCGAGGACCCTCACCGCCGCCGTGAGCCCTCGGATGATCCGGTGACGCCGCTTGTCACCATGGATTATCAGTTCTACAGCCGGGACGGGAAAGAAGTTGAGGAAGAAGCGTCGCTTGCCACGGTGCTGAACCTCACAGACAGGGCCACTGGCTGGACTCTGTCAGTTCCCGTGGCGCACAAAGGGCACAGACACGCGGCTTACGCCGCAGGGCTTGTGGAGCAGTTCGTGGACCGCCTGGGGTACGACAAGTTCACCCTGCAGGCCGACCAAGAGAACGCTATAGCCTCTGTGGCCCGTGCGGTCCACCGCCGGCTGGGAGCTGCTAGGGTGCGTCTTCGGGACGCCCCTCGCGGGTCACACCAAAGCCAAGGATCCGTGGAGGGAAGGAACGCACACCTAGCAGGCGAGGTTCGCACTTGGCTTTCGCAGCTAAGAGCGGACTACCCCGCCTTAGAGTGGGACACTTCGTCCAACCTGTTCCCGTGGCTGGTCAGGCACGTGGCCTGGCTGCAAGCCCGGTTCGGGACCAAGTCGACGGACGGGGTGACACCATATCGGGCAGCCATTGGCACCGACTATGGTGGAGCACTTTGCTCCTTTGGAGAAACCGTTCTAGCTAAGCTCCCGAGGCCCGGGAACAAAGCGCAGGTGCGCTGGGTCAAAGGGGTCTGGGCCGGCAAGCTGGAGCGCGACGACTCCCACGTGGTGCTAACCGAAGCGGGCGCACTCAACGTGAGGAGCGTCAGGCGACTCCCGCCGGAGACCCGACACCAGACGGCAGCCGTTCTTAAAGCGTGCGGCCTGCCTTGGAACCCTAGATTTGGCCGCTCAGCGCCAGCAGAGCGCAGCGAGCCGATGATGGTTCCAATCCCTCTGGCCACGCCGGCCGAAGAAACGGAGCGGCTAGAACCGCCCGGTGAGCCCTGGCTCTTCAGCGATGGGCCGCGGCCCGACGACGAGGCCCTCTTAGTCGAAGGGGCCGAGCAGGCCACGCCCCAGCCGCCAACGACGGCTCAGGCGAAGGGGGGCAGAAGCGCGACTCTGCGGGTTCCTCCGCGAGCGCAGCGGCAGCACAGCAGCCGCCTGCAGCAAAGAGCCGGGTGGAGCCCAAAAAGGCACCGCGGCTAGGAGCGCTCACAGAGCGCGAGGTGTGGCAGCACATCGCTGCCTTAGCCGACCCGCCGCTCACCAACCACAAGGGCGAGCGGGACGCGTGGGTTGGGCAGGTGACAGACCTGCTAGACCGGATGCTCGACCCCAAGCAGGTCGAGCAGGCACGCAAGGAGCAGCTAAGAAAGCTGTGGGACCGAGGCGCTTTCACGCCCGTGCTGCGGTCTGAAGTACCGCGCGGGGCGCAACTGTTCAGGGCAAAGTGGGTCGACAAGTGCGACAAAGGGCGGTACAAGTCAAGGTGTACCTGTGCCGACGTCAAGGCCCGCTACAGCCCAGAACAGGAAGCTGGCTTGGACGTTTTCGTCCCAACGCCAACGCCCGAGAGTCACTCCCTACTTGAGGTAGCAGCGCTACACAACGAGGGGTGGGTCACAAGGTCTCTGGATATTGTGGCCGCCTTCCTCATAGGGAGGGACCGCGGTGCGGCGGAAGGCCGCCCGGTCTACATGCATGCGCCTGTGGAGTGGCGCGAGCTCTTTGACCAATGGGTCTTGGAGCAGCCTGCAAAGGACCAGCAGTGGTACCGAGACCACTTCCGGGACTTTGTGTTCCGAGTGGACGGCAACCTCTACGGCCGAAGAACGGCTGGTTCCGTCTACAGGGACGAGCTGGAAGAAGTCCTCACCGGCAAGCTGGCCAAGGATTACGACTTCCAGCGTGGCGTGAAGGACCCGTGCGTGTACCTAGACCGCCGGTCCGGCCTGATCCTTCTCCACCATATCGACGACATCCGTGTCGCAGGCCCCAAGGCCGCAGTGCTCAAGTTCACGGAGGTAGACCTCCCGACGCACTGTGAGATAACGGTGGGAGAACTGGAAGAGCCGGGCACAGCGGTGGAGGTCCTGGGAAGGACCAAGGTGCGCACAGAGGACTCTATCCTCACGCTGCCCGACAGCAAGCACGCAGAGAATGTGTGCGAGCAGCTGGGTATCGGTCCAAAAGACAAGGGGACCGTGCCTAGCAAACCTCTAGACCTGACCAAGGTCGAGGAGCTCTCTGCGGGTGACGCCGCGAGGTTCCGCAGCGCCGTGGGTAGCGCTATCTACCTATCGGCGGACAGGCGAGACATACAGTTCGCCGTGAAAGAGCTGGCATGAAGGATGCAGAACCCCAGGGTCTGCGACTGGCTCGCTGCGGAAACCCTCGCGCGATACCTGCGGGCAACCCCGCGGTTTGGAAGGGTGGTTGTGCTGGACCCCGCGTCCAAGAGCACAGCCCTTCTGAACTTGGAGGTCTACTCCGACTCCGACTGGGCAGGGTGCCCAGAAACGAGAAGGAGCACAGACAACATAGTTGCCTGTCTCGGGGGAGCAGTCATCCAGACAAGCTGCCAGACACAGCCTGGCCTCCCAGCCACCTCCAGCGGAGACGCGGAGATCCGGGGAGTGTCAAGAGCAGCAAGGGAGGCTGTCTTCCTACGAGAGCTTGCGGAGAAGGACTTTGCCCTAGCCTGCGGCGTGCCGCGGCTCTGGGCAGACTCCGCAGCTTCGATCGGAGCCGCCAAGCGAATAGGCCCAGGGTCCAAGCTGAGACACCTGGAAGTCGCGGAATTCTTTGTCCAAGGCGCGCTCAGAGCCAAACTTCTCGAACTGAGAAAAGTTAAGGGAACCGAAAACCCGGCAAACTTCGCTACCAAGCACGCGAAGACTGGACCGGAGGTGCGGCAATCCCTGCCCTCCATGGGCATGGTGGACCTCGATGCGGTCGCAGGCGCCACCGAGGCTCTGGCCCAAAAGGGCACGATCAAGACGATCCAGGCTAGCCCCTGGAAGATGAGACCGCCGACCAAGCTCACGAGCTCGGCGCTCATGGCCACAATCGTGGCGCTGCAGGTTCGACCTGCCAAGGCCCAAGGGCACGACTTCGCAGAGCTGGTGCTCGGCTTCGCGGCCCTAGGCTTCCTGGCCTTCCTGTGGATGCTTTGGGGTTTAGTCTCCTGGTTCTGCAGGTGCAGGCGTGACAGGCAGGAGCCGGAGCCCGAGGATGAGATCGAGCACCACGCCGAGCGTGCCGAAGAGCCGCCGCGTGCAGCTCAAAGGGCCACTGAGATCTGGCTAGGGCCAGAAGAAGAAGCGCCAAACCAGGCGCAGCAACGAGGAGGTGGGCAGCAGCCCAGGGGGGCTCAAGAGCCAGAGCCTGAGGGCGAGCGGACCCCAGGTCCGCCCCCTGTGGCAGACGCGCCACCACCACCGCCGCCCGCTGCACCAAGAGTGCGGCGCAGGCGTAGGGGACCGGAACCCCTTTCGGGGGACGACGAGCATCTCTACGAGACAGCCCGCGGTGACAAGATCCATCTTTTCACCAACTGCAATGGGCTGAGCTCCGTCCCGCCGGATCAAATCCTGATCGGCTTTCGCTGCCACTGTGCAGCAGATCCTCAGAACTCCGAGTTCCTCTGGACCGGGTTCGCCTTTCAAGTGGCCACCGGCCGCGTTGTGCGCCGGTACCACGGCCAACAGCGAGGTCACCAGAGCACCAAGCCCGGCAGTGCGAACAACTCCCGCCAGTGGGTGCCTCCACCCTAAGGGGCCCCTAGCGGGTAGCACCGCAGGGCGAGCCTTTCGGCTGCCAGCCCTGTGCGCGGGACGCTCCGCCCTACCAGGGGCGTCTCACCCTCCGACTGCGGGATGCCCCGCGGGAGGCTCTCTCAAACCCCTACCTCTAAGGGGGGTGCGAGATTTTTGTAGGCTACACTAGGAAACCTAGGTAAGTAGCTGTACAGCGTAGAGAGAAGAGGGTTTGAGCTAAAGGGCTTTAACCTGACTGCGACTCACCGCAGCCCTCTTTTGCAGAGTGAAAATAGTGAGCCCAATACGCGACCCAACCTCCGCGCAGTTTCCCCGATAGCGGTGACGGGGGATGGGGGGCCTCCTGGAATGCAAAGAGCTGGCCTCGACGGGCGGGTGACAAGAGACCTACGATCACGAGAGGTTCGCGGGACATCAGTGAGACTAGTGGACGTATAGTCGTCTGCACGATTCATGCAGTCATCGTAATTCGATGAAATCTGTCTTGGTGGCGGTGGGGGTGGTGGGGGTGGGATGCGAGGTTGATGTGCGCTCCTTGCATGACAGTGGCACATGGGATCATTCCAACAAGCCCAACATCGTTGAAACACACAATCTCTCGAGGCAGGGTTCCCGCAGCTCCGACACGAACCAAGCCGAACAGCATGCGCACGCGCAGTTCGTCTCGGCGAACGTCGCATGTTCGCAACTGCAGGTACAGGCGGCGGTGGAGGGTACTGATACTGCACATGTTCTACGGAACTAGGGCCAGGGCGGGGTCTGGCAGGGGGTGCTGGGGGATGCGGATATCGACAATTCCAGTTGCCACTGTCTGAGTTCCTGGGTGGCGGCGGCGGCGGCGAAGGCAGGTGCAGGCCTGCAGGCGCAGCAACATCATCAGAGGCGAGCAAGCGATGCTCAACAACATTTGACAACGCAACAATCATCGAACGCAAATCTGCAATTTGAGCTTGGAGCTGGCCTATCACTGGGCTTTTCTCGATAGCATCGGAGCCAGTTTGCACGAGTCCAGTGAGCGGATGCGCAACGACAGGGGCGGCAACGGCTTCACCAGCAGCTTCACAAACGGAGCTGGTTGCATCTGGGTCAGACCGAGTGGGTGAGTCCAATGCAGGCACGACTTCAGCTGGTAAACACACATCGGACAGTCGTTCTGAAGTCCATGGCTGAAAAATTGGCAACAAGCTGCCCGCAGCACTGAGTGCATCCCCATGGAATGTCAACGTCCTGTTCGCAACATGAAACAAAGCACCACAAAGTAGTTGCGGGCGTTGACCGAAAGCGCTTTGACTACGATTTATGCGCAGCCAAACCCCCCATGCAGAGGACCCTTCAATCCGGACTTGTGGTATGCCAGTGTGCGCGAAACGGCCTTCACCTACGAGTTGATTGACTCGCTGAACAAAGGCACCCAATGACATGTTAACGTAACGGGTAAGTTGTATGCGGCCGTATGCAGAGGCGTTGGCAGTAATGGTGTCTACAGATGTTCCGTCCCTTGTGCGCGGCGGCTCACTCGCGCACCGTTGGTGAGCAGCACGGTTTGGAAATGCTTGTGCACATGGACGAAAACATGACTCACAAACCGTGAAGCGGCAATTTTGTGCGCAATGGTAGGATGCAGTACGATGCGGTATGTGCTCATTGCAGACACGACACCTGCGACGTGTACCACACGCTGCACTTACACGACGCACACACGGGTGTTGATGCAAATGTGTTTGCAACAATGGTGGATTAGGAGCTGTCTCCGCAGTTGTCGCGGCATCGGTGGTTACATCTGGCACACGGGAGGGTTGGTTGTCTGCCACTGTGGGGGCACAGGCTGGCTGATGAAGACTTGGCAGGGAAGGTGGCCACCTACCTTGTTCGCGGAAGGCGGTGACCGCACGGTCCAGCTCGGATGCTAGCTGAAGGCCAGCAAACATTTGGAAGATAACATCCTGAAGCAAATTAGGGACATGGCCACTCCTGTCAATTATCACAGGGATAATAAGACTAAGGCCCAGTCGCGATCCCCTTGGGTACTGCATCATAAGTTGCCGGAGTTGCTGCGCAGCTGTCATATCAGCATGGGTTTGGGCGCCGGAAATTTGCAGCAGCTCGGTGTAAGCTTGGGTGAGCTGACTGACATCAGATAGCTCGCGGGAAAGAGAAGAACACAAGGCTTCAAACCACGGAGCGGCTGCTCCCCAGGCAGAAGCTGCCTCGGCATGTAATAACCCAGCCACATGCAACAAAATTGGGCAATACACAAACGAGTTCGTCTCTTCAAAATTGCGGGCCGGCGGCATGGCTGAAAACATTGTGCTTCCAGAATTTGCATTCGGAGCAGGAGCAACTGCAACTACATCCGTGCCATGGTCTAAGCCTGCACCCGTGTTGGTGGGTTGCGTACACGCCGGGAAGCACACCCATTTCCGAGATTCATATGCGAGGTCAACCACAAGCGTACGGGGCCCGTCAACAGGGCAAAAACTTGCATCACCGGCATTGGCTGTAGACACGAGGGGGTCATCAACTGTGATGCTGCGACCACACAGGTTGCAAGACCATTCGCCTCGCCACCCTGTCTGGACACGGATGCCGATGTCATTCGTGGTGAATACCCGAGTTGGCAACCATTCCATTTCGCGCGCATGCACTGGGGCGTCCCATGCTGACATGCGAGCGCAGCATAGTACTAAAATGCGCTGAGGCGGCGGCGGCATGCCGTTGAACATGTGTGGTTCATCTTGGTGGGGCAGGGGTTCCCACGTGTTCTGAATTGACAACCCCTCTTGCTGTGCAGCCGCTGCTAGTGATATATCTGCGGTGACACCTGGCCACGGCTCCCTGCAAACGAGGCATGGCGGAGCTTCCGACCGGATGCGTACTTGTACTGCACAGGAAAGGTGCATTTGGGAGCTACATCGACATGGCCATGTCCACGTTGCATCACCCGATGTACGCAAAGGCAGTTGGCACAAAGCACAGCATTCAGTCTCCGATGGCGTTGCAGGATCTAGTTGCGTCAGCTGGGAAACTGAAGCACCCGAAGGCCAAAGATCACTTGCTACATTATTGGTGTGTGCTGGCGGCGTCGAGCACCCCCGGGCTTCATAACAAACGGGCAACGGGCTTCGAGCTGCACTGGCACCACGCGACACACGCACAGGAGTGACACTACGACGATGACGAACTATTGGCGGAGTGCGAGACATGCTGCGACGCATGGCTGCTGTATGGCGACAGCCACTTCACGTTCTGCACGGCCCCCAGAATCGGAGAAGTGCACCGTACTTATTATCCCGCTCGGTAGCGGAGCGAAGCAACGACGGCGCAGACAATGGCTCGACACGAGAAATATGCAACTTACAAGTTGTCGTCATGAATACAGATACAAATCGTATCAATCGAAAAGAACAAGATTGTGTCAGCACTAGGACCATAAATATTCCGTGGTTTACTTTTTTGATCTGTTGAATATATTGGCGGAAGTTGGGCCGGAGCTTGAGCCAAAAATTGAAAAACAACTGTGTTCCGAATAATTTTGACGATGACGTGATGTCATCATATGTCATCTGGATGTCTTGCTCAACCGCAGTTTAACATTGCGATACACCGTGTTGCATCACGCGCAGTTGTAGCGTTGTATTTTATTGCCTGCCTTCCACGAGGCCGTAGTGGCATGCAGGACTTGGCTTGACTCGGCTTGACATGATTTATGCTTTGGCACAACACGCATGCTGCGGTCGCTGATCTTAAGAGCAGGCTCCTTCACGGTGAAACTATTTTCGCGTTCCTTGACAACGTCTACATCGTCGCGGCGCCCGAGGGCGTCCGCACGCCCTACGACGCCCTCGCAGCGACCGTGTGGCACTGTGCACGGATCCGTCTCCTTCACGCGAGGTACCGTGCGACAAAGGCATCGTGTGTGAAGGGGGAGTCGAACACGGCAAGACCGCGGCATGCCTTGGCGTCCTGGTGGCAAAGACCGGCTCCACCACGAGGCCCCTGCCGAGAGTCGCCTGCGCGGCCCTGACACGAGATTGCAGCGTAGTCCGTAGTCCTTCACGTAGATTAGTCAGCTGCGACCGCGGCTAGAAGCTCTTTCGTTGGCAGCTCGCAAAATCCGTTGCAAGAAAAACCAATCCCCAGCCCGATGGCTTCGGCCCCATCACCGGTGCTTAGGTCGGCGATGCCCTTTGGCTCTTCGCCTGCAAGGTCACAAATTCGCGTTTCTTTCACCTCGCACCTTTTTGCAACCAGCCGTACAAATGCTCCGGCGGCGCAGAGCCCACAGGCTCAAGGAGAGTAAACTGGTAGCAAAGGACCGAGCTGCAGCTACCGACAGGGCAGCCACTGTCGCGGCACACTGCAGTGGGAAGGCACTGCGTGCTCGTGCTCGGGCTAACAACCGGACGAAGCTGGCAGCTTCAGTGCTCCAGCGTCCGCTCACTTCGATGCCGAGAACGACCAAGCGGCATGGTGGGTTTCTTGCTTCGGCGGGCTTCTGCAGAAGGGGCGCCGGGGTGCCGCAGCTCACGTTACACAGGAGACCAAAATGGTGTCATCTGCGAGCTGAGAGCTACGCCACCACGGAAGTCAGATAGGTCGCGGACCATCAAGCCACTGTGGCTCCGGTCTCGCGACAAACACGTGCACCTCGTTTAAGCGGCCCACCTCGCTGGTGCGAACTTTGCCGGTCATCCACCCCCCAGCAGTTGCTTGACTGCTTGGCGCCTTCTGCCGCCGTCCTTGCGCAGACACATTTGTGAGCACTCGGCTTTGAGACTTGTGACTGGGCAGCCGTTTACGCTGGTTCCGGTGCCGCGCCTCCCCACGGCGACGGAGAAACCTCCCGCGACCCCTCGCCTTTCAGGGGTGGCAGCACTTGGCCTCGATTCCATCGTCCACTGCCTCGCTGCACTGCTCGAACAAGGTGAGGCGCCCTTGCCACCCACCGGCCTGCGTGCTGCCCAGCTGCCCCAGCGGTTTGGCAGGCTTGGCCTCCGCTCCGCCCGTGCAGACAGCAGCGCCGCGCGTTGGGCTTCGTGGCAGGACATGCTGCCTGTCATCCGGGCACGAGCACCCACAGCTGCGGCACGCCTGCTTGACGCCTTGCGAGGTGATGGGAAGCTGCCCTCCCCTCCACCGCAGCCGCAGTCGCAGCGCAAACGTTCTTGCGCCGGAACGGCTTCGAGGCCCCCGACTGGGATCCTCAAGGCGCTATAGCCCTCCCCCGCCCAAACCCTCCAAAGGCTGGCAGCGACTAGCCGCCCGTGCGTGCGACCAGCGCGCGTTCGAGACACCCTTTCTCAACTCACTCCTGGGTCCCGTGCGCTGCTGCTCTCGCAAGCAGAGCCCTTCGCAGCCCGTGCCCTCAACTTGCCGCCCACGCACAATGATGTCATGATCCCCAGCGCCCAATTCCGCGTTTTCCTGCTGTGGCGCTTGCGCATGCCCCTGCCGCTCGCGCCGCGCAGATGTGCCTGCCACGGGCACCTCGACGAGCTGGGCGATCATCGTGCCGCATGCACCACCTCTGGGGTGCTGTCGACGCGCGCGCTGCTCCTTCAGATTTCTTCAGCACGCAGTCGGGCGCGTTTGCCGGGAGGCAGGTGCACGGGTCGCCCGCGACGTTCGGTTGGCAGACATGAACCTCGACGTGCCAGTTGCGGACGAACGGCGATTCGAGGTTGTGGCCAATGGCCTCCCTCTGTGGCACGGGTCGGAGCTTGCCATTGATGCCACGATCGTGTCCCCACCGCCGCACTGACACTGAACCTGGCAGCGCAGTCAGTGCCGCCGCTAGACGCAAGCGCCACGGCACCTACCCAGAGCTCGGCCGTGCCCGGAGGTTTGTTGTTTTCGGCACGGAAGTTGGCGGCAGGTTCGGCACCGAAGCGGTGCAGTTCCTGCGCCTCTTGGCGCAGCATCGGGCCGCTCGCGCTTGCGAAACAAATTGGAATGGCTTCGTTGCCTGGTCGAACTTATCGGCCCACTCCCCGGCAAGCGCTTTCGAAACCAATCGGCGGAGTATATCGCCTGTAGCGATTCCACGCACCCCCGTGTGGCTTGCGCAAAGTGGTGGGGCGAGCCATGGCGAGAGCCTTGCACACGCTAGCCGGCACGCGAGCCTGCGCGAGAAGCGTGGAGGCAGCTCGATAGCCTCAAGTGTTCCGCCCGCATGCCCGAGAGGCCGGGGGCCCCGCCACCGGAGGGCGGCGGGGGTTGCTCCCGTGTTGAGGTGCCGGCTGGGAGGGTTGGTGCTGAAGCACGTCCTGAGCGATCGCTGTCCGCTATGGAGGTCCACAGGGTCGGTTTGGGATGACCGACGGGAGGGAACCGCAAAGGAGCCTGATTTTTCGCATTCCCCAACCCCTAGGCTAAGCCTTCCAAATGAGGGGCGTTGGAAAACCCTTGAAAACCGACCTTGGTATACTGTCCGCGCCTCAGGATTCCTCGGGAGGACGGCGTGCAGGGTTGGTTAAAGCGGCCCACGTAGCCTCGTCTCCGGCGGCCAGGTCGATCGCTAGCAGTGAGCACCTGACGGGTGCGTGAGAGTTCGCTCCGTCGCACCTTCGCACATGCCTGATGCCGCCGTCGTTCAACGATTTCGTTGGGGGTCACAGTGTCGGGCTGTCGCATGTTGGACGGCTTACTCGGCGTGCGGCTTGTATCAGCTGGAGCAATTCGCCCCGCTGAAATAGCAGAAATCACCAGGGACACACGGTAGGATGGCATGCACTTGTACAGATGTGCATGCTAACTACAACATTTGGCTCAAGATAAAAAGGTGCCCTTGTGAGTTGGGGTTTCCTTTGTCTTGATTGCTTCAATAAGCACGGCTAAAACTGATTCTAACGGAATCTTTGGGTTATCAGCCGTAGTGCTTTGACGCGTTCCTTAAGTGTAGGAACAATCCATATATCTGCCATTTCGTCCGCTCTTCGTTTTCTCTGAGCATTTGAAAGCGTGTCGCTATTGGCATTACATATTCCCTGCCAGACATTTTGTTGGAGCAGGCCAGTGGATGCTACCACAGGAGCCTCCTGGACCACCGCCGAGGAGCGCCACACATCGGCCCAGAGGAGGTAAAGCAAACAGGCGCAAAATCCGCCGAGAAGCGAGGATTGCTCAAGAGCTAGCAAGGCTTAACGTGCCATTGTTGGTTGATCTCCAAGAGGACGAGGAGGAAACTGCAGGAGTAGGAGCCGCTTCGGTTCGCTCCTCGGCCTCCTCAGCGAGTGCAGCGGCTCTCGCGCCTCCTGTGGAGGCCGAAAGCGAACCGGAGCGCTTCCAAGTTGCATTTACCCAGGTACGATCGCTTCTTGATTTGGAGCCGCCGGGAGAAGTTTTTGGGGTACTTCCGCTTCGTGACGTCTGCAATTTTGCAGGGGACAAAGATCGGTTGATTTTTTCTGGGGGAGATATCCAAGGTGAAGGCAGCCATTGGGACGATCAGCAAGTCCGAGACTTTAGAGCCTTCATTGCTGGGGCTGTGTCAGTGGATTATTATCGTACCCTCTCTGTGCCACAAAAGAACGCAAGTCGTGGTGATATTCCTGGAACTGAGCGCACCGTGATCCCGGTGGAAAACCTTCAGTTTTTGGCAACACTCACCAGCAAGGGCTACAAGTCCGTACTTCTCAGCTTTGTTGGTGCAAGATCTTGCGACGCATACGTTGAGGACTTGCTACGCTCGGGCGTCTGCAACCTTTTTACTTGCGCCCTGGTCGTGACACAGAAGACAGGCTGGCGAGGGAAAAGCCATTATTTTGCGGACCTTCAGCTGAAACACCACTTTGACGACGCGGAAGAGATCATTAAGGAGTTTCGCCAGTGGGGTCAGCCAATTTCTGAGGTGTCCAGGCAGAAGCCTTTGAGCAGCTACACGGGTGTCATCGACGATTTGCTGTGTCAGTGAGAAATGGAGTCCACACCACCGATCTTGACTAGTAGTTCCAGTGGTTCTGCTAGGGGGAGGGTGAGGAGTAGGAGTCCAAATCAAACACCAGGTATGGCAGTAGTGCCCAGCCTCAGGACTGGAAGTGCCCCTGCCATAAGCCCCAGTACTGAGACAGTAACTTCCAATACCCGATCCTCGGTTGAAAGGGTTCCTTTGTTAAGGGCAAATAGGCCTAGGAACTTAGGTCCCTCCCTTGACACAGCAACCCCAGCCTTGGGAGCGCAGTCACCGCATTACTCCCAGACCAATGTGGATGCCAGATCCTTGCATGTGGGCGCCACGCCAGAACAGGTGATAGGTGTTGTGCATGAGGTTGCATCGGAAGCCGAACGCAGACACTTAAATGTGTTAGGGGAGGTCCAGGCAAGGCACGAGCATGACAGAAACTCCATAACTTCCGAAGCCATTGCCCAACTTGAGCACCAAAGGTTGCAATATGAGGGTCAACTTAGGGAATTGGGTATACGACTTGAGCAGGAGACTTTGCGCAGGGCCACTGCCGAAAGGTTAGTAAACTCCCTGCAGCAGGAAGCTCAAAGCTATCAACATCGAGCGGATGCCAAGTTTGCCCAAATGTCTGAAACGATCCAATCCCTGAGCCAAGAGCTTCAGCACATTAAAGCCTGGCAAGCGCAAGGCTCCCCCGAGCTTTCGCCCAGCGGCCGTGCAGCGGTTAACGCGCCGGCGCGCACAGTCCAGATGCCTACTGTGCCACGGGGTGATGTGTTTTCAAGGTTGGCCAAGACTTTTGATGAGTCCTTGTACCTTGAGAGCTCGCTGGATTTTCAGGGAAGGGTTCCGCGTGAAGTGGTTGCGCAAGAAGGGCTCCAGAACCCTTCGGCCGAATTGGCCGTTTCTCAGGGAAAACCCGAGATTCCGCCGGGACCCCCACCGAAGCAGTCTTCCAGCAGCTCCGCCCAGGTCCCAGAGGAGACCCTGCAGCAATTGATAGGTGCCGTTAGCATCCTTCAGGAGAAAGTCCAGTCACTTTCCTCTCCTGCACATAAGGGCAACAAGAGCTCAAGCTCGAGTGCAGCATCCATCAAAGGTCGCACTTCGAGCAGCAGTTCAGACTCAGAGGAGCTTGTTGAGGACTTTAGCCAACCTAGAAAACCCGTTGCGAGTCATGCGGATCCTTATGAGGCTGAGAAGCAAACAATGAGAACGAAGCATTACGACAAAATCAAGATCACTCACTTTCCCAAATCAGCAGCGGATCTTCGAAGCTTCCGTAATCAGCTAATGGCTAGCGCTGCCCAATTCTGCAAGGGTTCAGAAGCTGGGCTACATGCATGGCTAAAGGAGGCAGAGGAATGCTCGGCTGCAGACCTCAACAAGTCTTCATCGTTCCCAGTGCTTGACAGGGTTCTTGCAGCCAAGTTGATTGAGCAGGCAAAGGGTTCTCAGTTTGCGTTGGAGTTTCAGTCGATTCAGGAGAAGGCGCTAAAACGGGGATTTCAGCCGAAAGGCCGAGTGCTATTGCATACTATCGTCAAGCGCTTCAAGCTTCAGAAGGATCGTGGAACAACCCTGACGCAACAGCACCTTCTGGGAATCAAACTTGCGGGATCTTCAACTGCTCAGCTCGAGGAGTTTAAGAATCGGGTTGATTATGTTTTGGGTGCTTTAGAAGAGGACGAGATGCCTTCAGAGAGTGCAATGCGCTCATTCCTGTATGAGCAAGTCAAGAACGTCCCAAAGCTCCAAATTCAGATTGACAAGTTCCGATCAGCATCAGTTGGTTCGTCAAGGCGCTCATTCAAGTGGTTGTACCACAAGCTCGCTGAAGTCATTGATGAGGCCCATCACGACAGCAATCACGCGTCTATTACTGCTAGTTTGTCTGCAAAGGCTTCAGGTGCCGCAGCAAAGGTTGAGGATAAGCCTGAAAAGCCTGCTAAGCCCAACAAGCCGAGCAAGCCGGAGAAGCCCGACAAACCGAATCCAAAGGCAACCCCTGCAACGCCCATTGCACCAGCGCCTAAGGCAAATCCGAAGGGTAAAGGAGAGGGCAAGTCATCGGAGCCAAAGGCCAAGGCACCTATGTCTAAGGAAGAGAAGGCGAAAACGCCATGTCTTTTCTTTCCTACTGGCACATGCTTTAGGAACAACTGCCCGTACCTCCATGACGCCAACAACCCTCACCCTAATCCCAAAACTGGTGCCAAAGCGAAGGCCAAGTCCAGCACGCCTTCAAAAGCTTCAGCCGCGTGTGCAATCGTTGCATCTACCGTTGGCCATGCCCAGGGTGACCGTGCAGTGAATTGTGCGCCTGAGCCGGGCGGTGCAAGTAAGGTTGGGAATGGGCTAAGCAGTTGCAGGAAAGTTGCCAAATCCGCTTTGTTTGGGAGGTCGCTTGGCACTCGAATGTTGGCCTTGATGACGGCTACCCTTTCTGCACCCTCCGTTCCATGCCATCCGCAGTTCGTTTCCCACGGTAATGGGACAGCCACGGTTAGCTGGTTGGGGGATACAGGCGCTGGAAGGTACATTGGTTCGCTAACTGATGTGCAAAATGAGCCGAGTCTGAGCGATAATATCGCTGCCACTGGAAATCCAGTGCTGTTCTCAACAGGTGGTGGGGACAGGCCGTCAACAGATTCAGTGAAAGTTCAGGGTGATTTGGTCACAAATGATGAAGTGTACTTGTTAGAGGGGAGTCCTTGGGCAATGTGCATTGGAGACCAAGTCAACTCTAAGGGAAAGGCGTTCCTGTGGTTGCCTGATGGGTCAGGTCAAGCCAAGCCTTTCTTCGTAGAGGACACTGATTCGTTGCGCGTGCATTGCCCAACTGCCAACCGCCGCTATGCTGATGAGCTCCACCAGAATGTCCCTATCTTTAAGGAAATCATTCGCATCTCCCACATGCCTGCGTCCGCAGATTCACCCGAACCGGCCTCAGCGGCTTCGGATCCTGAACCTCCCTGTGCAGCGGTTGACGCGCCAGGAGAGGAAGCAGTAGAGGTGGAAGAGGACGATGCGCGTACAAAAGATGAAAGGCTAAAGGAGATTGCAAGGAGTGTTGAGCACCAGCTAACGCACATTCCTAAGAACAAGTTTTGCAAAACATGCATGCGCTCCAAGCAAGATGCGTTGCCAGCACGTGCACTTCCGATTGAACATTCTTTGACGGACGGTGAAGCAAGTGAGTCATTTGGTGACCGCCTGCATGTTGACCATGTAATCGTCGCCAAAGGCCGTATGGACAGGAACCTGTTTGGTTTGCATGGGGAGAGAGTTTTTCTCGTAGCTGTTGATGACCACACGGGGTTCATGTTGGCGTACCCTTCACGTTCAAAGTCGAGTGGCGACAGCGCTAAAGCCTTGCGCCACTTCATTGGTCGTCGCAATGCCGTTGAGCTTCACAGCGATAATTCGCTTGAGCTTGAGGCTGCAGCGGATGAGCTAAAGCTCGTCCACCCTACGACAATTCCATACCGACACACTTCAATCATCAATAGAAGGATTCGGACCTTAGAGGACGTTTCCCGATGTGCTTTGTGCCAGGCTGGTCAAGTTAAGAGCTTATGGCCACTTGCCGTCCAGTACGCAGCAACCGCGTTATCCCTTGGAGAACCTTGGGAGGCATTGCATGGCGCACCGTTCTCTGGAAACAAGTTCCCTTTCGGTTCCTTGGTGTACTTTAGGCCCCAAGCCAAAGTCACTAAGAAGGTTGAGTTAAAGACTGTAGCCGGGATCTTTGTTGGTTGGAGGGTTGAACCGGGATGTGGTTTTAAGAAAGCCTACAAAGTTCTTTCGCTGGAGCAGGTCAAAGACCTGTTGCTGGGAAAGGTTGAGGTAACCCCTCAAACGGCCATGACTGTCTACCAGGATGAGGTCCGCTATCCACTAGCGGAACTAAAAGACAAGGGTGAACTCAGGTTAAACCTCCAAGAGATGACCCTGGATCCTGAGGACTACCCCGTAGATGAAACCATCGAGGGGAGAGTCATGAGCCTCACCATCCCAGAACACCCAGCTGAGAGTAAAGCCTTGACAGGTAATTTCCGAATCACCGAAGCACGTGTTCTTAAGCACGGGCCCACTCCTGAATGCAACGCTTGCGAAGGATTGCCAGTTGAGCATTCTAAGGAATGTCGGGATAGATTCGCTACTTTGTTGGCCGAGAAACTGCATGAATTTCCAGATGGAGTGGACCGCAACCATGACTCGTGGGTGTTAGAGGGCGAGACACTGACTAGGTATCATGTGCAGCAAAGGAAGCACTTGTTTACGCCTAAAAAGGTTAAAGGTATCCCAGTTCCGCCTGAAAACCTCCTACCTCACAGAGAAACGTTCCTCACCTACGAAACTGGTGAGAAGCAAGAAGTGATAAGCGAGGATTGGCATGCCGAAGACGGGACCAAACCCATGACTGCAATGTGGACTGGTAAAACCGTGTTCTTCCTCAAAGACCCTGTCCCTGCTGCATCCGTGAAACCGGAGGCTACAACGGCGGCCGCAGGAACTGCTGCCCCGCTGAATGCAGCCCGTGCAGCGGTAACGCGCCGGGATACAAGTTCGGAATCAGGGGGGTGTTCTATCAGTCAAGACAAGTTGTCAGGTTATGGAAGGTTCTACGAATTCTGCCGTACGCCCAGTTCCAACTTGAGTGTTGTTGGCGAGTCTCTCGGACTCTCGTACGTCCGCCTTGCACATGAGCATGCAAGCATGCTTGACACGAATAATGTCAACCAGTTGTTGCAGCAACTCGCGGAGAGTGAAGGTGTAGACCTGTGGGGTTCACTTCCTTGCTTACCTTGGAGCCATTGGAATCGGCTGAATAGTTGGCGCCTTGGTCCAAAGTCCCGCACCAGACTCACGTGCAAGCAAGATGAGTCCAGAAGGTTGGTGAGAGTTTTCATTCTTGCTGCAAGGATCGTTCTGCGGAATCATGGTCGGGTTCACTTCGAATGGCCGGAAACATGTGCAGGTTGGCAGCTTGACGAGCTCCAAGGTTTCATTCATGAAGCCGGATTGCACCTTTGCACCACCAACGCGAATGCCTTTGGATCTACCGGCAAAAGGTCGTGGACGATCGCCACGTCCTGCAAAAGACTTGCCGAAGCCATCAACCTCAAGAGAAGTATGAGTGACAAGACAAGTCATCATATCTCCGATCTTGAGTCTCGCATTGCAAGCTCCGCGCGATATCCACTGCCCATGTGTTCGCTTGTTATGCAGCATTTGTTTCCGGACAAGTTCCACGCGTCAGTTCCGGCCATGCCTTGTCACACCTTTGTCCAGCATGAACATGTCAACAAAGAGGTACCGATGCCTCACGTGTTTAGCGCAATCCATCAACTCATTGAGCGCCGAGAATGGATCAAAGATCCAGCTGCGCTAGCAGAGGCTAAGAAGGAGGCCGAAGGATTGATAGCAGAAGGGACTTGGAATTACGACGAAGTGATTCCTCGAAGTGAACTTGTTGCAGAAGCTAGAGAAAGCGGAAAGAAAATACACATAGGACAGTTGATGACAATCATGTCTTGGAAACATGCGGAAAATCCTGACTTGAAGAAACTGAAAGCCAGAATAGTGTTTCGTGGAGACAATGTGAGAGACGAATGTGGAGAGTACGCCATCTTCCAAGAGATCCGAGTTACGCCCACTGCAATCAGCGGTGTAAACTTGAATCTCATGTACGGGTGCCTTAAAGATCACATGACAACCCAGTCAGACGTGATCAAAGCCTATGTTCAAAGTTGGCTCCAAACTCAGCATCCCACTTTCGTTGAGCTTCCGCCAGAGCTAGTGCCGCCGCAGTTCGCACACATCCACCGTCCATGTGTAAGACTGTACAAAAGCTTGTACGGGCACCCCGAATCGGGAGGGCACTGGGCGAGGAAATTTGCTTCTGTCGCAAAGGCCCTAGGAGGGGTTGAATCGTCCACGCATCCAAGCTCCTTCTGGTTTGCAAAAGAACGACTACTCCTAACCTTGTACGTTGACGACATGATTGTCAGCGGACCAAGTGATCAGCACAAAGGGTTTTGGAACAAAATGAAGACGATGTTAAACATCGAGGACCCCACTCCGGTTTCAAGGGTATTAGGTAGGGAGCATCTTGTAAACAGGAGCCTCGCAGAGACTTCAGTAGAGTACGACATGAGCGACTTTGCAGAGTCTGCTTGTGAAACGTACCTGAAGCTCGCAGGAGGCATCGCCTTAAAGCATGCCCCCACGCCTTTTCTGGTAGACTCCGCGCTCCCTGAACAGGGTTGGCAAGTAAAAGGAGCTCTATCAGAACACGCCGCCAAGGTACTCATGAAGTGCCTTTGGCTTGCCCGCTTGTCACGCCCTGACCTCCTCCGTCCAATTACGGAGTTGAGCCGACGCATAACGCGCTGGTCGTCCAACGACGACCGCAAATTGTACAGGCTAATGTGCTACATATCCTCTAGTAAAAGCTACCGGATGAGAAGCTACATAGGGGATCCTACCGATAAGCTTGAACTGGTCCTCTACACCGATGCGGATCATGGAGGTTCAATAGAGCACGGGTATAGCACATCAGGGGGGCTGTTGGCAGTGCAAGGGCCACGGAGTTGGTTTCCGATCAGTTGGCTTTCGAAACGTCAGACTGCTGTAAGCAGAAGCACGACAGAAGCCGAAGCAATTAGCTTAGCTACAGGTCTGTTTGACGAGGGTCTCCCAAACCAAGAGTTCCTCTCGCGAATTCTGGGGCGCAGTGTCTTATTGCGTTGCAAGCAAGACAATACTGCGACCATACAGGTCATCCGTAATGGCTACTCCCCGCGCCTACGACACGTGAGCAAAACTCATAAAATCGACCTAAACGGTCTTTATGATGCTTTCCGTGAGGCCGACACAGTGTTGGAGCATGTCAGGACCGATGCTCAAGCAGCAGATGTGTTCACCAAAAGCCTTCCAGGGCCTAAATGGTTGCCAGCTCTGCGAATGCTTGGCATCAACCCAGCCGCCCAACCTGTGCAGCGGTGACGCGCCAGGATAGGTGATTTTTCCCCTAAGTGGTTGCATGTCAGCACCCAAGCACAGAAGCACCGCTGGAGCTTCGTGAGCACTTTGACCATTGGGATGATGTGCTCCGATGTTCGCGTTGCTGGAATCAGAAGAGCCCGATTCCTGGGTGAATTTATGTAGGTCTTAGGTCCCTTGTAAACTTTCATTGTGACTGTAGGGCTGTCAAACAGCGATGCTTTTGTACAGACTCCCAAGGCGCCCCGAAATACACGGGAGCATGCAAATCCATCGCCACCTTGTAGCCGTAGCAATACAGCTACACTTTGCAAACTGGTGATCTGTAAAGTAGGCTCTTAACCGATGGTGACTCGCCTAAGGGGGGAGCAGAAATCACCAGGGACACACGGTAGGATGGCATGCACTTGTACAGATGTGCATGCTAACTACAACATTTGGCTCAAGATAAAAAGGTGCCCTTGTGAGTTGGGGTTTCCTTTGTCTTGATTGCTTCAATAAGCACGGCTAAAACTGATTCTAACGGAATCTTTGGAAATGCTGCGGCCCGACCCAGCAACTCGGCACGACCCTGTGAGCCTCGTTGCTTTTTTTTTGTTGCTCGGTGCGCAGAAGCAGCATGCGGGTTGCGAGGAGGAACAGTTTCCACGGCTTAGCGCGCCTCCGAGAGGAGCTCATGCAGCTCCGGCCCCGGTCCGTCCCCCAAGTCAGCGGCGGGGGGCAGTTAGCAGGGCAGCTGCGAGAGCGCGCTGCGTGGCGACAATGGCCACCCCCTCGTAAAGGTACTGTTGGGGGGGGTAACTCTGAGTGGTACCTATTTGCGGGATCTATTTTGCGAGAGTGGGGGAGTCCCGATAAGCATAGGTACCGGGGGCTACTGGGACAGTGCATCATGGCAGGTTGTGCGATGCGGAGCTGCGACTTGTCCCGTGTTGGTTATGAGCTGCATCATAATGCGTCAAGTCGCGCCTCTGCACAATGTTCAAATCGGGACTTGGTACTGCATCGGTAACCGGGCTATAATGATCAGGCAGCGCTCGTTGGGTAGGACGATTACGGGGCGTACGGGGTTCACGGAAATCGTCTGCTTCCATCGTCGTCGTTCACCTCCAGATCCCGTCTGCAGTCCTCCACACCCAATTCCAAACCTGATCACCCTGAACACCCTTCACCGCATGGGCGAGTGCTCACGAGCCCATTTTTTCTCGACCTTGAGCCACAAGTCGCCGTTGAAAGCTGTATACTGTGACATGCAAAGCTCATCTTCGTGAACTGCAAAAAGAAATTAAGATGTTGCATGCTTTAACGATCAAGCCTACAGCTATCGTCAGCACGAGGACAAAAGGAGTATCCTGATACATTTGGTTCCCCACAAACACTCCTCCTTTTCAGTTCGTCACAAGAGACGAGACTGAAACAATGGCCACGGAGCAGCACTCAGGGTAGCCGAACGCCGGAAGCCCACTACCTACCCGGAGCTTTTCCGCGGCGGGCCACAACAGCTCGTCGTGTTGGGTTCGGAGGTGGGCGGACGCTGGAACGAGCAGGCTCGCACTTTCGTGCGGGACCTCGTCCGGTTGAAAACTCACCGGGCCCCGCCCACACTCCGCGCAGCGGCGTCAGGTGCTTGGGCGAGGCGCTGGTGGGGCATGTTGTCCGTGGCGGTGCAGCAGGCCGTCGCCAGCACAGCCTTGGGCGGCTGGGTGCACCCCCTGCAGCCCGAAGCCTGCGATGGCCCACCGCTGGACACCTTGCTCCACCATGAGGCCCCCGCCGGCCAGAGCCGCCTGCCGTTGAGGCCCTGACAAGGGGCGTAGCGTAGTCTGTCCTCTGTCGGGTAGCTTAGTCAGCTGCGACCGCGGTTGCAACCGCTTTCGCTCGGCAGCTCGAAAAGTCCGAAAAAAAAAAAATGGCCAGATGCACACTCCGTCCACTATACAAGTAGTAACTATTGGCGCATAGAGTACGAAACAACAGCTTGTCAAGGCCAGCCTATGGCCCCTGTGCATACCCCCGCGATGCACGTAGTCTTTTGTATTTCTTTTTTCGAGGTGCTTGTTGTCTCTTATGCCCCAGTGGGCCAACACTCATTGCGCCACCTAACTCTAGACACTGGACTATTCCTTCGGTGTCTACAGAACACTAACAGAAGATTTGCAGCATATTCCACTGAATATACATCCAGACGCATCGGAACACTCTGTGACCCGGTGCGCCTCCCCGACGAAGTTCATTCCGCATCTCAAAGTCAGCTGCCTTCGAGCGGTGGCTTAGCCTTGCCCAAGACCTTTGTGAGCCCATCAGCTTCCAAGTCATTGGTGCCCCTGTGACAGATTTGTATATCATGCGTCCATGCTAGATCACGAATGTAGGCACAACGGATTGCGAAATGCTGGGTTCGCATCGTCTGTTCATGAAAACGTTCCTTAGTCAGCGAGCCCCGCCTGGGGCCAGAGAAGCGTCCGACACAATCCGGAACACCCATTGATCGTCGCCATTGGCCTCTGAACCTTCGGACTCCTTGTAACCATACTTGTCCCAAGTACCCCGAAGGTATCGCCAGATTCCCTTGCACAGCCGAAGGCTCTCCGTAGGCCGTACAGTTATCAGCGTTGAAGCGATTCCAAGGCACGCAGCCCACATCAATGTTCCGGCCTCCTTCCGAGCCAACTTCATGTTGCGCTGGAAATTGCTATCGCGAAGTTCTGATCCCGCAAGTCCTTCGGAAGGTACCGGGAGCGACTCAGACCCCTTTAATGCTAGCCAGCCCCGTGCTCGGAGTTCCTGGGCCCCATATTTGGCCTGTCCAATCTGCAAGCCTGTTTCTGAAGCAGAAATTTCCGCGCCCAAGAACCGCATGCACTGAACAAGTTTCAAAGTCAAGGTATCACTGATTTTTACATCCTCGGTGAGGTTCACGCTGGGTTTAGCAAGAATTCCCTGACCCTTGATTGCCCAGAGCCCTTGGATGTACGCAGTCACTCCTCGGATAACTTCCACGCATCCAAGAACCAGACCATCATCAACGTAGCAACAGCATGCTCCTACTACCGCTCCACGCGAATCCACCACCTTCCACAAGCCTGCAGCCAGATTGAGTGGAACCAGGGTCAATGCTGAGAGTCCGTCGGACGATGTCGGCTCAATAACTGCATGATTCAGCTTCGTGTCTCGTTCCTTCTGCCATTCCGTCGGTCCCCGACGTAATCCGTAGATATTCTTGCGCGCGATCCACACCGTATTTGGCGAAACCATGTTCAGATCCCGCATGACTTTCGGCGGGCTAAGAATCACAGGATCCCCGGACGATATGTCAACTTTTAAAAAACCTTCCTCTACGTCAAGACCGCCCAACGTCCAAGCATCGTTGGATGCAGCAAGAGACACGAAAGTGCGTACAATTTCAAGTGGAATGTTTGAAGATGACCACGGCTCACCATTGTTGTCAACCCCCGCTTCGCAGTTGCCACGTGCACAAAGCCTGCTCTTTTCCAAGAAACCATCGGCGTTGGCTTCAGCTGGGTTGTCACAGGGCTTCAAAGTAGCAACGATCTTCGACGGTATCTCTCGGGGCAATGGCTTTGATTCATCAATCCCCAACTTCTCCCTGAGCTGAGTTCGGAGCACCTCCTCGAGCACCCCATTCATCTTGCCATAGTCCTTTACCAGCGATGCCTTCCAGTTTTCTTGGCGGTCACCGGTGTAAAACCCCTTCAAGTCGACAGTCTCAGCCTGGGCCGGCGCCGTGCTAGCTTCCAACAGTCGAGCTTCGATCTCATTTCCCAGCTGCGCCTCCTCGTATGATAGCAAGTGGTACTTCTGCCAATTCACAGCCCTGTCCCCATGTTCGGGCTTTGGATGCTTCGTTGTTTCATTGATTGCAGCTGCGATTGGATATCCCTCCAACGGACTCTGACCATGTTGCACCTCTTCCACTGTGATCAATCCAAGGTCGATGCCAATATCCCGCACATCATCTGCACTCTTTGCTTCTCCTGAATCAAAGATCCAAATAAGGTCCCCCGACAAGGTTTCAAAGGTATGCCAACGCTGTGGCTCCTCCTTCACCAATGCAGGCAAGCGGGTAAGGATGATTACGGGTTTTCCATTTCGCGTCACCTGAACGAATGCCCCATGGGTAGCCCGATCTGAGCGTCCCAAGAAAATGCTTGCCTCCACTCTCGCCTCCAATGGCGAGGGGTCGATAACCTTCACGGCGACAGCATCCCCAGGAAAAGGCACTTCCCCGTGCCACAACTTGCCCAAGATCTGCTCTCTCTGGATGCGTGCTGCTTCACTGAACAGATAGGGCCAGTGCATTGAAGATACCTGTCCTCGGACAATGAACTCTCTCACTTTCTCTTTCAAGATCCCAACAGTGCGCTCCGCCAAGCCGTTAGCAGCAGGGTCATGCCCAGAGGTCGTTGTTTGGAACACTCCCACATTGTTCAAGTACTCTGCAACCTTGATTGCCAGGAATTCCTTTGCACGATCGGAATGAAGACGAACGACTTGTTTGCTACCCACTAAGGCACAGAGTTCACTCAAGATTGAAGATACACCCTCACACACGTCGGTCCACAGTCGTTTCTTGAGACACCGGACAAACGGCAACACATTGTCCTCAGATCTCAAGACTGCCACAAGAACATAGCGCTCCCTGTTCGCAGATACTCTGTATGGTCCTGCGAGATCAATCGGCAACACTCCGCGTGATAAATCTTCGGCCTTGATTCTCAGGTGAGGTCTTCGAGTTCCGCGTGCTCTAAAGTCATCTAGTCCATGACCTACCGCCGCCGCACCGACACCATGGCTCACCTCTACCCTTTCAGCCTCATTCCCGAACTTTCCGAAATCCCCAAGACCCTGAAAAACCCCTGTCGTCACGTCGTCCAAGTCCTCCTCGGATAGCCACGCGTTTGGCTGGTCATTCGGGGGATCTATTGGGTGCTTAGAGCTCCGGCTGGGTGGATCAAGGTCCTTAGGGCTTAACGTCGGCGGGTCAAGGTCCTTAGGGCTTAGCGTCAGCGGGTCAAGGTCCTTAGGGCTTAACGTCGGCGGGTCAAGGTCCTTAGGGCTTAACAGGGCCATGGTTGACAGTGGCTGCCGTTGCCGCTGCTGCTGCACCAAATGCCGGGAAGTCCAGACTATTCAGGCGCTGCCTTTCAGAAGATTCCAAGTTCTTGATGTCTTTACTTGTGAACAAGGAAACAGCAACTCGCATGCCCTTCCACGGAGCTGTACCGTGCCACAACTTGGGGGAGAAGACCACGGGTGTTCGCTGTGTGGGGTGCAACATACCTTTCAGGCTTTTATGCTTACCCACCTCGCGGATTTCATCACCGTTTGGATTCTCCACCCACAACTCCCCTCCCCGACATGACCTCTGATGGTTCAAGACTACGAGGATGTTCTGGGTATCGTTCTCGTTTCCAAGATCTCGATGCGGCGCAAAGGTGATGTCCTTTGAAATGGTAAACGAGGACCACGACATACCGGGGTTTTCTTGTTGCATAAAACGGTTCACCAATCTTGTCAAGAGAGGCCTTTCATCAGTCCTTTTAGTGACTCCCACGTGTGATCCCATATTGAAAGCCCCGAAAACCCAACACTCAACCTTGTCGTCGGAGGTGTCAATAGGACCTACGCTTCCTCTGCGGTGCAAGATTCGACTTCAAAATTGCTTCTAGCACATCATCATATGAAATGTGGTCCTTACATAGGATCTGCTCAGCAACTCTTTCGCCAATGTGTCCCACAGGCTCCTCCTGAGCACGGTGTTCAGCTTCGCATGCGACGAAGTCCTCCAATGTCACATATCGCGGCTCTGCTGGGGACTCCACATGGGCACACATGCTGCGCTTTCGGACCTTATGTGCTTGGGACAACTGCTTCCGAATCTCTACAAAGTCACTCCAGGCCAAGTAGGGCAATCCATTCTCGATGCACAAGTGGTATGTTGTCTCATCCTCACCATCATCACGTTTCAGCTGTGCTCCTGTGATGGGGTCCCATACAAACCGATATCCTAGGGCAACTATCTTACCTATAGGGGCGATCCATGCATCACTTCCCGGAATAGCCAATTCCCCATCACGCGTGCGCCAAGCCTCAACCTCATTTCCATCAGCTAAAGTCAAGCTCACACTAGAGGAACGGGGCGGAGGCCCGTTTCCGGTAGGTCTGATGACCTCATTTGCACCTGTATCTGCAAGGACAAGATCGTCCCCCCCTGCATGCCCCAGTGCACTTCCTACAGCGGCTGCTGCTAGGGGTTTCTGGTGTGCTCCATCTGTCCCTTCTAGGTACAAGGATTCCGGTTGCTGCACACTCGTCGGTCGTCGATGCAGACAAGCGCTCACAGGTGGATGGTGAGCCTGTGTCACATGTGGCACTGCCCGCGAAGTTGCCCGCATCTCCGCCCATGGAACTGTTGAGTTTGTTGCCCTCGGTGGTGCAGCTACATTGGGCGGTGGCCTCGGCCACTCACGCACAATCGGCTGCTGAGTGATTCTTGCGACTGCGAATCTTCGTTCACGGCCAGTCTTTAAATCTACCACCCAAGCTACGAAAACCGGTCTCGGGATCCCATCTGCACACTGCACCAGCGCAGCGTCAAGCTTGATCATGTCTACACCATCAGCCACTGGAATCACTCCGCTATCATCCTCATCCAACTGGTCATGTATGACAGTGAACCACACTGCCCACGTCACCGACCGCGGATTCGGCTCAGTGTAAAAGGCACTGTCTGCAAAGCTCTGAATTTCAGGTGGCCCACGACCTTCATCATCTACATATTGTCCCGTGCGCCTATGCGTCCACGCAACATAATCCCTTACGCTAAGATCTAAAACCTAGAGCGGGCCCCCCGCATTCGACACATAAGCTGCAATTCCTTGGGGTTGCTCTTGCTCTGTATCTGAAGACTCCGCTACAATAGATTCTTGATCGGGATATAAACCTTGCTCAACATCGGACCACTCCGGCGTGCTCGCCTCAGCGTGCATTGGCATCTCCTCCTCAGTTGAAGAAGGCGCTGCACTACTCTCCTCCTCAGCCTCTGCTGAATCTGCGTACCCGGAACTCCGAGCCATTGGAACATGCGACTTCACTCGCGCGGCTGAAGCTTTAGGATTGGGCTGTGCACCTACCAGTGGGGCCTGGGCCTGCGATGATGATGCTGATGCTTGCTTTGCGGCTGCCTCACCTTCGTGCTTGAATTTGCATTTCTCGCCAAACCTGCACTTACCGGTTTTCGACCACATCTGGCACACGGCTTGCGCTCCAACTGTGGTAGTCGGGGTTGAAGTCGATGGGCTGGCTTTAGGCTTGGCTGTGGGTTTTGGGTTAGGGGCTGACTTTGCTTTGGCTTTTGGCTCTACGCCGTCATGCTTGAAGTAACATTTGTCACCGAACTTGCACGAACCAAATTTCTTAAGAAATGGACATGGCTTCGTAGCGGCGCTGCCACCATTGCCCTTTCCATCCCCCTTGCCCTTTCCTCCCCCTTTTCCCTTAGCCGCCTGTGAATCCGGCTCGTTTTGGCGATTGTTTTTCACATGTTCGTCTGCACTCAGCAGCTGCAGCTGTTGATCGATTAGCGCTACCATGGATTCGACACCCGTAACCGTAGGCCGAATGATATCAGGCTGCGTGCGCAACAGACCCAGCATTGTCCTAAAGCGATCATGCCGCCTTTCAAGATTCCGAACTAGGGTCTCAAGTGCTTTCAGCTCCTCATACGGCGCAACCTGGGGCAGTGATAGCGATGTCGCGCGAGTACGCGCGAGGCGCCAGCGACGCAATGTGCTAAGTGCTTCCTTCGCCGTGGAAGCAGGCTGCAAACTACGGACAAACGCATTAAGACTTTGCATTTCGGCTGCCCCTCCGGGCTGCAACGTCTCCAACACACCTTCCAGCAAGTCGACTGCCCGAATCGGCTCGCTTTCATCGTTCTTTTCAAGAACCCCTTGCTTTAGCTCTGAAGGAATCCACCTTATCAAGAGAAGGACTAACCTATTTTCATTCTCAAGATCGGCAAGTGGAACCTCCCTCAGTGCTTCAAGTGATACTAGTCCAGATGATCGTCTCTGATGGCGCTGATCGGCAATCTGAAACTGGTTCTTTACGTAATCACCGAAACTGCCCGCAATCGTACTGGAAATAGTTTCTACTTGTTTGATCCACGTCCTGAGTCGCATGCCCAGTTCCCAGGGCTCCCCAGAACCTAGATTGAGCAATGGAACATCCTGAAGTAACTTCCAACGCCCGAGCGGTATTGCACCTGCCGTGACACTCGCCACGGATCCATGCTCCGGTTTCGGCTCTGCGGCCGAAGGCAATTCCCGAGATCCATCCTGTTGCACCTCCAAGCCGGGCGGGTGCTCTGCAGGTTGTGGTCCTGCGGCTGTGTCAAGATTCTCGGTTTGATGACCGCGTGGCATACAGGGATCTGCGGCCCACCACTCGGCTTCATACTCATTTATGCCTGCTTCATCCACAATGTTTTCCCCTTCAAGGAGATCACTGTGCAAGGCATAAGCTTCCCATGTCTGGTGCAAGACTTCCAGGTTCTGCTCCATCGCAGCCTGGCGGTCCGACATGGTAGCTACTGAGGCGTGTAGACCTGCAACGTCCTGGAACATCTCATCAAGACGCTGCATATGTTCACATACCGTTGTGCCCAGCGTATCCATCTCGGCACGCACCTCAGGCATGACTGCCCCGTCATGTTCGCCAAGGCCCTTTTGGACCAAGTCATCTAACCTGCCATCATTCCGCTTACACGCCTGCTCAAGCAAAGTAAGACGGGTCTGCAGATCATCCTTTTCCGAGCTGGCTTTCCGGAATCCAGCATCAAGATTATTTTGGATAGTCACAATGTGAGCCTCAACCTGGGCTTGCCACTGTTTGGCCCAACACTGCAGCCTCGGCTTTCGCCTGGACTGCGCTCAGCTGCTCGCGAGCTGTTGCCTCATGTCCACACTGAGTTGTTCACGTGTGGAGTCGATCTGCTGCTTCAATGACTGGTTTTCGTTCATAAGACAGGCCAAGGTACGGCTATGGGCCTCCATCCCTTGCTGAAGCCTGTCCAAATTATCCACCATGGCATTGTATCCAGAGTGGAGCGTTACACATGCATCCCCCAAGATGTTGGATCTGTACTGCATACGATCATTGAGTTCGACTACGGCCGCTCTTATGTCGTGAAGCAGAGTAGCATCCAGTGAAGCTGCCTGTGCAAACTGCTGAAGGATTGACGTCGGGATCTCCAGCCGTGTTGCCTGCACAAGGGTAGCCGTCTGCAAGGGCGATGGTGACTCAGTAACGCCTGCGGGGTTGCTATGTGGAGCCCTTGGGCTCATAACCTGTTGGTTATGAGCTGCATCATAATGCGTCAAGTCGCGCCTGTGCACAATGTTCAAATCGGGACTTGGTACTGCATCGGTAACCGGGCTATAATGATCAGGCAGCGCTCGTTGGGTAGGACGATTACGGGGCGTACGGGGTTCACGGAAATCGTCTGCTTCCATCGTCGTCGTTCACCTCCAGATCCCGTCTGCAGTCCTCCACACCCAATTCCAAACCTGATCACCCTGAACACCCTTCACCGCATGGGCGAGTGCTCACGAGCCCATTCTTTTCTCGAACTTGAGCCACAAGTCGCCGTTGAAAGCTGTATACTGTGACATGCAAAGCTCATCTTCGTGAACTGCAAAAGGAAATTAAGATGTTGCATGCTTTAACGATCAAGCCTACAGCTATCGTCAGCACGAGGACAAAAGGAGTATCCTGGTACATCTGGATCCCCACAAACATCCCGGACCCCCCCTACCTCAAGCCACCGTCGTAATAGGTACCGGTACCTATTTCCGACCCCCCTCTCGCTCCCCCACACCCCCCCCCCCCGAGGGGGTAGCCATGTGGCGACAGCTAGGAGACCGGACCACCGCGCGACCCAGGCCGTGATAGCGGCAGGGCGCATCTGCGCGTGCCGCCCTCGCGTTATGCAGAGGCGCCGTGCTGGTGTCGCTGGATGGCCGCAGCGCCTACCACGGCATGTCGCGGGCGGCCTTCCTCGGCAAACTCCGCGAGGTAGCGCCGGAGTTGCTCCCCTTCGTGCGCCTGTTTCACGTAATTTTTTTTTAAGCTTGTCCACTATACGCTGGCCGCTGCCGGGATGTCCACCAGGGCGAAGGGTGCGAGCAAGGGGACGCCCTCGCTCGCGCACTCTTCGCACTGGGACAGCACGATGCTCTCCAACAGGCGGCAGCGGCGCCACACCCCGACGACAGCCTCTTCTTGGATGACCTTTATGTTGTCACACAGCCGTCTCGCGCAAGCCGCCTTGGACACGACCGCGCGCGCTGTCGAAGCGCTGTATAGCGCGGTATGGCATCACATCCAATCTGGGCAAGACTCGGGGACCACCGGAACTGGGCGATGAACTGTGGCGAGGCGACAAGCCAGACGCTCAACGGGGTGTCGTCGTCCTCGGCTCGCCTGTGGGCCAGCCAGCCTTCGTGCAAGCATGGGCCGAGGACAGGTTGCGCGCTGCACGTCCCCTCGCGCGAACCACCCCTTTCGGCGTGTGCGACGCCAGCCTCGTACCACTCCTCCGGGCCGCTGCTTGCACAGGCTGGGTGCGGCGCTGGTCCGGCCTCTTTGCGGTCGCCGCCATGCGCGGCTTTGCGGCGTCCCTCCTCGAGCTGCCGCTTGGTGGTGACTTTTTAGCGGGGCGGGAGAGGTGCCCGGCCTCCACGAAGTCCTTGCCAAGGTCCGAGTCGGCTCTCCGCTCGTCGCTAGCCGCCTGCCGGCCTTACAGGCCCGTGGGCCGCAGCCTTCACGTACACTGGGACCGCAGTTGCCATTCGAAAAAAAACACAAGGGCGTGCGCAAAGCAAAAAAATATTTGCAATCCTTTCTGCTCATGCAAGCTCTTTGCCTTCTGCGATTTGCACAAAATAACTCGATTCTTGCTACGCCATCCTGGGAAAAGTATCTGAGCGGTAGCTGTTAAGGAGACGACGGACCACGCCTTTCGGCAGACGCAAAAAGGTGTGTTGGGCCTCTATCAATGTCCTTGACCAATTTCGGAGCCCACCACCAACTAATGGAGCAGCCACGGCTTTTTACTTCTGTCAATTTTCAGTGTGTGATCTTCAGTCGTACCTCTTTTTTGGTTCGGACATCGAGGCGATGCGACCCTCGTTTCACGGGACGGGGCATCCCCAGCCGGGAGCCGCTGATACAGACGGGGCCATGCTCAGGGTAGCCGAGCGCCGCAAACGGTGCACATACCCGGAGCGCTGCAGCGGAGGACGGCAAGAGCTCACTGGGCTCGGATGTCGGCAGGCGCTGGAATGGCGAGGCTGGCCGCTTCGTGCAGCACCTAATCCGCGTACGGTCGCAACGAGCTTGGCTGGTCGCGCCGTTGGTGGGGCTTGCTGGCTGTTGCCGTGCAGAAGGCTGTCGCCAGCACGGCACTGGGGCAGGCTTGGAAGTGCCCGCTCCACCCGTGTCAGAGGGATGGGCCGCCCCTCGATCGAGCGCTCGAGCTTGCCGGACCAGCCGCGAGCCCCAGTCGCTTGCCGCTGCGCTCGTGGCAGTTGGCGGCGACGATCCTATGTAGCCGCATGTAGCCGCAGCTGCGGTGGCAAGCCTGCCCCCTGGCAGCATAAAAGGGACAGCCACCTTCCAGGCGGAAAAGAGGCGTGTAAACAAAAAAACATCCCTCCAAACCTTCTATCAACCTTGCTGCATCTACTACAACGACAACGGCGATCACTCTACTGTCGCAACTATCACCACCACCACTAGATAGTACAGCTGGTGCCCCTCCATGAGTACACATGCATGCATGCATGCCCGCGGCACAGTGACGATTTTGGCTTGCACAAATAGCGGGAGTTCAACAGATGATGGACAAGATTGTTTACGCAACAAACAATCAGCCGCAGAGAGCCAGACCATAGGTGAAGCGCATCGACATCCGGTTCGGAAGCATCCGCCAGCCACTACCAGCTTTGTTGCACACACGTCGTTTCGTGCTGTTGGCATGCACCGTTGGCTGGATTAGAATTCTCGTGGCAGCTGCAAGGCGCCGTGTTAAGCATATCGTAGCTTGAGATGCAGATCGTGAAAACTCCCTGACAATGGTTCCGTGTCATCTTAATAATAGAAAGCAATTAGGTAACCAGCCCGGATGTTGCAGTTTTCCGCGAGGTGATGCGCTTGTCTTGGGAGCATGGCGCTTCTCCGGGCAGGTGCGAAATTGGGGATGTGTGCAAGAGCAACTCGAAGTAGCAATGGTAGGCATGCGCATGATCGGTTGCATTGTTCACCTTGATCGGCATGGCCGGCATGTGAAAGCCTGGAGGTGCGAGGTGTGTTGTCCCTGCGTAGCGATTGGTCTTGCGGCGACGCGGTCGCCTGAGCCACACTCACACCCGAGTTTTTTCTGTGTCTGTCGTGCTGTGTGACATGCGCATCTGCCGAAGGCTGGGAATTATTGGCGTCTTCAATTGGGAACAAGGCAGGGCGCTTGAGAGTTTGGTTTCAGATTTCCGTGGATGCATGATATGCAGATTTAAGCCCTCTTCTGTTCTTGGCTCAAGTCATGCTTTCCAATGCTTGCATTTGTGGTTGGTTGGTCGGCGGATGGACGTTTGTCCAATCGGATCCTCGTTTGCATGCTGAGGTAGGATTTTGTTGTCATTGCGCTGCCGTCCCGCAATAAACACGGAGCCGGACAGGAGTTGCCTTCACGTCTAAATGGAGAGCAGCTTGTGGAGACATGGCAGACCCGGACCTTTGGAAGCGCACCGTTGCACATTCGGCCCTCCGACGTCTGGCCACCAACGCTCACAAGAGAATCCTGGACTTGCAGGAGCTGGTCAGCGATGTCGAGGTTGAAAGAGCCGCTCGCTTGTTACATTTTGCAGACTGTTTTCTTTGTAATTCTAACGCTTTCTATTGTTGCCCCAATGCATTTCAAGGATCTCGTGGCTGCTGATTTGCAAATTGCGGCATTGGAAGAGCTGCTGAAGCAATCCCCAAGTCCAGAGCGAAATGTGCCCATGTGTGCAGAACGCCGAGGAAGGACCTGCACGTTGATGCTAGGAGACGTGAGGTTTCAAAGTTTTTCGAACGTTGAGATGCGCTGCAAGGAAATACGCTGCCCTCCCAGCAGCACCACCTCTTGGTCCCATGCCGGATGGTACTTTTCGTTCGACGGTTGACTGCTGGAACCGCAAGCGTGATCGGAAGTGGGTGGAAAAGAAATTAGGGATTGCAGAGAAGGGAGCCTTGGCTGCACCGCAAGGTCAAGCTTTCTGAAACTGTGAACTGGATGGCGTTGCTATTTTCATAGATCGTTTTGATGTGTCAGTACATCAGCCCAGGCAACAGCACCACCGTCTTCGTGAATGAGCTTGACACGGCAGTTGTCATCGCAGTTGGATATCGTCGCGTGCTTTATGGCGACCACGGCCCGTATATTGAGTTCACGAAAAGCCAGATTCATTGGGAAAGCTTTCCGGTTATCAAGCCTGACAAGCCACTGCATGCTTATTATGATGAGCGCTTCACAGAAGATCAGCACGTAATGGCTTACGAACAGCGCAAAACTGTTCGTGACAAGCCAAACCCTCCACCTGGCCCGTGGTCAGCGAACCACAATCGAGTTGAGACAGGGTACGCAGACTACCAACCTGGATACGTGTACGTGTCTGCCGATTGCCTGGATGTTTTGCCACAGGACAGGCCTGACAGACCGGCTAAGCGAAGAAAGCAATGTGATGCTGTTATCGATGGTATGCTGGCCTTGAGACGGCTTGGTGATCTGTTGTGCCACGAAAAGATTTTGGCCTACGGCGTTAGTGTTGTCTAATTCGGGCGCGCTTCAGACCTTCTCAAGATACAGCTTGATTGAAAGGCTTTGCGTGCCAAATTTAACTTGCTGCATTTCGATCTAGTGGTAATTGGCTGTATGGGACCGGCTAAATGCTTTTAAGCTTTCCATGACTTAGAGCTTGCTGCAGTCTGCATGAGTGGCACAGACCCAGGTGCAAAGTTTCGAGGTTACCCCGGAAAGCATGCAGTCAATATCTCGACGGTGCATTGGCTTGAAATCGGGCTGGGCTCCAATTTGCAACGAAAGCAGCGGACATCTGTTGCAGCAGCTTGTGCTGTGGCAATAGCTTCAGCTGCCGTTGCCGAGGGCGTCGTAATTGAGCTTCTGGAAGTCAAGCTCGTGACGGCAATCGGCACAACAGCAAGATACACGGCTCAAGAATCGAGGATTGCGTGCCTGCATGCGCAAGAGCAGAGAGGCACGATGCGCCTGGATGCTTGAAGCTGCAAGCAAGCATCGGAGAGGAAGGTTTCCATGAGGTGTGCGTAGCAGCATAGCAATATGCATACCGTCGACACTGCCTCCTTTCAGCTGCAAAGATACCGGCTCCTGAGCACCGGCTGCAGGTTTCTTCTTCAGTCCAGACGAGTCCGTGGGCGGGTGCCAAGGGCCGGATTATCATTTCGGTGATAAGGAAGTGCAATGGAGGACGGCTTCTCTTGCACGGAGGTGCTCATGAAAGTTGCGCATTCTCGAATGCAGGAGCGCTTGGAAGGGAGACTGTGCGTTCTTGTACAGGAATGAACCCGAAGACAAGCAGGCTGGCAGAAATTTGCGGTCCTTGCGTGCAGTGGGCAGGTGCCCGGAAGTTAAAGACGTGTAGGTGCTGCATTGGCGGTCTCCTCGAAGCGAAGAGTACGATGCATGCTACCGCATGGCTTGCAAGGCGGAAAGTGCAAGTGATTGGGTGCTAGCAAGGGCAAGCCGGAAATCTGTTGCGGGGCTGAGTAGATTTCTGAAGGCTTGGCGCAGAGGCAGAGGATAGTTTTAGAGTTTGAAAGGCTTCGAAGCGAAATTCAGACCTTGTTCGCTTTTCAACCTTAGTGCTTCCATGAAGATGGCTTCGTTTTGCCAGGAATTCTGCAGATCACACTGGTGCATGGCCAAAACTGTGCTGCTCTCAGAGGAAGGGAAGCTTGACATGATCGGATCGTCTTCGACTGGAGGTTGCGGCTGCGGTTTGGTCGTTCGCAATTTTTCTGGTGCTGACCTCTCTTTGCAGCTGCGCCGTCGTAGGTTGGACGGTTGGACTTGCATGCATTTGAGAGCAGATGCCTTGATGTTGGCACGACACTTTAGCCTGTCAAGGCGCCCTAGTTCATGCGCATGTTGGAGATCCAATTTCTTCATGCGGTTCTGCCGCGACAGGCTACAAGCTCGGGTCACACATGTCGAATGGGGACAGACGCGAGCTAGGCTGGCTGCACGATTTGCAGTTGAAGTATATATAGGTATTCGGTATTCATGCGTTGCGAGACGGCTGCAATGCTTTGATTGCGAGTGTTGCAGGCGGCAGTTCGTGCAGCGTGTGTAGCAGCACCAGCAGCGCATGAATGGGGCCGGCGGCCGGAGATTAGGAAATGCCAAGATCGATGGCCGAAGGCCATGGCACTTACTCTTGCCATGTAGGGGCAAGTGAGACAAGTCAAGACCCAATTCAATGTTGCAGCAGTCGCCCAAGTGTTTGTTTGCTTCAGACATATCCTGCCTTTTCATTCTTCCTCACCTGCTGTCTCTGTTTTTGATGGGCTGTGACTGCGCGACTGCAAGACTTCGACTGCATGGGGCGAAGGTCTCCTCAGGCCGGAGAAGACTTCACTGGGCAGATTTTCCCCCTATGCTACAGCATCCCAGCAGCCTCCTCCTGTTATGTTTCTGAATCGGGCAATACTCGCGGGCCGAGCTTCTGTTGACAGCTGTTGGTGGACGCATGCTTGCAACGAATTCGTCGCTCTCGACCTCATGTCGTGACCTTTCACGAATCTTCAAGATTTTTAGCCAGTGCCCATTCGCAAGAGCAAAGCTCATCAAGAAGGGCGCTCGCTGAGAGGTGCCTTGCTCGTGTAGAGAGTGGCATTGAACTGAGTCACTATGCCACGAGGCAGGTTGTTGACTTGTCGGATGCGCTTCTTTGCAAGGCTGGACCCGAATTCGTCACCTCATACTTTAATGTTCTTAACTTAAACTTGAAAAGCTAGCAGCATCAAAAGATGCGACCTGCGTTGGCTCCAGCAGTTCAGGGTTCTGAGATGAATTGATGCAACAACTCCATCGTTACAGGATAATCCGGAATTTCGTACTTCTGGAGCTTTCCGCATGCACATTGGAGATTGCGATTCTATCGCAAATCCGGCAGAGTCACAAAGACTTGCACAGTTCGGCTGTTGCTGCATCCCCTTCAAGGCGGTCACAACATCGCGATATTCCGGGGCTGTTCGGCATTGAGGGGCAGGAAAGGAGGGGACCAAAACACTTGTGTAGATTTACTAACAATGTGGCCTAAATGTTGGCCGTTGATCACGATCGACATCCCCGGAGATTGCTGGTAGCCTCGAGTTGCTTCGTAGTTCTTCGTGCTGCGGGCTGGACGCTCAGCACCCATCGGTCAGACACCGGCTTGGCTCGAGAGAAACGGCCGCTGGAGCAGTTGTGCGCGAAGGGACTGTCTGTCCAGCTTCTTCCAAGACCCGGGCTACAACCGATGGAGCTTAGGTACATCTTATCGCTAGCCAGGCATTCTGTTCATCGTCGCAGAGCTCAGGCAGTTCAGCAGACAGCTATGATGACCCCACCCGCCATTCCCAGTGAAGAAGCTTTATGCAGAAAGTGGGATGATGGAGCATGGTGAAGTTACGGCATGTTAAATCAGCCCAGAAGAATCTCTAACTGCCTCATGGTGTGCACTGAGGACCCTACTTACTTAACACCGCGGGCTTGCAGAAGTATTTGAACCTTTCCTCTCGTGGAGGCAAGCAGCTGCAGACGTCTGATTCCTGAACCCTCAGCCAGAGAGCCAGCTCCTCGCCCCCAGCTCCAAGGCTCAAGTTCCTGGTTCAGTGATGCTTAGTAGTGCCAGAAATCAAGCCTTCAGGTTCTTCAGCCAGCTCTGCCTAGCCATGCAGAAAGCAACCCTGACTGGATGCAGCATCCAAGCAGCTTCCATTCGCCCCAGAGCCCCTTACCAAACCAGATCTGTAGCTTACAAGCGGAGCGTAGAGTGCAGCACGCCACCCGAGTGCTGCTGCACCTGCTCTTCTCGATAGCAGAATGAAGGCCGGTGGGTGCAAGGATCGGCAATGAGACTTTGCAAGCAGCTTCGGAAACGACCTGAAGAAACGATGCCATCTCTGTGGGAAAAAGACAAGAGACAGTATCCACTAGCGAGAGGCCTTCGTTCTGCCATCACAGAACTCCATAAAGCCTTGAGTCTTACGCTCTTTCGTTGCCTGCCAGATCTTCAACTGGGCCTTTGCTCTCGTCGTACTGCTTGGCATAGTTCTGGCAGTGATCCGGGAACCTTGGCGGCACTCGCAGCGATGACACTTCCAAAACCCATCCCTGAATTGCTCTGTCAGATCTGCTTCGTGGCATGGCTCGGACAGTGTTACAGCCAAAATGTGAATCGCACATCAACCGCAGAGAACCTTGAAGCGAATGCACTTGTATTTTTCAGGAGTCACGAGATGAGGAGCCTGAACAGCTTGCAATGGCAACAAGGGATGGCTAGCTATTCTTCTCGCCCAAGCCTGCAGGACATGAGCACAAGACAACTGCGGTGGCAGAGCCTGACATCGCAGTTGCCAAAAGCAGATCAGGACATCCGCGCATGTGCATGTGTGTGTTTGGCATCCACAACAGTTCTCTCAACTGGCAGGAGAGCATCCACGGATTTGGCAGGCGACTACAAGGAGCAACAACCACAACTGTAACAACGACATCCACAAGCAGCACTGGCTCGACCAGCACCACCATTAGCACAACACAGACGAGCGTGACGAGCACGACCTCGTTATCCTCAACCACATCAGCGACAACAACGAGCACGACTAGCACCGTCTCGACCAGCACCACCATCAGCACTACGCAGACGAGTGTGACGAGCACGACCTCGTTATCCTCAACCACATCAGCCACGGAGACAAGCACAAGTAGCAGTATCTCGACTAGCACGACCATTAGTGCTACGAGCACCACCTCGTTGTCGTCAACCACATCAGCCACGACAACAAGCACAAGTAGCAGCATCTCATCTAGCACCACCATCAGTGCTACAAGCACGACCTCGTTATCCTCAACGACATCAGCCACAACAACAAGCACGACTAGCACGGGCTCGACCAGCACCACAATCAGCACAACACAGACGAGTGTTACCAGCACCACCTCGTTATCCTCAACCACATCAGTCACATCAACAAGCACAAGCAGCACTGTCTCGACAAGTACCACGACTAGCACAACATCCACGAGCATCTCGAGCACGACTTCAGTATCTTCTTCTACATCTACCACCTCCACCAGTACAACATCAAGTTCTTCATCCACCTCCAGCACTTCCTCAACTTCAACAACGGCAACCAGCACAAGCAGCACCAGCTCGACCAGCACTTCCACCAGCACGACGTCGACTAGCACTACATCCAGCTCAACAAGCACGTCGAGCAGCACGTCAACGAGCTCGACAAGCACTTCCTCATCGTCTTCCAGCACTACCTCAACATCGTCTACATCAACGAGCACCAGCAGCAGCAGCTCGACCAGTACAAGCACCACCATGACTACCTCCACAACGTCTTCGACGAGCACCTCCAGTACGTCTTCATCCACATCCACGACAACAACTTCAACCATCACAACTTCGACAACCACTTCTACATCTTCGAGCAGCAGCAGTTCGACCAGCACTAGTACCTCGAGCAGCAGCTCCAGTACAACATCCACAAGCACCAGTAGCACTTCTTCTAGCAGCTCAAGCACCACTTCCTCGTCATCCACCTCAACAAGCACGAGCAGCAGCAGCTCGACTAGTACTAGCACTACTCGAACTACTTCCAGCACCACTTCCACAAGCACCACCAGCAGTTCCTCATCCACTTCGAGCACGACATCCACGTCGACCACATCCACATCCACAACCTCCAGCAGCACAAGCAGCAGCAGCTCGAGCAGTTCTTCGTCGTCTTCGAGTACGACCTCAATGACAACCACATCAACAAGCACTAGCAGCAGCAGCTCGACAAGCACAAGCACGACTGGCACTACCTCCACAACATCTTCGACAAGCACTACAAGCACGTCGTCATCGACCTCCACGACAACATCGACATCGAGTTCTTCATCGAGCTCGACGAGTAGCAGTTCCACCAGCTCCACCAGCAGCACCACATCCACGAGCACCACAAGCTCATCGTCATCAACTACATCCACGACCTCGTCGTCGACCACCTCAACATCCACGAGCAGCAGCAGCTCGACCAGCACTTCCACCAGTACAACCTCGACTAGCACTACATCCAGCTCAACAAGCACATCGAGCAGCACATCAACTTCGACGACAACAAGTAGCTCGAGCAGCAGTAGCTCGACTAGCACTACGTCCAGTACCACATCAACGAGCTCGACAAGCACTTCTTCATCGTCGTCGAGTACGACCTCAACGTCAACCACATCAACGAGCACCAGCAGCAGCAGCTCGACAAGTACAAGCACCACACACACTACCTCCACAACATCTTCGACGAGCACTACAAGCACGTCGTCATCGACCTCCACAACAACATCGACATCGAGTTCTTCATCGAGCTCGACGAGTAGCAGTTCCACCAGCTCCACCAGCAGCACCACATCCACGAGCACCACGAGCTCATCGTCATCAACTACATCCACGACCTCGTCGTCGACCACCTCAACATCCACGAGCAGCAGCAGCTCGACCAGCACTTCCACCAGCACAACCTCGACTAGCACTTCATCCAGCTCAACAAGCACATCGAGCAGCACATCAACTTCGACGACAACAAGTAGCTCGAGCAGCAGTAGCTCGACTAGCACCACGTCCAGTACCACATCAACGAGCTCGACAAGCACTTCTTCATCGTCGTCGAGTACGACCTCAACGTCAACCACATCAACGAGCACCAGCAGCAGCAGCTCGACAAGTACAAGCACCACGCACACTACCTCCACAACATCTTCGACGAGCACTACAAGCACGTCGTCATCGACCTCCACGACAACATCGACATCGAGTTCTTCATCGAGCTCGACGAGTAGCAGTTCCACCAGCTCCACCAGCAGCACCACATCCACGAGCACCACAAGCTCATCGTCATCAACTACATCCACGACCTCGTCGTCGACCACCTCAACATCCACGAGCAGCAGCAGCTCGACAAGCACCAGTAGCTCCAGCAGCAGTTCCAGCACATCCTCCTCGAGCACCAGTAGCACTTCCTCCAGCAGCTCCAGCACCACCTCAAGCTCAACTACATCGTCGAGCACAAGCAGTTCGAGCACAACTTTCACCACGTCCACCACAACATCTACAAGTACCACGTCAAGTTCATCGTCTACCTCCAGCACCACATCAACGTCAACAACATCAACCAGCACAACCAGCAGCAGTTCGAGCAGCACCACAACGAGCACCTCATCCACCAGTAGTACGAGCACATCTACATCTTCTTCATCCACCACGTCTACTTCTACGACAACAACATCAACAAGCAGTAGTACTTCGACCAGTACAAGTACCTCCAGCAGCAGTTCGAGCACCACATCCTCTAGCACAAGCAGCTCCTCTACCTCCAGCTCAAGCACTACTTCCACGTCATCCACCTCGACAAGTACGAGCAGCAGCAGTTCGACCAGTACGAGCACCACACGCACCACCTCAAGCACAACGTCAACGAGCACCACCAGCACATCCTCATCAACTTCCACCACTACCTCAACTACGACAAGTAGCAGCAGCACAACCAGCACCAGCACCTCCAGCAGCAGTTCCAGCACCACATCCACGAGCACTAGTAGCACTTCATCCACCAGCTCAAGCACGACATCAACTTCATCCACGTCAACTAGCACCAGCAGCAGCACCTCGACCAGCACTAGCACCTCCAGCAGCAGCTCCAGCACGACATCCACAAGCACCAGTAGCACTTCCTCTAGCAGCTCAAGCACGAGTTCCACATCATCCACATCAACGAGTACGAGCAGCAGCAGTTCGACCAGTACAAGCACTACTCGAACTACCTCCAGCACCACTTCCACAAGCACCACGAGCACTTCCTCATCCACTTCGAGCACCACATCAACGTCGACCACATCCACATCCACCACCTCCAGCAGCACAAGCAGCAGCAGCTCGAGCAGCACTACAACTAGTACAACAACCACGAGCAGTACTAGCACATCCTCCTCATCTTCATCCAGCACAACGACGTCCACGACTTCAACATCCACAAGCAGCACCAGTACCTCCAGCAGTAGTTCCAGCACGACGTCCACGAGCACCAGTAGTACGTCGTCTAGCAGCTCAAGCACGACGTCGACATCATCCACCTCGACAAGTACGAGCAGCAGCAGTTCGACTAGTACGAGCACCACGCGCACCACCTCCAGTACTACCTCCACGAGTAGCACCACAACCTCCTCATCAAGTTCAACCACTACATCAACCTCGACGACATCCACATCAACAAGCAGCAGCAGCACCACCAGCACTAGCACCTCCAGCAGCAGTTCCAGCACGACATCTACAAGCACCAGCAGCACTTCGTCCAGCAGTTCAAGCACGAGTTCCACGTCATCCACGTCGACAAGTACAAGCAGCAGCAGTTCGACTAGTTCGAGCACCACGCGCACCACCTCCAGCACGACCTCCACAAGCACCACCACAACCTCCTCATCAAGTTCAACCACTACATCAACGTCGACGACATCCACATCGACAAGTAGCAGCAGCACAACCAGCACTAGCACCTCCAGCAGCAGTTCCAGTACAACATCCACGAGCACCAGCAGCACTTCGTCCAGCAGCTCAAGCACGAGTTCCACGTCATCCACATCGACAAGTACGAGCAGCAGTAGTTCGAGTAGTACGAGCACCACGCGCACCACCTCCAGCACAACGTCGACGAGCACCACCAGCACATCCTCATCAACTTCAACCACTACATCGACTACGACAAGTAGTAGCAGCACAACCAGCACTAGCACCTCCAGCAGCAGTTCCAGCACAACATCCACGAGCACCAGCAGCACTTCGTCCAGCAGCTCAAGCACGAGTTCCACGTCATCCACCTCGACAAGTACGAGCAGCAGCAGTTCGACCAGTACGAGCACCACGCGCACCACCTCAAGCACAACGTCGACAAGCACCACCAGCACGTCCTCATCAACTTCCACCACTACCTCAACAACAACAAGTAGTAGCAGCACAACCAGCACCAGCACCTCCAGCAGCAGTTCCAGCACGACATCCACGAGCACTAGCAGCACTTCATCCACCAGCTCAAGCACGACATCAACCTCATCCACGTCAACTAGTACCAGCAGCAGCACCTCGACCAGCACTAGCACCTCCAGCAGCAGCTCCAGCACGACATCCACGAGCACCAGTAGCACTTCCTCTAGCAGCTCAAGCACGAGTTCCACATCATCCACCTCAACGAGTACGAGCAGCAGCAGTTCGACCAGTACAAGCACTACTCGAACTACCTCCAGCACCACTTCCACAAGCACCACGAGCACTTCCTCATCCACTTCGAGCACCACATCAACGTCGACCACATCCACATCCACCACCTCCAGCAGCACAAGCAGCAGCAGCTCGAGCAGCACTACAACTAGTACAACAACCACGAGCAGTACTAGCACATCCTCCTCATCTTCATCCAGCACAACGACGTCCACGACTTCAACATCCACAAGCAGCACCAGTACCTCCAGCAGTAGTTCCAGCACGACGTCCACGAGCACCAGTAGTACGTCGTCTAGCAGCTCAAGCACGACGTCGACATCATCCACCTCGACAAGTACGAGCAGCAGCAGTTCGACTAGTACGAGCACCACGCGCACCACCTCCAGTACTACCTCCACGAGCAGCACCACAACCTCCTCATCAAGTTCAACCACTACATCAACTACGACAAGTAGTAGCAGCACAACCAGCACTAGCACCTCCAGCAGCAGTTCCAGCACAACATCCACGAGCACCAGCAGCACTTCGTCTAGCAGCTCAAGCACGACGTCGACATCATCCACCTCGACAAGTACGAGCAGCAGCAGTTCGACTAGCACGAGCACCACGCGCACCACCTCAAGCACAACGTCGACAAGCACCACCAGCACGTCCTCATCAACTTCCACCACTACATCAACGTCGACGACATCCACATCAACAAGTACTAGCAGCACATCAACATCCAGCACTACATGGACCAGCTCTTCGACGACGTCCTCAAGCAGTACGACCAGTAGTACCAGTAGCACGACGACAAGCTCCAGTACCACGTCATCTTCGAGCACTACCACCACCACGACCAGCTCCACCAGCACCAGCTCCACGACATCATCTAGCAGCTCTACAAGCTCGACATCCTCGTCCACAACGACGACTTTCACCAGCACCACTACCATCACGCACACTGCAACAACAACTAGCAGCACCGTCAGCAGCACCACTTCCTCCACGACCAGTAGTACAACTACCACCTCCACGTCCTCTACGACGACCCTTGTATTCCTTTCGATTGACTCTGCCGAAGTTTTGAATGATTTCCAGGCCTCTCAGAAGCACCAGGAACTACTGCAGGGTTTTTCGAACCGTTCGATGCACGCTGGATGCACGCTTCCCCTTGACCGAAACCCTCCGAGTCTCGGATCGGTGTTGCTGCTCCTCTGCCCCAACCCTCCGAAAATCAAAGAGCCGCCTGAGTGTTCGCCGACCGTTGGGAGAGAGTGCTGAGGTCCTGCGCCTGACGTTCAATGAGCCTGCCAGGTGCCATTTCGATGTTTTTGGCAAGTGGTTGGACTCTACATCGCTAGTAGTGGTCCCGACCTTCGGTTGGATAAGATCTCCCCTGTTTTAGGAGAATACAGTGCGCGAGTGAACTGAGCTTGCCGAGAGGCTGCGCACCGTCGGTCTGGTAGCTGACCTGGGTGCAGGCCTGTTGCAGCTACGTTTTCCGCATCCTCGATGCTCGCGTGTCTTTTTCTGTTATCAGGCAATCGGCTGGCAGACGATGCGCCTTGTGCCGAAATCTTCGATGCTGCAATGCACGAAGCACTGGGATCTCCGCAGGCTTGCGTTTGGTCGCAGGACGATGCTTCTGGTGGTGTGAGCGCATGTTGCGTTGCTCGGTTGTTTCTGGTACCAGATATACTCTCTGTAGGACCACCTAGAGCTGGACGTACCTCTCAGTGGCTGGGACGCACTTGGCGCATCAAGTCGGGCGGGATGCGGGGCAAGTGCTTTGTTCACATGAGTTTCACATGACCGAGGTGCGACTTCGACGCTCCTGTTGGGTGAGAACGTGACGACTGGGGTAAACACTGTGGTTCCAGCAGGCCAGATCCGAAGGTTCAGTTAACACGCATCTCTGTAAGATGTCGAAGCACGGTTTCGTCCGGAGTGTTACTCACGCGGTCAGGAAACATCGCTTTCCTGCCAACTCCACGACTAAGCAGAGACTCGAATGCAAAATGCTGTCTAGACTTGCAAGCAGTGGATCTCAGTAGATGTTTCGGCTGCTGCAGAACGACCATCTCAGGCCAGGTTTTCACGAGGCAGACCTTTTTCAATACCACTTCTGGGCTGGTCTCCTCGCACGAGAGCACGAGGTCCTGTACCGAGCTGACGTTTACGAGCGCCTTCGCTTTCACGAGGATCAAGTAGATCGCACCCGCTTGAGACAATTGGGAGCTAGCAGGACAGCATCGTGACACACAGGTCTAGGCACGGCTACACCTCCAGCTTATGCATGTCACGCAACTCCCGCAGCACCTGCTTAGCATCCTAGGATAAGAAAGGTAGGGCTTGTGTGAATTCATAGTAGGCACCAGCATTCTCGAGATTCTGCTTGCAAGGAACTGTTGTCAAGGTTCAAAGAGCACGATGCGTCGACAGCTTCCTTAACCGCTCAAGCCGCCCTCGTGCTGAGGTGTGAACTTGACTGGTGTAAAGCTAGGTCTTGCCCCAGTGTAGTCATTCAACTCGGTGTATCCTTAGATTCCGTAAGATAAATAGATCTATCTGTCTATATATATATATACAACATGTATATAATATGTATGTCTATCTATATATCTCGGCCGCACTTGCTGTATGTCTAGTGGATGCCTGTGATTGCACACTTCGAGGCACAATCCCTGTTGGATGTGTTGGATGTTCTCGTAGATCCATTCATCCTGTATCCTAAACCCCCGAAACAACCCGAACCAAGAACATCAATATGCCTAGTACTGAGAAAATTTCCTTGAAACCAGAAACACTTTAAGAACACAGGCAAATCCCTTGTGAAACACAGCTCAAATCACAAAACAGGTTGTTTCGCAGACCCGAACACGTATTCTCAAAGATCCTTGACTAACTCGATGGACTTCTCCGCGCGGCCGACGCCCTTCGAATCCGCTTCGATGTGTTCGATGTGTTGGATGTTCTCGGCTAAGGTGTGAACTTGACTGGTGATGCTGGACGCCCATATATCGTGGAATGGAGTTTTGGACCCGAAACTCCTCTTCCCATGCGACTCGTGACCAAGCAAAGAGCCTCAAGCCAGGTGTTCGTTAGCATGCAGTATCCAGAATTTAGAGGCACCCATGTGCAGTTGACGAGGAAATTCGCTTGAAGGAGTTCTCGCACGTGCCAGTGACCAAGAAGCTTGGTGTCCAGACTTCGTCCGCGGTGACTGCTTCAAGGGGATCCAGGACAGTCAGACGTGGATGCCGGGCAGCAACTTTCGGATCTCAGGATTCCCTGGTCCTGAGCATAACGGCTGCGGAGTTCAATGCCGGTGTGGATGCTGTGTTTCAAGAGCTCGGTGAGGCCTTTCGGATGGCTTTGGCATCATCTGTCCGACAACTGTTCGTGCTGTACACCAGGTGCCGCGAGTTCGGCTGGAGATCGTGGCGGCTGTCAGAAATTGGCTCGGTGTGGAGACAGTGACCTATTCCAATGCCTTCGTGCGAGTAGACCAGGACAGGATGCAGTAAAATCTGTGAAAGGCACATGTGCGCAGATATGTGCACATGGTGTGAGGCTCCTCAGGTCGTCCTGGCAAGCTCAGCAAATGCGACCATCCTGAACAGCGACGAGGCTTGGTGCTGGGGATGTCTGCCAATGTGACCCTTTTTCGGCACGAGATTTGCAGGTTGAGTTCAGCTTGCAGACGGTCTTGCTGGAAGATGCCACGTGCTCTGATGCCGACCGCTCCTTGCCTTTGAGTCGCTTCGAGCCATGACTACACTCGATGTGCCTCTCGGCCCCATCAGTCCGCAAGGCTACAATCGGATCATCCAGGTTGATTGGGAGTACAAGAACGACACAGACACGTGGATCAGGCTTTCTGATGTTACTTGGCACAAGCTGGAAACCGGGCAGTGCGGGACATGCTTCCGCCGCTTCCGCTCTTGTTGAAGTGCCAGGTTGGTTCCTTAGTGGACACAGTGGCCTCGCCGAATCTCCGCTGAATGTTTGGTGCGTGAGCATTTCAACAGAGGCACTGTCGACGACAAGCCAAGCTATGCCCAGGTTTGTCATCAACTTCGCACCGTTCAGCTTCGAAGCGAACTCCTCTCATTCTTTCAGGGCCACGGCCTACTTTGAAGGTAGTGCTGAGATGCTGTCATGTCGTTGCCGCGTGCCGCTTTCTGAGGGCTGTGCTTGTGCAAAGAAATGGCAGCAACATTTGCAGGTGCATTCTCGTCTTTGCCAGAAAACACACGAGTTGAAAGCTTCAGCCTCGACGTGCTGCCTCGAAGCCTGGCTTCAGTTGTGACATTTTCGTAGCCCTATGTACTATCGATCAACCGGAAAAATCTGAGGATTGACTCCAATCGCAGTGGTGCAGGGTCCGGCCGAGACGTCGGCCAGCTGTGCCTTCTTCGTTACGGCCGAGGCAGGGTTGGCATGGCCAGCAGTCTCCGAAGCTTGGTCTTGCTGGGCTGTGCCGGGTCGAAACCCTCAAAGAAGGCCCTACTTGTACTTCGAGGGCTGTGTTTCGAGGGCCGTTGGAACACCGGTACAATGCAGCGGCCGCACATGACACATGCAGTAGGCCCCGCCCGTCAGTTCTCGGAAACCAACGCTGTACGTTGGGGCTGCAGAAGCCGTCTGTGCTTCACCATCCGCAGGCATCACAAGATCCGTCATTGGCTCCGTGGCGGACTCCGAGCTTCCGGTGCTTTAGCTCGAGGATCATAGTGGGCCGACCGTTGATTTCAAGCTGGCAGTGAGCAACGACATCTCAGGTATAAGTGGACCTGCGAATCGCAAGGAGAATACTCAGCGGCAGCACGGCAGCAACTGACAGCTTAGACTGAGAAATCTGACTGTGAGGTTTCTGTTGCAGAGCTGACCTGCAGGCATGTAGCACGATGACTGGCAACACCGAGACGCTGACAGTGCCGGGGCGCACTTTGGAGGACTGCCGGCAGCATGTGATGAGACGGCATATGTAACGGTGCTTAACAGTGTAAAGCACTTTGCGGCGGAAAGTGTCGCAGGAAGGCACCTACACCTTCAGCGCAGCTCGCCTTGCACGAAACACGGCTTTGATGAATTTGTGGTAATCCGTTCTGTATGGCCAGAACACTCAGGCCAAAATGCACCACATTCGCACTGTGCTGCAAACTTGAAGCTTTCGTTGTGCATTCCGAGGTTTTGGTGTGGAGAAGCGACCAAACCGAAGCAGATGCGGGGCAAGCTTCTGTAACGGTACCTTGCCTGAAGAGCTTGAAGGCACCTTTCAATCTGTGGCAACACGGAGATAGCATGGCTCAATTTGGCCGGTGTATAGGACCAACTGTGCTTGAACACGTGCTACTGCAATGTGTCTCCGTCGTGTCACTGAATCCAGGTCTACTGCCACGCGAAAAGTGACTCAACCTAGGTCACACTCAATTTCTTTGGTCTTCCACCTGTTCTGATTGCAACCCCGTGGCTGAACGGCAGTGCCGTTTCAACCCAAGTCGGATGGGGCACCTTGCTCAGACGTGCCGTGTGACGTGTGTCAGCAGAACGGCGCGGGCGCTGCGGTACGTTGATTGACCTACGTACCACCATGGGAAGCCAAGTCACTGAGGTCCTTCGGGGCCGACGGCAGTGGTCTCTGGAAGCGACCTTTGCACGGTTCCTCCGCTGACGTCTTGGATATGGGTGCTGATGGAGTCCTCATCCGGCCGGATCTTAGCTGTAATCGACCCTCTGGCCGCATACAAGGGAGTCAGCTCATTACCGGCATTTTCAGAAATCACATTGCCAGGAACCGGAAGGCTCTGGCAATCAGACGTATTCCGAGTTGATCATCCCGGTTTTTGATGGCTCACAAATGGTCCCCGGCAGCTACTACGAGTACGTGATGCTGTTCGGATCAAGCGTGGTCTTTCAAGACCTGCGTGGTGGAGCATATGCCACGCTGGCAACCGCCATTTCAGCAGGAAGCTTTTGCACTTGTTAGCACTTTCTGCCTTTTCCATGCTAGTATTCATCCTGATCTGTGCCCTTGCAGGCGGGATGCAGGCTGTGCGCTCCAATCGCTTCCTGGCGGATGGACCGCCTCAGCCTCGAGCAGAAGATGCGGTGAACGTGACGCCTGCAGAGGGCTATGCGGTGGTGACGACGTGCCCCGAAGATATCAGAAGCCTGAGGGAACCGTAGTGAGAAATGAGAGAGACGAGTTCTGCGGCAGTATTTGTGTTGTGATTTTCTTGGCGGGGTTCACCGGGTTCACCAGTGCCCTGGCAGGTTCGAGTTCAAAACAGAGGGCTGGCAGGATGAACAACCGTCCTCGCTGGAATACGAGTCTCGGACGTACGAGTAGTTGTTGTCGCGGCTCACACCGAAGGAACGTCAGTGTTTTGTTGTTTTTGTTGTGTGTGTGTGAGAGAGTTGTTGCGTCGTGACAGTCAAGGAGTTTGTCGACTTTGCCTTGGATGACTTGCTACGTCTGGCCAATCCCTGGGACACGAATGTCGCTATAGCAGCTATTGAGTGTCTTGGCTTGACAGAACACGGTTATACCTTGCTAGCTTCAAGACGCTAGGCTTGAACCGGGAGGTTGCTGTTTTTGTTTTATAGGATGTGTTACTGTTTTGTGCTTCGGGCAGGCTTGGTGAACAGTGTTCGTTCTTGCGCCGCGTCAGTCGTTTGAATGTTGATTCTCATGTTGCGTGCTCTCACAAGCCAAAATGGCCGTCAAGTGTTTTCCTCTGCGTGTGGGGTGTGCGCAGAGTCACAGGGCGTGTTGATTGTGCACTTGTCGTGCTGCGGTTTCGCGAAGCTTTCTCCCGCCCTCCCTCCCTTCTTCTTTTACTCACCGGGTGCGTGAGCGACTGCCCTCCGCCTTTCTGGTGGTTGTGGTAGAGGCACTGTGTGCCGTTTCGGCATTCGGGAGGTGTTGTCCCCCTTCTCGGGTTTTGGTTTCTAAGTCAGTCTACATACACCCCTAAACCCCGAAACCCCTAGATGCCTCGCCTGGATTCTCCGAATGTGAGCGCCGAAACCCCTAGACCAGGTACGGCGGAGGCACTTTGGCAAAGCAGAGATTTGCCAAAGTGCCTCCGCCGTACCTGATGGACCTCGCCTGGATTGCCCGAGAGTGAGTGCTGGTCCGAGTGTGTGCGAAGAAATCTCTAAACCTGGCAACGAGAAGTGAAGCCCTGAACCCTCATAAAAAACAAGAAGCCCTAAACTTCATAACAGAAAACAAGCAGGATTCCACAAAACACACCTCATAAATTAAGTCTCCATCTTTTGAACAAATGCACAGACAGGTGGCAGGACACATCGAGTCCCAATCATTGGGCGAAGCTGAATGGCGTGACGCTGCGTGGATGGCCAGATTCCCAGACTTGCGGGGATTGGGCTTGCCCGTACAGTGCTAAGCCTCGACTTTCCAGGTCTACATCGCCTACAGCATCAAGCCCGATGACCCTGGGATCCCATGTGACAGTCGTGCGTTCACGCGGGGTGCTCAGCGGCTTTGATGCCTGCCCACCATCCATTCTTGGCTATCACGTCTGCATCCTGCTCGTGTTCCTTGCCTTCGGTTTTTGAGAAGCTCACTGCTCGTGCGTATGCAAGGTGATCATTTGGGGGCAAGCAGCGCCACCGGACTAATGGGGCCTTTGGTTTCGCAGCCTGTGGGTGGAGTTGACCCGAATATTGCGGTGGCTGCGCTGGCGAGTGCGAAAGCACAAAGCAATGCAGCCCAGCTGCAAAGTTGACGAACCTCTCATATGCTGCCTTGAAATAATTTTCTGCCACTCGCCTTTGCCTACACCATCCTACACCATCCTACACCAGTTGCAAATTCATCCTCAGTCCCCTTCGGGTTCTTGAGGTTGCAATCAATGTATCTTGAGGTTGCAGTCAACGTAAGGTTGTCTTCGCGTGGGAGCAAGACCCATTTGTCCTGGTCCTGCTCGTGAGAAAGAAGCTTAATCTTGCCTGCATCACTTGAGTACTTCCTCTCCGAACCGATCTAAGCATATAGGGCCAGGGCAAGAAAGCTGGGACAAGCTCGAGATGCCGCATTTCAGCTTGGGCCCATGACATGTGAAGCGCTCTGCTCCCAATCTGAACGCCTCTATATGCAGTCTGCGAGTTCGGGCTAACATGTGGGAATTGGCAGGAAACAGATACCACCCATTGACACAGGTAAAACTTTTTGAGTTGTACTTCAGGCAGACAGCATCCTGAACGCTGTTGCAGCTGTGAGCTCGGTGAGCATCGATGGCGACGAGGAGACTCAGAAAGCAGATGCTCGACTGCATCGAAGCTTCTACAGAGTGTTTATAGGATGACAGCCTGCTTTGCAGATCTCGCCCAAGTTTCAAGATCACCTACGATTCTCCAATCTGCTGTAGCAACCTGTTGGGACGCTGATCTGGGCAGAGGTCGTGAATGCAGAGCTTGATGCTTTGCAGCTGGCTGCTGAAATAACTTCTGCCGAGAGCTCGGGCCTGAAGAAGGCCTCCGCCTCCGCGGCGCTGGGCCAAGGCAGGGCCAAGGCAGCTCATGAAAACCTTGATGCAGGTTGGTGATGTTATGGCGAGCACGATGTCCAAGGGAAGTTCAGCTGCCGACCCGCACCTCCTTACGAACATGCAGATAAGTTTCTTTCAGAGGCTGAAGATTTTGTTCGTGGCCATGTGCGAGCTTCATTCCTTCACTGAGGGCCATCGTTGAAAAAGCGGCGGAGGTACTTGACACCGTGCTGGAAACAGCACTGACTCCCGGGGCCCCCTGGCCTGGATATTGGAAGCTTTCTAATTCCAATCATGTTTGTCCCCTTAGCCTTAGCCGTGAAAGCACAACAGCGTGGATGGAGTGTGTTCAAAGGGGATAAAGGCTTTAGCATGTGGGGACACAGCACGCTTCAGGAGCAATGTTGAGATATGCATTCGCATCACCTGGCTCTGTTTGCCTTCCCTTCACAATCCAAAGGCCGACTAGGAGTGACAGAGCGTGCAGCTCGACACCGGTGTGAGGATCCTTTCGAACCCTTCCAAAGCTGGGCCGGCTCTCCGCTTGTGTGCTGGGATTTTCGCAACCTTTTTCCCTAAAGGATTGTTAATCCTCTAAAACGGAATCCAAAGATAGCGTCATGCCTGTAGATGAAACTGGCTTTGAAGGGGTATTCGTAGCTAGCATTCTGAGTTAGTTCCAAGTGCACGACGCATTGCAAAGCCTCCGTCAAGATATTTTGGCTTTTCGCGGTGAGGTGGGTGCCCGCCCCTGACTTGAGGCGATGAGCAAGGATGCGGGAGATTCGCTGCTTGGGAGCGTTGCAGCGATGGTGTCCGGAAGCTCCTCGTCCTCCACTGGCGTAAGCGAGGAGCAGAAGGCCACGACCACTTCGAAGCTCATCGGCCTGACCTCCAAGCTGGGACAGTCGGTCATGAACTCTATCGAGGTAAATGCCACGCAGGTGCTGACATCCGTGGGTGCCGATGGCAAAGGCTCCCAAGTGGTGGTCAAGAAGCAATCTGCCGAAGACGTCCAGAGGCGCATCCGACGGGATCGGAGCAAAGTTTTCCCTTCTCGGAGCACCATCTACCGCTTGAATCGCAAAAAAACCAGCCCAGAAAGACCAGGACTAGGCCCTAAAGGCCCAGAGCAGAGCCTCGGGAAGGAGGCGAACTGGGGCAAGCAAAATCAGCTCAGCGTCACCTACTGATTCTACTTTTCTACTCGGCATCTTCCGTGCTGCAAGTACCATGATAGGTTGTCGAATCGTCCTGTGCAGCGCAGGAACGGTGTCAATGCTCATGGCGTTTCTGTGCCCTCATCAGCTTTAGCTGGAGCTCGGCGATTGCAAGCTGATCCTGCTTGCCTCAAAGTTGCATATAGGCCACAGGCTTTCGAGACCCCTTGCTATCGCTGCCTTGCTAGGTGAGACTATCGGGTTACAGTCCACGGATTGGATCGGTACAAACCCTTACGCTTGGGCGAACGAGAGTCTCGGCTCCGGCCTCAGAGAAGCGCGGAGCGATTTGGCAGACCTTGGGCTTGAGCTGCGCGCATTTTTGAGGTGCAAACCGGGAGGTTTCGGAGAACGCCACGGTAACCATTGTGGAGCTTGCAGCTTAGCATCGGCTTCATGGCAATTCTTGTTTGCCTTCGCGGCTTACTTTTGCACCCTTGAGGTTGACGAAGTGTGGTGACTCTATCAACTTCCGGGGCTCAGCCGTCTCCGTCAGCGTGGTCGTGCCAAGCACCGATGATCCCCTGGCGCAGTTAATTTGTCTGTATTTCGACCCCAGTACCCTGGCATCAAAGCTGAAAGATGGCTGATTCGCCAGACCGAGCCTTGAGTGGGATGAGCGGGCTGAAGGTTCAAGTACTGGTAGTCATGAACAACAGTTTTGAGCATCAGTCCTCGTGTGGATGCCGACAGGAGGAGACGAGGAATTCGCGTGGAGCTGTAGCACCAACAACCGAAACATCATATGTTGTAACAGCTGTTTACCATCTTAAGCCTGTATACACCATGCATGAGAGCAGTGTGCGGTTTCTTATGAGCTTTGTGGCATTGGATGTTTCCAGCTACCTGTACTTTTTCGGTTGCATTAATAGGCGGATTGTGGAGTCTTCAGGTTCCAATTCCTGGACCGCAGCTGATGTGGCGCTGACATCTGTGGATGATGACGGAGTAAGAGCGAGCTGCTCTTCGACCCAAGGCGGAGGTGCATACACTGTTTTCCACAGGACCGAGCAATCCCAAATCAAGCAGTTGGTACTGTCGCCGTGTTGCAGTCAAGCTGGCCGGGCGACCAGCTTTGGCAGGAACTCGATTGCCGATGAATCAGAGCAGGGTGGCATCACCTTCCTGGCAGTCGCCATTGCTTTGCCCCTGATCGTGATGGGCTCGGCGGTTGCAGGAGGCCTCTTCCCGTGAGGCTTGCAGGCACCTGGGACACATGTATCTCCAAGCAGTGCAGGGGGTCTCTACATGATGCGGAAGCGCGTGCACGAAACGAAGTCGAAGAGCAAGGCGGCTGTTCAGCAAGGGTATGGGTGGGACATTATACGGGCTATTTCGAGTCAGGGTTGAGCTTTGGCTTTCAGGGGCATAGGGTCACTAGCCGTGATCGGGGACTTTGCGTTCTAGCCTGCCCTGGTCTGGCATTGTGTTGTATGCAGCATTCCTGTTCGCAAGGTCTTCCCGGTGGATGAGGAAGCTGCAAAGCTTTCCAAAAGCCCAAGTTTGCGGGAGGTGGTCACGCACACCCCACCAGGAGACGCTTCACGAGACAGACCAGGGCACGGGGTCAGGCACATAGCCTGTGTTGTAGCCATGACAGGAAGTAGAGGACGAAGACACAATATTAGTTACAACGACAGCTAGCGAAAATCTCTGTCGCGGTTAATCTTGGTCTGTTTTTATAACGTGGCTTCAACGTACCCCTCGCGCGTGTCAGCAGCAGGAGAGCCCGATGCAGATCTTCCAGGGTTCGTCAACGATCCGTCGCCGGTGGCCGCTGAGCGAGTCGAGCGAGGCTTGCCAGATGCGCCCTCGCGTTTTGCAATGTGTCACGCTGACAAAGCCTCGAGCGCTGAAACACTTAGAAGGTCAAATACTTTGTCTTGATATTCTCGGGCCTGTGACTGCAACAGGAAATCAGAAGCTGCAGCTTCCAGTGGCGATCTCGTCAGGCTCCCAGTTGCTGTATTACGTGACAGTAGGAGCCCGATTGCTTGTATTCTCACTGTAGGAATGTAGCCTTGCGAAGGAGAGAGTGCTGTCGTGCTAAGTCGCGAGCGGGACGACGATGAGCTGAGCAATCTGAGCAATGCTGCCATCAGCGAGCTGCGGCGCAGGAGTCATGGTGAAATTCCACCCACTCCGGGGAGCCTTTCCTGCGAAACAATCATTAGCATGGGCATGGGGCTCACGACTCATTGGAAGAAATAGAAGAACTGTCGGACCTAGGATCCAAGATCGACCGCCAACCGCTGACGGCCTCTCGGCTCGGTGTCGCCTTCTGTGTGACCTGCTCTGGTCGGCTGTGCAGATGCAGGCAACGGAGGGCCAGAGAGTCCCAGTCCGGACGCGCTCTACAACTGGCTGGCGCAGAACGATTCGTCCTCGGCCCATGTTATTCCCGTGAACGTTCCGGCGCGGAACGGCAGTCGATCTCGCGAGCCGTCGGCGGAGAACCCCGAAAACGCTCAGACGTTCTATCCAGAGCCCACGGATTGGACCAGTGGTTCTGCTGCAGGCGATCAAGTTTGTAGGCAGCTCACACGCTGAATTCATACAGTCGCCGGGCAGGACCGAACCTGGCCGTTCCTGCCCAGGCGAGAAGGTCAAGGCAAGGCTTGGCAAAGTCAAAGAGTTTAACAGTAGTTTACCATTGCAGCAATGGAATATCCGTGCCTTGTGCAGGTCACGGGAGCCTGCCACCGTGCGAGTAGTGAGAAGAGCAGATGCCTCTTCGAATGCTGCCTCTGCAGCATCCTCGACCTCACCCCCTCGGAGAGTTGTGGTAGGTGGCGAGTCAGCAGCAGTCGAAGTCCTGAATTTTGCCAGGCTTTGTTTGAGTTTTTAAGTCCGGCTTGCTCCTTGCTTGACTGACATGTCTTCGTTCTGCGACCAAAAGCCAGGCAATCGCTACGAGCCCCGGGCTGGCCAGCCGGACAAGCAACCTCGGATCACTGTCACGGCCCGGCGTCCCGTTGCAACGGCGAAGGACGGAGCGTTCGGTACAGGCCTCCAGCTAGAACTCAGTGGCTTTCTAGCAGGCGAGCTCTCGCAGCCAAACTCCCGAGCAGCCGAACCGGAGCCAGGCCGTTTTCTTAGCTCTTTATCGTGGTATAGCTTTGATCTGCTTACTTGCACTCTAGGACTCTAGGGCATTTCGCCCCAGGTGGCGAGGAGCAGGAGACAGATATAACCCCTAGTAGGTACAGGTGGGTTTCGTGCAGTTCGTAGCCCGGAGTCCCGTGCCCGTGCCCCACAAAGGGTTGACAGAGACTGCAGCGACATCACCACCGCATCAGCAGCCTCTCTGTACAGGATGTGATTTCTTCCGCTTGTGCGGGTGTCTTTTGAGAGAGTCACCGTGCTTGTGTCGAGTGGATGTGGCCTTGTACCATGTGCAGATCTGCTAGTGTGGTGCCATGGCAGTTGCGAATCGAAATGAGGAGACATGGCTAGCTTCGATTACTTCGCGGTTCAGGGTGTAATTTTGCAATGCCTAGGGACACCGCCCGATCTCTCTCGCAGGTTGTCTACGCCCAGGCGAGGCGGAGATCTTCCAGTGCAGCGCCATCTGGTTCAGAGGTCGGAATGGGCGTGCTGACCGTGCTTGTTTCTGTAAAGAAAAAAGCAAAGGAAAGTAAAAACGGCAGTGAAGCTGATGCACACTGTGCCGGACATCGCAGGCCATGTCTGCAGCTCCCGATCGGCGGGACAGCATGGCACGCAGTCAGGCCAGAACATCTCACCACTGTCTGGCATGTGCGAATGCCTCAGAGATCGGCAATAATGCTTGTCATGCTTCTCTGTGGAGCTTGCAGGCCGAAACAGGCTCCACTGTGAGCACTGCACTGCGGGTCACAGCGAGACGGGTTTCGTCGTCGCGGCCATCGAGCACTGTCCCTCATCGAGTAGTGGCAACTTCCGTTCCGCGCGAACCCAGTTGCAGCTTGGCTCGCAGGTGGCCGGAGGTCCAAGCGAATATAGAAACCACTTGGATCAGCATGTTCCAGTGCGATGCTGCTGAAATTGGAAATCAAGTGACAGGCTGACCTTCGCTCGAGTTCAGCTATACTATAGGCTTATCACGAGTTGCGACGCAAACCTGAGTTGTCTCAGGTGTGGACAAACTGAGACGAGCGGAAGAGGCGAGTGGCTTGCAGTCGCCAACACACTCGCAGCTTGGCCGCAGCTGTGTCTTGCTTATCTGTGCGAGCATGAGAGTCGAAGCATGTGTGCACCGAGCTTCGTCGTCTCCAAGGCTGGAGTCCGGCTTCCCGACGCTGCTGCTGAAGGGTGCTCCGTCCATGCAAACTCTGCAAAGCCAAAGTGTGCAGAGTGTACCAACTCAGCAGAGTGCAGAGCCGGCGCTGAACCGAACCCTTGATTGACAGCCTTCGCGTCGTTTAGTCCTAGGAGCTGTGCTCATCTCCTTGAGCCAGCGACACATGCGACATTGTGTTTTTCGAGACCTTTGGTGGTGCATGCATGTCTGAGACTTCTCAGCTGTTACCTAGGGCGGTGTCTCCAAAGATGCTGACCCGAAATGGTAACAGAGGGTGTATTTCAAAATCACCGCTTTGAGTGGACTTCAGTTTTGATCATGTTTGGGTGCTCCCCGCATCCTAAGTGTAAAGCTACTTAGCAGCCAGTTAGCTAGTCAGATCCCTAGCAGACTTGATTTGATCGGTGTTGGACTTTGAGACTCTCGGTTTCTTCCAAGAAGGTCGAGTGGCTCATGCCGCTGTTGCCACTTTCAAAATGTTCAGACTTGCTGTTAAAACCAGAGGCCACCGTTGTGTGAGCTATTCCACGAGCGAGTGGCGTGTACACTTTAGTAAATGCTTACAACAAAGGCAGTCCTCGAGTGCCAAATGGAGCACACTGAGACTGCTGAGCAACTGTTTTATCGCAAGATCATGTAGGAACCGTTTGTGCATACCATTTGCCAGCTGCCGCCCGGGCCATCTTTGACATGTTTATCAGGAAGCCTTGCTGTTTACATTTGTACAGCAGCTATAACTGAACCCCAGAGTCGTGAGGCGCAGCGGCAGGACGTTTCAGTTTCTTGCTATCTCTGCGCATGCAGAGCTGGTGGGTCTGCAGCCCGTTCTGCTCTCTCTGCTTTTGCAGAGCTGCAGGTTGGTCAACTGCAACCTCTTCAACAACACAACATGTGAAAGCAACAGTTTCCAGGCATGCGACTCGTGACCCACCGGAGGTTTCAATCTGGCTCAGCCATCAAGGCTGTATACAACATCGCAACCTGCGACTATCCGAACTGTGCCAGTGCCCTCTTTTTACTCTTGCACTTCTGCAGAGCTACCGCAGGGACCTACGGCGAAGGCCTCGACTGATCAATCGCGACTCGACGCGGTCAAAAAAATCAGCAACCTTGCAAGCTCCGTGGTTAATGCTGTGGCAGCCACTTTAACTTGCACTTCCCTCTGGTAGGCTTGCAGCAGAGAGCAAGGCAACCTCTAGATGAACATAAAGTCTTTTACTGGAAGAATCTAGAGAACGCGTATCGTGTCTGTCGTTTGCTTCCTCACCACGAGCAGATGAGCGGATGGGCTCCATCGCCACACGGACGCACCAAGGAGGCACAGGGCGAGGCGGAGCGAGGCAGGCATGAAAGAGTGGCTGAGCGAGCGCTTAGGCAAGCAGAAAGCTCAGGAGCTGGACTGGGCAGAAAAGCTTGACGAATGCTTGCAAGCCTCTCAGACACCGTCGGCCGGACGAGGTTGACTAGACTTCGACATTGGAACGGTTGTTGGCGTCGAACCATCACAATGCGAAGCATGCCGGTTGCTGGTCGTCTCAAGCTACAGCAAGTCCTGCCACATTGGATGATCATTTGAACTTTAACGCGACTACAAGTGAAGAGCTTGGGGAGGGAGCTCCAATCGTGATCTCAATACAGTGCTAGACTCGACATGAACACAGCTGTTGAATCTTGGAGAATTCTTGGTCCTAAACCTACTGTACCGCATAACTTCGAGACCCCAACGGCCATGCCTCCCAAGCGAAGAGGCTGCTTGGTGGAACAAGGCTGACAAAGGCTCTCTGAAAGTGTTGCCAGAGATTCAGTGCAGGCTCGGCTTCGGGTCTCCGCGCCGATGTTTCGAAACGGCTGCGGGCAGGCCCTCGACTCTGCACTTGCTACTTATCCCCTTCTTCCTGTCGCCTCCAGAGCCCAGGGCGACAGGTTATGAATGTGGTTTGTCAGCAGTGCACTCTACGCAACGCAGCTGGGGCCGTTAGCCCCTTGGTTTGCATATTTCACAACACGCAGTTAGTGTGACACTCCTTCAGATTGAAAGGCTGTGCAGCTTGTGATGCCTCTCTGGCTGATTGGACATGCTCGACATGTACGCTGATCAACACTCCGGCTGCAGACTGCTGTTGGACACTTAGTCACTTAGCTCTCGTATCTGAGCATCTGCAACATTGTCGAGACCGTCGAATTCCACCGACCCCAACCAAGCGAATGTTCTCTCGTATACTTTCTCTTGGGCATCTAGTATTCCATTATTGTCTTGAGGTGAAATGAAGACGATTGAATCTGAATTCCGAACAGTCCGAACTCCAATGCTTGGTAATTCTGATTGCCATCTATGATCATTTGTAGCTAATTTGTTTTCAATTTGGGTTCGTTCATTTGTTGTTTGGCGTGTTCATGTGATCTCGAGTGTTATATGCAGTGTTCACTGTCCATTCTGTTGTGTAAAGGGTTCTGTCTTGTCGGTTTATGGAGTCCATTAAACAAACTGCAACTTGAGCATCTCAAGGCTGGGGTATCAATGACCGATCCAAAGGTGCTGCATGTGAGACTCCCCGGAAGAGCGCGCGAGCCTGGTCATTGCACTCGTCCGTACCGTTGTCGGACGCTGACAGCCACTCTTGCGCACTGGATTTCTATCATCTGATTCTGCGTCCCTTGCTGCACATCGACATAGCTTTTTGCACGAGTGTCCCGCCACCCGATGATGCGGGCCCAGGTGTCGTGCTACCTCCACAGCTTGATTTGGCCCCACGGGCCTCCTTGGTGTGCCTTTGCTCCATCTCTGATTAAGCTGCCTGAATGCAGCCCCTGCATCACCCAAGCAGTGTCCACGGGATTCGGCCGGGTGCAGCGAGGTTTCTGCATGGTTTCTGCAACACTGCGGAAATGTATTCCGAAAGTGAGGTGCTCCTCTTACAGTCTTGCAGCTCTAAGCAAACAGTGTTTGAAGCTACTGATTTTTCCTCCTGGCGCGGCGAGGTATTCACTCTCTTCCGCTGTCAGGGCTTGCGGGTCATCCTCCCCACTGCGCCACTGCAACGCATTACAGCACATGGTGGCCAGAAGCAGATGCCTAGAGGCAGATTCAGAAGCAGTTGTTGGCAGAACGTGCATCAAGCTGCTGGCAGCGCGTTGTTCCAGTGCCGCTTCCGAGGAATGCATGGTATGACTATTTAACGGACCATGACGGGGCGCAGGAGGACTCTCGCAGTGTTCAGTGTGCCACAGGCAGAGGTGCGCATGATTCACTTGCTGCGTAAAAAACAACGCAACAAAGGATCCGTGTAGCGTTCAAGCAGATTTCAGCGCGGCTGTTAATTGCTGAAGCTGCGCAACCACCATCGTCTGCCCTTGTGCTGCTCTTTTTTTTAGCAGTGTTGCTGCGGAGCATCGAGTGAACTGCCTGTGACCGTTGGAGATCAATCTTTTCACGGCTGGGCACCTTAGGCAGACGACAGGACTGTAGCTATAGCATCCTCATGGAGGAGCAGCTGCGGCTTGCTGCCGAAGACAGCGAAATGGTGAGAGATGCCGGGGAAGCCACCCAGGAAGAGAAGCAGAGACAGCTCATGGAGTTGGGCTTACGCAGCGGCCTGCGCGTCCAGATGCTCTGCAAGCCTGCAGACTCGGCATCTCTGGAGTCGGAAGACGAGGACGCAGCAGGAAGAGCTTTGACGACAGCAGATAGAGGACGATATGACTTCGCAGTCTGCAGGCAGAGATGTCGCCGATGTGTCAACTCCTCTCCTCGCTGGCGAGACGACGCCTCTGACTGCCAGCCAGACGACGCCTCTGTTCAAGCAACTGGATCGAGAAGTGCCAGATCTTGTCACCCCTTCATGGAGTGAGTCTCAGGAAACCGAGCAGGCAGACAGAGCAGAGCCTAGGACTGCAACGGCTACAGTGAAGCAGGAGGCGGAAGCTCATGTGCCAGGTCCTGAGGCAGCTGAAGATGCTGATCCTGAGGCAGTCGGAGCTGATCGACTTCAGCAGACTTCCCAAGCTGCCCAAGTACTAGTTCCAAGTACTGGGGCAGCTTGGGAGTCTGGTGAAGTCGATCAGCTCTGACGCCGGTCGTGGCAGAGCAGCTCTGAGACACCTGCCGTTTTCAAGCTCGATGAGCTGCCTTTCCATCTCCAATGGCAGCTTGCACCCTTCTTCAACTTGTCCATATGCCGCATGGCAGAACAGCTGAAGGATTGTAAAGGGCGGCTGCAAAGACATGTCACAAGGCTTGAAGTGCATCACGGTCATCTCTTCCTCTTCTCCGTCCCCTTCTTCCTTGATCTCCACGGCTGCTGGCGGTCCTGTGTGAGCCGTCGCCGTCGCTCTCTGAAGCAGTGTGGCATTCTGGCTCTTCAGAAGCTCATTCTCGGCCTCTGCTTTCGCTGGCCGTACGGCCATGGCTAGCTCCTTCTCGTGCCTCTTCTCAGCTTCGGCTTTCTCCTTCTCGCGCTTCTTCTCTTGTCGCTCCAGCCCCCGTCCGTGAGCTGCAGCCAGCTGCTGGGCTACGATTCCCGCAGCTAACTTGCAGGCTGCGGCGGCCAAAGGTCCCATTTGCTGCTCCATGGCCTCCCTCTTCACTCTCGGTGCCACTGGCATTGGAGTCCTTCTGTCTGCAACTTGGATTCGGACGGAGCTGCTCCTCAAACTCACCATTCTCGCTCCTCACTGCTCCTCACTCTCATCATTATCTTCACTCTTCTCACCCTCATGTTCCTCATCCCTGAAACTCACCAGTCTCGCCCTTCTCACCTTCTTCACTCCTTACCTTCGTCACCCTCCTTACTCTCGCTCCTCATCCTTCTCGTTCTCACCATTCTGGCTTTACAGGTATACGACCACGACGACCACGACCCCAAGGGCACGGTCTACAACTTGCACCTTCTTCATCTTTTCACTGCATGGTTTGCGGTAGGCATGCAGAGATAGTGTCTTCACATTCATGGTGTATCTATGCCATATCTACAGCAAGCCTTGCTTGCAGTGCGTCTGACTCGTGTTGAACGTAGCTGTACAGCACATGCAACTTCACGCACTGTCTTGAGACATGGAGTTGCTACGAACACACAATCGGCTGCGCGAAGTGAAAAAAAACGCCTGGGTGAACATCCGAATCATCCGAATGCATGGGCAGCAGTAGTAGCTTGATCCAGAAGATGTCGAGCAGACAGAATGTCGCCCGGCAAGATAGGACACAGCATCAGTGCGAACCCCCAGCAGGTTTCGCTTTTGCAGCGGCACTCGTCTCAGGTCAGGATTGTTGAGAACGGAGCTGCATGGTCTCAAGACATATGTTGTTGGCATAGACCACCATCGTAGGCAGACGTGCGCAGTTTCTCCTGCCAGTCCCTTGTGGTACTTTACATCATACTTTCAGCCGCCTCCGAAGCCGCGGCAGTCAAACCGAAAAGGTGTAAAGCTTGCAGCAAGATAGCCTGGCCGGAGATCAACGGCCCTGTTGCTGGTAGCAGCTGTCGCGGCTGTCTGTCGAAGGATGATATTGATGATCGTTCGCTGACTGCAACGCGCCGGCGACTCAACATGCCGCTTGGCGAGATTTGACCTGTGAAAGAGAAATACAAATGCGTGTATCAGCCTACACGAGACGAGAGGATCGTGGATGCAGAAGCAGCTCTGATGGGAGAACATCGCAAAGTTCTGCTGGGTGGGGCGTCTCAAGGCTGCTGCGCCGCCTTTGATGCTTTTGCGCGGCATCCTGCAACACTTGGCGGACCTCCTGCTGCATGTGTTGGTGAGAGAAGTAGAGAAGAAAGTGAGGTGCGATGCCGCTTTTGCAAGAATCTCCCTACCGTTAGGAGCTCACGGAAAATCTGTTCCTGCCTTCTGACTGTCATGCAGCTTGCAGTTGCCGGCGCCTCTGCCATGCTTGTGAAGATGCAGCTTCCAAGGATTCGTTGGATTCGTCGGCCATCCGCTGAAGACGACACCGCTGCAAAGTTCACTTCAGCGAGATGTGCCCTGCTTTTTCTTCAACGCTGCTGCTCGATGCACATCTCTTGTTTCCAGTGAAGAGGATGAACATCCTCGTAAAACAAAAGGCGAATCTTGCCGCCCTTATGAAAGAAGCAACATTCCGTGCCGTCAACGCCAGATGCGTCGGCCGGCCAGGCTGCAGATGACACAATGCGAACGCAATGGGCCGCTTGGCAGCACCCACATAGTTCTATCATGGGTTTTCCTGTAGGAGTATATGGGGGTTACTGATGCCACTGAAGTGGGCCCTGGACACTTGCAGGAACCCCGAAATCAAGCTGGGCAAACAGTTTCTGGCGATCTGCTTCAGCCGAGGTGCTTCCTGCGATTCGTCGTCTTCCTGCTGCGGGTTGGACTCGAGTAAACGTGGAGGTTGCTGATGGAGCAGACACCTGCCTGAATCCCAAATGTATTTCTTCGGAAACGTTGGAAAGCTGAAGCTGTGCCGACAACACGTGTAGCGGCTGACTTCGGTTAAGAGTCCGGGGCCCAGGACCATGGCACATCGGACGAGCTGGAGAATCATTGGATGGACAGTTTTCTAGCACAGTTCTTTGCCAGCTTGTGAACGGCCAAATTACGACCAGGCTGCTTTTGCCGTAACATTGTGCAGAAGAGCGACCCCGTGGTGACTTCCTAGCAGCGCGTCCTCCAGCTTCTGGGAAGACCAAAGAGGTGCAGGAAGGAACTGCCCGACTCTCAGGATGCGATCCCATGACGGGCGCAGTATGCGGAGAGGAAGAACTGACAGAAGCTTCTGTGACTGCTGGCCCTCTGACCCAGAGGGAGGAGATGGAGGCGCTTTCTCTTTTTGCGTCTCCCGAGCTCAAAGAGAAGCCCACGCGGCCGTAGACAGAGGAGGTCAAGCTTCAAGACGGCCACCACAAAAAATCTGGCATCTGCACCGCAAAGACCGACTTCTGCGCGCTTTCGAGACAGTCTTGTTGGCCCTCTGCACGTCGTAGCGTCGTAGAGTCGTGGTACAATACTGCTGTAAAGGTGATCCCGAAGCCTGCCTTCTCAGGCTGCGTGCTGACCAAGTCCGTTGTGGCCTTGGGGGGCCGGCTTTCCTGCATCCTGCCGAAGCGGCGCTTCCATTGTCAGATGTGTGGATGCACGTGCGGCGTGGTGATATCGCCCATTGATTGAAGTGCCTTTAAGATTCGCGGAAACCAGGCAAGCAGTTTTCAGGTGATGCGGCTTTGGCTGCCGCGACTTCAGCGTTGCTCGAACACGGCGGGATTCTGCACACGAAGCATGGGACAGGTGCTGTTGCTTGTGTGCTATGCTCGTCCATGAGCAGGCCGATCTACAGAAGACGCTTCGCAGGCCTCTCCCTGCGACGGCCGTTGTTCGTAACTTTCTGGGCCGCTTGTGACCGGGAGCTCAGACGCTTGCACTTGCCGCAGGCACGTCAAGCCATCGAGGAGCGATCTTCTTCATGTGCAGTTCGGCAAAGATCGGTTGCAAGTTCCTTTGATCTGGCTGCATGACGTTTCTACCGAAGGCTGAAAGATGTTGAGAGGGTTCCTGCATTTTAGTGAGCCCGCTGCGTCTCGTCTCAATATGTGTCCTATCATCCAGCTATATCCAGCTGTGAACAACTTGCAAACGTGTTTCGATCGTGCTCAGACAATGTGTAAAGGCGGTATATTATGTATATGTTTTGGGATCCATAAACGGGCTGTTCATGCTCGAGTTTGGCTCTGTGTTTTAATGGAAGGTGTGTTGAGAAAATAGTCCCGGAGGCTTCGGGGTTTTTGCGGGTAAGTTGTAGCGTTAGCGATGGTTACAGCGAGTAGTGTTGCATATGCAGGTGCTGTTAGACAACGTTTTTCTGTTGAGCAAAGGTTTTTGGTGGTTAGACAGTTAGACCAGGCTGTATGTCGGACAAGGTGTGTTGGACAGGCTTTGTAGAAGTTCTGATTCTAAAATGGCCTGGCTTTTTTGGCTCGGCGTATTTTACGTTTATAGACTATTATAGATAAATAGAGAAATAATGAGAAATATACAGACAGAGTTTTGATTATCTGCATTTTCAACTGCCTTAGCATGTCAGCACAGCATGAGTTCAAAACTTGTGCAATGAACCGGGTCTCTTGCAAATGCACGACCTTGGTTTAGACAAGGGCTTGGTGCGCAGTTGCTGAACCAATGGTTGACTGCCGCCGCTGCATATGTGGGCATGAGCGAGCGCTCGATGACGAGGAATCACTTATGCAAGCCATCGCTGAAATGAAAGTCAACGGGTCTCCCGAGCACAAACTGTGTGACATCAGCGATGGGGAAGCTCTGCATCGCCTCGTGCCGCCTGACCGCTGGTGTGTCACACGTGATGATTTTTCGCACCTCCACAAACTGATTCTTGATGCTTTGGAGGATGGGTGGGTGGCACCGTCTGCAGCAGATCCATTTGACAAGAGTGATGGCACCGTTGCCTGTCAATGCCGATTATTGGCTTTCCTTTGTTTCAGAAGGTAAAACGAAGCGCCTCTATAGTGACTAGCAGATGTTCTAGGGTAGAGCTTGTTTTCCGGCTTGCTCGCCACAAGATTGGCCCCAGCATCTACACTTTGACTGACCAGCTCATAAAGCCCATAACGCTGGCTGCTGGTGGCATGAGCTGGTCTTTGATGAGGCATCCTGCTGGGCTTGCGTGCGACGTCTTCGTCACGCACGCCTGGCAGGTGCTAGCAGAGCAACGAAGGGGCTCGTGCGGCCGTATAGTTTAACTGTTTAACTAGTAGAGAGGTTGCACAACTTCTTTCCGAGCCTTTCTGAAGGGACCGGTAGGGTGGGAAGTGTGGCTTCGCTTTGAACTTTGCTCATCTACGTCCTTAGAATGTTGCCTTTCAGCTGGATGAACTGGCTGGCTCCCCTTGAGAAGAACCCCAAAGGAGTGACTCAAAGAGTGTCGACTGTTGGGTTGTTTTTGCGATGGAGATCCCTGAGGAAGGAATCTTCGAGTTTACCCGGCAGCTGTTGAACTCCTGGCCCTTTGATGCGAGGAATGCTTGGTGCTGTATGCTTGCGAATCCGCAGAACCTGAACATCGAGAGGCTGATCAGCGAGCCGAAGTCCTCTCCTTTTGCAGTTGCGCTGGTCTCTGCCAGGTATGTGCTTGTGGTGCCGAACGAGCATGAAAGCGTGTATGCGAGGTTCTCGGGCATTCCTGCAACATACAATAATACACCGTACTAACAGGAATAAGTACTACACTTCACTTATGGTTGGCTAACATCCGGGAATTCCGTTTGTATAGGCTTCTTCGGGCCAACCGCTGAATGTTCGTGGCAATCCCTAGGTTGTGGTGTGTTTACGAAGCTTTCCTTGCGTTTGAGCACGAAAAGATCATTCTGACAGCTACCATGCCCTACCACCGGCGAAAGCTGCAAGCGGCCAGCACAGCAGTACTGTGTTTCGGCGTGGGCTTTTGCGTGGGTCGTCGGGTATCATGCTGCGAGTACCACTCCACGCCAGCACGTTGGCTGACAACGATTTTCTGCTGCCTGTTTTTCATATCCAACTGCGTATCTGTTCCGCTTTGCCGCCGTATCGCTCACCTTGTCAATGCTGGCTTGGCGGGATTCTTTATGGCTGTTTCGCTTGTGCCGCTGCAATTGCTGCAATTTCCTCAGAAGCAGGTGTCGGCATTTGTCACAGCGTGGACCCTTTTCTGGTGCTCGATGGGGGTCTGTTTAACGGTTGCGGAGGTGGACCGAGTAAATCGGCAAGCCACAGAGGCAAGCGAACTGAGTTTGGAAGCTGGCTACTCGGGGAGCAGCTGCTTTGCACGCTGTTCTTGGGAAGACGATGCTCTCAGAATCTGGCGCGAGATCGGGGCACGATCTAGTGTTGTTGACGCCACCATTGGTGTGTTGCTTAGAGCGGGTATGTCGACGGCTTCCTTGCGACGAGCATCAGCGGCAGGCATCGATGTCAAGCATGCAGTGGATGCAGATCATGCGACTCTTATGCTGCTTTGTTTAGTCTGGATGGATGAATAGAAACAGGTTATGCGAAAAGAAAGGTCAGTCCTAATGCCACGATTCAGGCATCGGGTTTTCTGTTTGACCTGCGCCTCAGGTTTTTCGTAAGCTTCCATGTGGCCAGACTTGTCACTTGCACTTTGGTCCTTGATTCCCCGGCTGGCTGGGCAGTGACACTTTTCTGGCTTGGAGCTATCCTTGGCACTGTCCTGACATACGTGCGATCGCAGAAAGATGGCCGCGCCTTCATCTGCAAAGTTGCCAAGAAGGTGTTGATGCTGGACCTTGTCCAGATCATTGCGTGCAAGATCGCCGATCTGAGCTTCATGTCCAACACGGCGATCGTTCTTCCCCTCGGCACCTCCACGGCTTTCCTGACGTCGGTGCTCTCTCTGATCGGCTTAGACGGGGCTGCGACATTGCCAGGATGTGGGTCCATCCTTGCCAAGGCGCTTCTGACCGAAGTGGTCTTCACGCTGTCACGGGCGTACACAGAGTCAGAGCGCGGGTTTTCATCGCCTGAGTGGTCCGAGTCCTCCGACTCGGAAGCATCCTCCTCTTAGCCCAGGGTGTTCACAGAAAGCGGTGTCGGCGGCAAAAGACATGTGGGTTTGCATTAGTAGTATTGTCCTTCTTGGTGGTTCTTGTCATGTATCAGTCTCCTCTGATCTGGGTTCCTGCAGCTCCAGCTTCAGGAGCAAGAAGTCGAGCAGGAGTTCCTTTGCAAGACCCGCCTGCGGGTCGCTGCCGAGGCATTGCAACTTTCGGCTGCGCAGACTGACTGTCCACTGTCTAGTCTTTTCGGTCGCGGCTGACAGGTGACTGAGTCCGTGAGAGAGAGAGAGAGAGAGAGAGAGAGATTTTGGCTCAAGTACTGCACCTTTGCTTAGAGGCCTGTGCCGCCTCTTTGCATCGGGGGGGAGGTGCGGGGTTAACCCAAGGCTGTCCACCTTGGGGGAGCCTGCGCACTTTTCCCACGCGGTGCTTGAGTCACATACCCGACGCTGTGTTGCTTAAGCGAGTGCCGCTAGGGGGCGCGAGCCATAAAGGACAACGGCACGATCGTGACACTTTCAGCAGGACGCTAAGCTGGTGACTGCAAGACCTTCTTCTTGAACGCTCTAGTGTTGGAGGGGAACGCCAACTGCACCAACGACTGTGGGGACGCCTCCACCAAGCTTCGCAAACACTTCCTCTACGCTGGGCGGGAGACTGCTTCAACTGGAAGTTCGTGACTGTGGCAAGGCCGAGAAGATAGTGAAGATCATGGAAAAGCGTGGGGGAGGAGGCAAGAAGGTCTGCAGAATCTGCAGGGAAGGGGGAGGGATTTGTCGTCCAGGCATGCGCAAGGTGCATGAGCGATCAGACTCTCAATGCCGGTTCTTCGGATCTGAAGCTTTGGGGAACATACGCTTGATACAACAAGCCAGCCACAGCAGAACGACGGGGGAAATGGCAGACGTACACAGGTACCCTTCGAGCACATGACGGCCTACATGACTCCTGGGGGATTGCCCTACATTACCTTCCAGGACCGCTGGACAAATGGAACAAGCAAGAAGTGGTTCCAAACCCGAATGGTGGGAGATGGTGCCACAGCCCTTCCGGGCAGCCCCTCACACGTGGGGAGAACGATGAGTACGACCAGTTCTTCAAGAGGCACCAAGCCAGATGCCGCACAGCCCAGCAAGCGGACAAACTTGCGAAGATAGCAGACAAGTACTTACCGGAGGTTGCCCAGGAAACGCGAGCCTACATGATCCGCTTTCCGGGGGCGATCAAAGGCCTGCTGCGCCAGGCCCGCCGCATACGTCGTGCGGTCAGGGCACGGCAAAAGAAAGCTTCGCCGAGGGGGAGAACAGCAACAAGACCAGCCAGAAAGAGGCCGAAGCAACCGGAAGACTCAAAGCCTGCGAAAAGGAGGGGAGGACGAACAAGAGTCCAAGCAGCAAGCCGGGGGATGCGAAAAAGGAGGGGGCGTCAAGCCATGCCTCAAGCACCACGGCAAAGGCCACAGATGCTGCACAAGACCGAGCTCCGCCACAGCAGCCGCGAGATCAAGTACCACCACAACCCGAGTTCAGTGATGAAGTGGACTGGGGGAATACAGAAGACGAGGACAGCAGCACCGACGAGGGGGCGGAAAGCTCCAGCGAGCCGCCCCAGGTTCCGGGGTGGCACAAACCGAACGAACCTGCTGGCGAACCACCGTGGAGGAGAACGCCTCTACCCACTCATGGCACAACCGGGGGGGAAGCCAGCTCCTCGGCCGGAGGGGAACGACCAAGGACTCCAAGCCGCAGCCCGCACAAAAACAGTGAGACTCCAGCCAGGTCCGATGTGGGAGGCGATACGGCGGGTCCAGGCACATATGAGAGGCGCACCGTGAACTACAAGCAATGAGCGAGGGGAATTTTCCATTTCCTTTTCGACAAGTGACGCACCTTGCGTTCTCCAAAAGAGGGGGACCTGCGTGACTGTGCCCAACACCAGAGGGGAGAGGAAGTGCCAGAGGGGAGTGATGAGCTGCTTGTTTCGCTGTGTTTTGTTCCCGGCCCTCCTCTTCCCTAAGGTGCCCTACTGCGAGCCCGCCCCACCTAGTGGGGGATCTTTTGCAAAACCAGCCCTGCCGGGGGATGCACATGCCTTGTACCATACGCGTTACATACTACATTCTTTTAACCACTATTGCCAGCATGGCAAAATCGATCCGTCCCTGTACAATTCGCTGCAATGCCGTCACCTATGTGACGAAGTCCGATCCGCCTGTATGCCAAAATTCAAGTCTTCCTCCCGCTCCTGGCGGGGGGGGGCTACAATTCGACCGGCACTTTACAGGCCCCCCCGAACCAGATCACAACTAAGGATAATGCCGTAGGGGCGCGGTGATGAGGCGGGGGTTGTGTCGTGTTTAGAGTTCGGGGGGTTTTCCTGTTTACACCTCGGGGCCTATTTTGTTTTTCGTTGCCTAATCTGGAAAGACCCCTTTACCAGCCACTCCATAAACACAGAGTGTGGCTGGGCGGGCTGAAAGCCTGGGGGGCGCTTGCGCGACCCTAACGCCCTGCAGAAAGAAAGAGAGAGAGAGAGAGAGAGTTTGCTTTTTCGGAGGAGTTAGCACCGCTTGTTTCAGGTGGTTGACGTGGGGTGGTATGATACTTGTATCGGCATACACAGCGATGTTCTTCGCGATGGCCCGGCTGAAGTCCGAGGTCGGGCATACTTTCCGACAAATAGTATACCGAATCACACGTACAGATCGCAGCTGTGTCGCGTGGCAGCTTTCCCCCAAGGCTGCGCATTATCGGAGAGAAATCTTCGCAACACGCGCGGGCGAAGAAGCGTATGAAGTCTGCCCACAGAATCCATTCAATCCGTTCGGCATTTTGCTAGCCGCGAACAGAAGCGTTTCTTGTTGTTGGTAGTGCGTGGATATCCTCATCTACAGGAACTTACGAAGATACACCCTTTCTTTCTCGCTCTTCGGATCCTCCCTCCGTGCGGCCGTTGACTTGCGCAGTGTTTCCAGAGCCATTGCGGGGGGGATGGCCTCGTTTGAGATATCTTTTCTTGACTTCTGCGCGACTGTGTGGGGGAATCTACGTGCGTTGATACAGGAGGCCTTTGCCGAGCAGGCCAGGGCCTCGTCTGTTTCTCCACTGACCGCTTTGGCCGAATGGCAGACTGCAGGCCCGAGGAGTTGCCACAGAGGCATGGCAGCAGTTGCATGACGGGAGATAGCATGAGATAGCTGCGTGGCAGGGAAGCACTTTCTGCAGGCTGTGTGGTGGGAGGAGCAACCTCGGCCATTTCGTGGCGATAGACACCGAAGGGCATGTCATCCCATGTAAGAGTCTCCCCATGCCGCTCATGGCTGGCAAGTACTCCAAGCTTTAACAAGCTCAGAGCTTCCCCGCTGGACTTGTGTTCGAAGCTGCCATGGGTCTTCCGGACGAGCAGCTGCTGAACCCGCAGGCCGTATCCAAAGCGTTGAGATGCGTGATTTGCACGGAGGTCTTCGTGAAGCCTGTGTCATCCATTTGCCAGCACGTTTTCTGTCGAGACTGCATCGAGCATGCATTACAGCGAGACGCCCGCTGTCCCACGTGCAGATCTCCTTTGAACTCCTGGGAGATGAATCCCAACCACCTAGTTCAGACCCTGCTTGACGAAGTTCTTGTACGTTGCCCTCGCTTTCGCGATAGCTGTGGATGGTCAGGTCCGCAGGACGCCTGCGCAGGACATGAGGCTACATGTTTGGTGCTTCAGCGTGCAGACCTGGCTCGGAGGCTGGACTTAAAGGAGAAGAAAGTGGCAGAGCAAGCCAGCACAATTGCATCACTGAGAAGGGTAATTCTTCAACAAGAACAGCTTCTTGGCCATCTCCGGTCACAAGCTGCATGCCATCATGGGCAGCTTGTCGAACTCAGGCGTGAGCTGCGAGAGAAAGACCGCAGCACGACGCTGATCCGAGCAGAGGTGCAGGCAGAGCTAACCTCGCAGTTGGCATCGAAAGCACAAGCCGACGCAGAACAAGCCAGGCAAGCACTGGAATCGATGACGTCCAGTCCCGATGACGAGCTTGTCCAGGCTTTTGTAAAAGACCTACAGAACAAGACGATCGTGATCAAGGTGGACTTGCAGAAGCCCGTCGTTGAGGTCAAGAGAACCATCGTTGACAAGACGGGTTGTCCCGAGGACATGTTTGGGCTTTCCCACGAGGGAAAGATTCTGAAAGAAGATTCTTTGGCGTCCCGCTACCAGATCTCACCAGAGTCAACTCTTGTCATGAGGATGCGACCGCATCCCTACACGCGGAACAACAAGAGTCGTTCCTAATTGTGGGCTGCTCCGGCTGATCTTGCAGTGGCCGGCCTAGTGGCCTAGTGGGTTCCCAAGCATGCATCCCAAAGGAGGAGGCAGGCACATCCAGCTGCAAAGACGTCGATGCCGCTGTGCAAGCCATGTGTCGGAATGCCACAGAAATTTCATCAGATCTGATCAGCGTTCACGGCAGGAAGCTGCGAGAGCAGAGGCCAGTGAGCGAATCCAGGACCTGCAAAAGCGTGCCGCCGGCAGAGATGCAGCTGGCCTTACGCAGAGTTTATGCAACAAGCAGTTCACATAGCGATCCGGGGCAGCGGTTCGTGCCAAAGAGCTTAGGCGCAGCTGAAGGCAGCCTTGTCAGAGACCGCTGCTCTGGAAGCCGCGCTTCGAAGTCAACGGGCCAAGGCAAAGGTTCTTGGCTGAAAACGTCCGGCCGCGGCAGCACCGCGGGGCGTTTGCTCCTTCGCAGGCTCGAGACCTGGGTCTGCGAGTCGAGAGGCAGGAGCAGCGTGTAAGGCAGGGCTGGCAATTGCTCCGGGGCACTGCGCTCTCCCACGCTTGTGGTGCCGCAGAAGGCAGCTGCAGCGCGAGCAACATCACAAAGACCTGTTGAAGGATGCCGAGGCAGGAGTTGCATGGACTGGGCTACAGTGCAGCCTGGCCGTTGCACAGGCGAGCTTCAGTTGGTCAGGCTGGGTCGTGCGTGTGTATCGTCCTAGGCCTGCAGGCACAGTCCAGACCCTTTGTCGTCCAGATGCATCCTCCGAGCTCATCGCGACCATCGGCGAACTGGGCTTTGCGGAAGTGGCGCTGCGAGGCCGCAACAAATCGAGAAGCGGTTCTAGGGATGTCCGTGTTCAGACGTGTCGATGGCAGTCGCCCGCCATGTTTCTTCCACTGCAGTGTCACCCCCTGGAACCATGCTTCGTTGGGCAGTCGAGCTCAGGGTTGGAGGGGCAGGCATAGCTTGAGAGTCCTGCTTCAAGAAAAGGGGCCGCCGAGCTGCTTTCCGCAGGGCATGATACGGCCTGCACTTGCCAGATGAGTCGGGCGACCTTTTCCACCTTGGACATGCATAACATGCAATGCACATGGTCACAGTTTGTTACTACTTGTAGTAGCCGTAAATATGCGCCGTGCGGGACACATGTGCTATCCTGCACGCATGTCGTAATACACTGTGCGTCGCACTTAAACGTAGGCCCGGCTCGACCCGTTCAGTGTGGGCGGTCAGTGGGTCAAAGTCTTGGCAACCTGGGGGAGCACTTTCGAGACACTTGCATCCTGCGAAATCCTTGCAGGGTCCAGCAGTTGCAATCGAAAAGGGTTGGTAGCCAGGCCCCCGACGGTCCGGTGTTGCCGCCGGGTTTTGGAACCCCGTCGCTCCCTACTGTGGCAGTCTTGAACAAAATCAATGCACCCCGGAGCATCTTCCGGCCAGGTAGCTGTGATGAGAACAGTTCAACAGGGCTGCTCCTGTGGCCTGAACCGCAAGTGGCCGTAGCCATGGCTTCCGAGTCAAATACTGTTCCCATGCCGAGGCAAGCTTCCCTCCTGGACGCGGCGGCGCAGTTCCTCCGGGGCGAACTCGAGAGCTTGGCAGAAGCGCTTCCACAGGAGTCCCCATGCAGACAGCACCGCTTGCGGCAAGTGTACTCGGTTTCACTGCCGAAGGACACGCGCCGCAAAGAAGCCAAGACAGCCTCTGCGCTGGGCCTGCTGAGGGAGCTCCGACGGAGGACCAGCTCCCTGCAACGTGGCGCAGACTGGACACTGAATACCTCACAGGTTGACTTGTCGAATCTTGTTGTGTGCGATAAGCATATCTCAGGTTGATGAAGTTGCAGTCTTCATTTTGAGGTGTGTCTGCCCGAAAGCTAAGGGATGAGATCCGGCCGGGATCCAGGGGACCAAAGTCACCAGGCGGGAGCTGGTGCTTGCATGAGAAAAAGGCCTGTGGCTTCTCTGCATGCTAATGGCAAGGGGTTCGCGAAGGGCTGGATGGTGGCAAGCCACTCCTCTTGAGTGTTGACGGCTTGTCCTTCTTGCATGGCGCGTCCATCGAACACAGTGCTCGCCATGAAAACTATGAAACTACGCACGTGTTCAGGTTGCAGAGTGCAAGACATTCGCGAGCCGCACTGTGGGCTTTGGGGTTTTCGGTTCTTGCTCGGGCACCCAAGCCCTAGTCCCTTGGCCCTAGGCCCTAAGCCGAGCCTAAAGCACGCAAGCAGCTTGTAGCAGGCTTACAATAGGCGGTTTTGTAAAAGGAGCGAAGGCCGCCAGTCGCGCCATCGCAGCCATCGCAGCCATGCAATGTTCCGAGGTTTGGATTCCAGGCTCAGCAGCGCTGAAAACCCACTTAGCTGACCTTTCAGCCCGAAGTCTTTGAAACGGCGCAGACAGGCTCAATGTGCCAGCGAGGCCCAGCACCCAGGGCCGCCAGGGCCAAGGCCAGGGCCAAGGCTCCAAAGAAAGCGGACAGAGCTCTTAAAGCTGAAGCACGGCAGGTCGCCTGCGACGAGCTCCAGAGGCCTTCAGTGATGGAGTTGGGTTGTCGAAGTGCGGCTGAGAGTTGGGACCAGGTTCCGAGAGCCTTCCTGCATCACATCGCAGTCGCCTGCGGTTCACAGCTCAGGAACAGGCTTGCATCAATTTGCGGTGGAAAGCGCGTCACTGGCAGAAGACGGGGTTGAAGACTGCCGAGTCGCGGGGACAGCGGTGAACGCAGGAAATCGAAATCAGTGAAAGACGAAGCAAGGAAGCCGGCTCTTCTTGGGCACACGAGCAAGCCTAAATAAACTGCAGTCCCCAAAAAAGTAGTCGAAGCTGTGGTTAAGCGTTCGGGAGCACCGCTGCAGGTTTCTGGTCGCGTGCGACTTCGCTCTACTGAGGCTTGACCTCAGGGCTGGGGCTTCGACGCTTTGTGCGGGCCACGTCCTCGATGTCGGAGTGCTGGCAGAATCCCTACACTTTCTTTTGTCGCTGTGGCGAGGCCGTGTTACGAAGACCCGGGCAGTCACTCCGTCTCAACCCACGGAAGGCAGGCAGTAATTAGTCAGCTTCATTCCTTCGTGGCACGAATTTCGAAGGCTAGTCGAGACATCCTGGCAGTGATCAGGCCTCCGGCCATGGTCTCGCACGATGTTAGTGGCTAACCGTCGGCTCAGGAAAATGGGATGGGGCATTCATCCGTTGCCCTGGTACCCGGACGGATTTCTTCTCTCTGGCTCCGGTCAGGACTGCTGCTTTGCTGATCGTGGAGGGGGTTGGAGGAAGGCCTAATGGTCCATGGTCCTTACCCGTGCGCCCAAGGGTCCCACAACTTCCGAAGCACAGGAAGCATTCGAATTGCTCGCAGTCCAGCAAGAACCGCAGCTCGCTTGAGGAGCGAAGCCTCACAAAGGCTGTGTCTTCTTCAAAGACCGCAGCATGCAGCACTCTGCAAAGAAGAAGCGATTGCCGTCAATCCTGCAGGATGAGCTGCGGCCACAAGGCCCTTGAACACTCTGGTGCGTCCCTGAACCAGTACAGATCCAACCGGTGCTCCATGAAAACCATGTCCATTGGTCATGCAGGGAGGAGGCGCTCTGCAACGAAGAGCATGAAGAGCGCTTACATCGCTTCTTCCTGTGGTATCAAGCACAGGACATTGGGAGCACGGTCGAGCACTTGACGGGGGAGGCCAGGGCCTCCGATCGATCCTTGTGGCGAGCCAAGCAGGGCAAGGGCTGTCACGGCCAAGGGCTCGTGGTAATTAAATTGTAAACGCTGGTCTCAAAGCATTGAGGTCGCTGTTTGTGGCTATCGTACACTCATCAAGGTGTCGGGTTGAAGCATTCAGCGGGTTCAGGGTCAGGTTTGTCAATGATGCCTCTTGCAACGCGCAACAGCAGGACCTTCGTCTCCTACAGTACCTCCTTTCAGGGTTGTCCACTCCTCATCACCTTGTAGGGTCTCGGGATTCAGGGTTTCGGGTGTGGGCTGCCCTCTAGTTCTTGTTCGGATCTTTTTCCTACTTTCAGGGTCACAGTTTTGCATCTGCAGTCTTCCTTCAGGCAGTGGGGCCCTCCTCTCATGCTCTTACCTGCCTACCTTCCAACCCCTTTCCGGGTTCGGAGTTTTGGCAGTTAACATGTCCTGGCTGCCTACCTTGCATTTTGCTTTATGGTTGTTTCGCAGGCACCCTTTTCCTTCAGAGTTTGATTTATCTTTTTAGCTGCTAGACGCTAAATGGATGTTAAAAGCAGAGTTTTCCGCGCCCGCTGTCCTTTGCGGACATGTTGTTGCTTGCCTCGTTCGTGCCTTCACATCGATAAACTCCCTCAAAGCTTGAAACTTGAAACTCCTGAGTCGTAAGTCCCTAAGCCCGTGCGAATCCACCCTGTCCTCGGCGCGCGAGCTGCCGTGCTGGAGCGCGATTCGGTTCGTTGTGTGAATCCACTGCGGCCTGGTGCCGAAATTCTGTTCTCCAGTGTGGGAGTCTGATTTTGAAGATGAGCACAAGACCCGTGCAGGTCTACAGCCAAGAGCCGACATCCATGCTGCCTGCCATTGCTTTGGCACAAGCGGTGCAGGTGCGAAGCTTATCGCCATTCTGGTCGAAAGCTGCTACGGAGTGTTCCTAGGTGCTGGCTCGTAGGCATCGCAGGGGCATGCAAGCACATGTCAGAAACCGTCGTCGCAGAGTGCTGCGTTTGAGACTGGTTCAAGCAGATCAAGCCAGCATCTCGAAACTCACCGGTTCAGTTCGGCAGGCGGTGATTTTGTCGGGATGAAGTGATTCGGAACCGTTGGGAGGACGCCAAAACGGCTCCGGAGCTGGTCCTCGACCTGTGCGCAGCGCCTGGCAGCAAGGCGCAGGGTCCGCAGGGTCGGCAGCGCTCACACGGCTGACAGAGGGTCCGACCCGGGACCGGTGTGAGTGGCCTTCAGCACTTTCGCAGGCGTTGCTCTGGAGGCCTATGCGAACAAAAGGGAGCCCACCTTCCGCACGCGATACAAACATGATTCATTGAGAGGCAACAAGAACCCCCTCTCTTCAGTTTCCCCCCGTCATCCCCTCCCCACCCTTGAGACTTAAGGTTTCCCTGCTCCGCTTCCTTCCCCTAGCTTGTGTGGATCCCTTCTGAACGGGTCTTTTGTTGAACATCGGACAGGCGAGTCTGCTCGCGACGGTTTTGGAGTCACGGAGCCAAGTGTGCAGTGACGGCGGTCCATATGGAGCTACAGCAGCATACTGTGTACTCCTTAGCTCTGCTCAGGTCTTCGCAAATCGCCATGGTCTGATTTGCCCGCCGTTTGCTGGAGAAGCTGTTCTCAGCCTAGAAGCTCTGAGGTAGCAAACGAGCCAGACGACGCTCGGCGGCGCGTGCTCTTTGCCAACATCTTGCGCGCAAAAGCCTCAAGAGTTCGCGGGGGGGACGGGGGAGGTGGGTTTCCGATTCAACCCGGCTCGCCACAAGCCGAGGCTGGTGTTGCCAACTGCCTGGCATCGAGCTTAGGACTGGGGGGGCACTTCCACGTGTGGATGTGCTGCCTACAGGCTCACACGTCAGGCGGGATTCGAAGCACGACTGAGGTTGTTGGCAGTGATGGTCGCGACGTGGGTGACCTTGCGAAAAGCTGCTTCGATGCATGCCCGGCAAAGTAGTTCCTGCGCAGTTCGCCTCGCTGGAAGCAGCAGCTGAGCCAGGCTGTGCTGGTGGCCAGCACCTTAGCAGCGGCCAGCCTGCTCTCCCTCGTGGGAAGCATTTTGTGGGTGTTGGAGGGGGCCCGGGCGGCAGGGAAGGAACAATCCATGCAAGAACAAGGAAGAGGCAGGCAGAAAGGCATGCCTACATGTAGCGAGGGGACGGGTTTGATAAACATGATCAACTACCATCGCCCCATGAGCCTGCAGGTTTAAGGCCTATGGCGACTGCGATCCAGCGCCAAACGAGCGGGCGGGTTTAAGAAATGTGATGGGCCGCCATTGCATGATACGAAGGGGGTTTTAGACTAAGACATGTGGTCGGCCACTAGCGCCTAACGAGGCGGCGGGTTTGACAATGTGAACAAAGCAACCACCACGGCCGAAGGCTCGAGATTAAGAAATGTGACCAGCCGCCATCACTAAGTCATCGCCTAATGACGAGTTTGAGCAATGTGACCAACTGCCACGGCTTAAATGATAGGCTGCGGTCTAAGCGTGTTGAAACCCGTGAGTCGAGAATTGCATTTGCAAACAAAGGAGGGGCCCGGAGCGTTGCGAAGCTTGCCGTGAAGAAACCTGCTGCAATATCCAGATGAGTCTTTTGGAGATCGGTCATTCCATCATTGTGTTTGCAAAACAGCGCTGCCACGTCGCCATACCTGCACTGGAATCCTGGAATTGCTAAGACTATACGACGACAAAGATGGCGACGATGACGATGACGACGACGGCTGCGACGAGGGCGACGACGGCGACAGACACTGCCACTACCAGTATTTAACTAGTAGCTAATTGGTATAGTAGAACTAGTTCTACTAATTGTAGCAGCTCTACAAGTACTACTACCACTACGACGACGACTACTATTTCTGCTGTTATCACTGCTACTGCTACTACTGCTACTACTGCTACTACTGCTACCACTGAAACGACTGCGACACCTGCTACTACTGCTACTACTGCTACTACTGCTACTACTGCTACTACTGCTACTACTGCTACTACTGCTACTACTGCTACTACTGCTACTACTGCTACTACTGCTACTACTACTGCTACTGCTGCTGCTACTGCTGCTACTGCTGCTACTGCTGCTACTGCTGCTACTGCTACTGCTAGTACTGCTACCACTTCTGCCACTACTACCACTACTACTACTACTACTACCACCACCACATGTGGGTGACAAAAAAACCACCACCACGACGACGACGACTACTACTACTAATGCACTACTACTACTACTACTACTACTACTACTACTACTACTACTACTACTACTACTACTACTACTACTACTACTACTACTACTACTACTACTACTACTACTACTACTACTACTACTACTACTACTACTACTACTACTACTACTACTACTACTACTACTACTACTACTACTACTACTACTACGACTACTACTACTACTACTACTACTACTACTACTACTACTACTACTACTACTACTACTACTACTACTACTACTACTACTACTACTACTTCTCCTTCTAGTACTAGTACTAGTACTAGTACTAGTACTACTACAACTACAACTACAACTACAACTACAACTACTACTACTACTACTACTACTACTACTACTACTGCCAGCGCCACTATGACTGTTATTGCTAATTGGCTGCTGCATAGTGTTTAGATGGGAATTCCTTAACAGGCTGCCTCAAGACAAGGCCATCCCACAACAACATGAACAAGACGGCCCAAACAAGGCTCCAAAACCACCCTTCACCATTGCCGGTCGCCCTTGACTTCAGGATGCGCCCTGCTCGGCAGAGGGCAACTTGAGGAGGTTCGTTCCCCACCCTTCCCCGTTGCTCCGACATGCGCAGTCTGTTGGTGTACATGGAGTGGATGTGTGTCTACCGGGCACGCATCGCTGGTGTATCCCGACTGTCCGTCAAATCCTTGCGGCTGCGTCGAGAGATTGTCCGTTACGAAGCCTGGTTGTGCGGATGCAGCTGCAGCCGCTGGTGGCGAGAAGTCGGCGCAGAGAGTCGGACAAGGATGCAGTGCAAGACCCATGACATCCTGACATCATGAGTCTTATGAGTATCATGAGTAGGCATGGCGTGGATGGACTCGAAACATGAAAGAGGGTTGTGCAAAGACACACTCACATAGACACGAGGAGCCTAGGGAGGGAAGTGCTGCCAAGCAAGCAACAGAACAGAGCTGAATGCTGTAGTCGGCGCCATGCAACTTCAAAATCTCTTGACGACACGCCGGGGGCCCCTGAGACGCGCTGCGAGAGCCACGCTTTCACTTGAAAGCTCCTCTAGAGCACGGGCTCTACAAGAGCCTTCCACCCCACCTTCGCGGTCGTGTGAGGTTTTGCGGAGCTCGACGAAGAATTGAAAAATGTGTGCGACGAGCTTCAGCGGCGTGCTGCTTGCCCGCAACATGACGAGTGCGATCCCGAGAGCGTAGGCGTCTCAAGAGTGCCCACTGCAAGGCAGAGCCATGGAACACGATAGGGTTTTAGACGACAGCCGTGTGCCTTGCGTGAATCGCGACTTCATCAACGGCACGGGGAGGGCTAGCTGAGTGGGAAGTTGCATGTCGGGCGTCCGTGTTCTGACTCGAGGTTCACAATGTGCAAGACACGATTCAGGGAGAAGTTGCCGAGTACCTTCGCGATCGTGATAGCCTGCGGCAGCCTAAGATGTTGAGGATTCGATTCGTACCGCTCTTCTTGGCTTTGCCTAAATCAGCTTGTTCGGCTGCTCTAGAGCACCTGTTTGGGGATTCAGTTCAAGCTGCTTGAGCAGGCTGCCCGATGAGACCGATGTGGATCCAGAGCCTGGTGGTGGAGACCTGCTCGAGAACTGGATCTTGAGGGAGGATGCTCTCAGTGCCCCTCAAGAGGAATCCAAAGATGAGCTCCCGCTCCTCGGCGACTGCAACCGACTTTCGTTTCTAGTCATCGCCGACTTGTGTCTGCCGCCCACGGCCTTCAGGATCGGTGCCCTGGTCTTGCGGCAGTCGGCATTGGCGCTGCAGAGTGCTTCAGGGCTGTCACACCTCCGATTGAACTCCCACATGATGGAGCTGTCCAACAAGACGCACGGAGTCGTCGAAGCCCTGGGCAAAGACAGGATCAAAAGCAATCTGACACAGCGAAACCAGAAAACGACCCGGCGGTTCAGCGGGATGATGTATGCCACCGAGCTGACTAATAGGTGTAAGCTGCCCGTGGCCAAGCCAAGCGACAGAATCCGAGTTGCCTGGGACATTATGAGCATTTGTTTGATCGTGATGGACGTTTTCTTGTTGCCGGCAGCCATTGCGTGGGAGCTGGAAGAACAGACAAATGTCTCTTTTGGCAAACTGATCGTGCAGATTTTTAGCGCAATCGCGATGGTGTTCTGGCCATTGGACACTTGGTTTTGTAGATTGAGTTCTCGCTCAAAGTATTATGTGGAGGCTGAAGCTTTTAGGGAGGTGCATTCCTATATCCTAGGGCTTCGAGTTTCGGATATCTTAGCGTCGTGTTTCAGGGTGGCTCCGTTCATCTTGTTCACCGCAGATATCCGAACCTCCTCTTGCCAAGGACATCATTCTAAATTTCAACACTGCTTTTTATGCGGGCTCTGTGCTTGAGACTCGTCGTTCCGCATCTTGGCGTCATTGAGAGCGGAAGGGAAAAGTGGCACGGGTGGCACCGCCCCGCCCCCCGCATCTTAGTCTTGGCGTGTTTTTTTTAGGCCATCGCCAGACGCTACTTGCGCTCCTGGCTCCCCTTTGACGTGACTGTGGTCATGCTGGACTTTGCCTTGGCTCTCTCGACCGCCTCGGAGGAACCGCGGCACAGAAGTCAGAACCCAGGGTTGGCCGGGGAAAGGGCCGCATTTGTGATGGGTAGTCGTCGTGACTTTTCGGTGTGTTGGTTGGCAGTGGGTTTTGGGTGCAGAGCTTTTTGGATGTCGTTTGAGCTTTCCGGATGTCGTTTGAGGGTATATTGTATTTCATAGCGCCAGGGGTTTTCGTGGTTCAGACTTTTGAGAGTCGGCACTTCTCAGGAAACCGGTATCTCAATGTATAAGAAAGGGGGTGGGCCATCGAAGCCTCAGGAAGTGGGTGGCGTCATGCAACCTTTCCGATCAGCCCGTTTCCTGCGGGTCTTTCGAGCTTGGGAAGCACTTAGTCGACTTCGGCGCAGCAGAGCTGACAAGGTGTGACGGCCAAGGATCACTCCGCATCTTGCGCCTTCTCAAAGCCGGAAAAATCAATGTGGTGCTGGAGAATATGGCTGGCAGCCCAGTGTCCTAGTGGCCAAGTCTTTTCTCGTCTCTGTGTCTTCTCCGAAACTGCCATTCTGTGGCTCTGGCCTGCCAGTGTTAGGGTTTTGTGCTCTGCCTTCGCCCGCAGTTGATCTCGATGGGACGACAGTGGCTCATTCTTGCCTTCACTGTGGGAAGGATGCTGCTGACCATCGTGACGCTTGGCTGATCTTGGCTGCACCTCATGGGTGAGGCGATGGTCTGCGCTTGCTTGTAGCTTTGCCGATGTTGGCAGGATGGTGCTCCACATCCTTGCCTGCACATGGTGGGGTCTGGGCAAAGTCCCTCACTGAGCATTCTGTGCAAACGTGCGCATGCACATGCATGCTGTGGTTAGGGCCAGCGGAATTCAGCCAGTCTAGTCAGTGAAAGCTCAGTCGGAGCCATCTTTCAGCATCTAAGTTTGCTGCAGTTGTAGTTCGCGTCTGCATGGGTGGGCCGGTGTTCACCTCCGGCAGATACTGGTGAGGTTTGAGCAGTGTTGCCCATCAGGCTGTGTCAAGCCCTGGCCCGCCTGCCATGAACAGCTGGAGCCTTTGACGAACTGAAAGTGGCAATTTGGTTAGCGGCTAGCAGGGCAAGCTCAGAGGTCAGGCAAACCGGCATTTCACTGCATTGCTTCGGGCCAACTCGGAATCCAAGGATAGATATTGCCGACATTTGGCATTTGAGCGGTCAAGCTCAATACATCCACGCGATGCAATGGATTGTGCCTTGCTTTTTTTCAGCGTGTTCCCGAGCAACAGCACACAAATCTCATCCAAAAGCACATGGTTCGGCCATTGAGTTGCTCCCTCCGGCTCCAGCACCTCTTGCGACTGCGACTTGTCCCAGCACAAAGGCCATCATTGCACCTTTGCCTGTGCCCGCATGCAAAAGACCATTTTTTGTCAAGCAATAAGGACAGCGCTTATGAGCGACTGGCTACGATAATGACAGTTGTGGTGACAGTGCTTGGCTGCAAACTGCGCAGTTGATATATCTGTGCATCGTTGCCGCTCTGGCCCTTTCCAGTCTGGGCTCTGTCGAATCCAAGGTTCTGGTGATTGGTACATCCCTTTCCGTGCTAACGGGGACTTTGCAGGATGGCTCGCTACAGAGTCCCGTAGTTCTAAGCCGACGTTGACCTTGGACAACTGCTGGGTGGGATTTGCGAATGGAAGCATGCCGCTGTAGATGGTAGACCTGTTGTCAGGAGATCCGTCAGGTTAACAACGAGCGCAGCAGACGCTTGAAGAAATTCTCAGGTGGTGCTGATCTCGAAGATGTGGGCATGTCAAACTACTCAGTGTTCCTAATTCCTAGTGTGTGCTTGTGAGGATGCTGATAGGCCATGCGAAGCTGGACTGGCAAAGAAAGTGCAGCAGCCCGTGTTGCACACTCTCACCCAGGAAAGCGTCGAGAACTACGTATTTTTCTCCAAACAAAGCACGCGCCAACTGAGTCTCTCGGCAAAGCCAGCAGCATTGCGGGCGTTGGTGGTCCGACTGAAGAACTGGTACTGTCGCCGTGTGTGCATCTTCCTGAAGTGTTTGCACCCAGGTTGGTTTTAAAAGTCATGAGCTATGCCGACTACAAGATGGCCCGGCACTCCCCGACTCTTGAATGCAGCACGAGCATGTTCCGTTGCACACCGTCAGCGAGGCCTAGGGCGCAGTTTCTTGCCTTTGCACGTTCAGTTGCATTGGTTGGGGCAAACCATGCCTGCGGCCTGCGTTTTTCTTAGCTGCCACTCGGCAAGGATTGCATTTGATGAGACCCTGATTTCGCAAAAGCTGGAAGCAGAGCTTGCAACCTTTCAGCACGGAGGCCACGATCCCAGTGTCACCTGCGGCATGCAGCATACTGACTTGATCTGGCATGTTCCACATGGTGCAGTAGCTTAAGATTACCTTCGAGAGCACCCAATCTTCTGGCTGCTGGATACACTGTTCCCGCCGCTGGAAAGCAAGTATGTCGGATTGTCTCAGCTCGTTGAACATGGTGCCATGACCACATCGGATAAGTTGAGCGAAGCATCAAGTGGGTCTGAGCCTACGCGAAAGGGGGAGCGAGAGAGAGCCGCTGCCTCGCCTCAGCTTGTGAGATGGTTCACTTCAGACTGCGAGACCAGGGTAGTGCTGAGCGCCCTAGCTTTGGGGCTGTGTGCAAGCAAGAGCGCTGCGCAAAGCAAAGAGAGAGAACGAGATTGTATAGTCGGGAGCTTGATTTGTGTTCGGGCCCCTGGGAGAAGAAGCTGACAAGCAGGGTGGGCATCAACCTTGTATGCTGTGTTGAGCTAGTTGTGCCCGCCCAGTCAGAAACACTTAAACCAACTGAGGTAGCCCAAGGAAGGAAACAATGTGGCCCCATTGCCTCAGCCAAGTTTTGCATTGAATTGCATTGCCAGTGCGTTATTTTTGTGTTGCTAGCCTTGTCATTCCTTCTTTTGAAATGCATGGGAGCTCTACACTCCATTCGGCGATGACAGCTAGCGTGTGGGGTCACAGGGGGGCGGAGATGAGGCGGGGAGTAGAGGTCGGGCGGCCGAGTGCCTGTACGCGACCCGTAAGCCCGGCAGAAGGAAAGACAAGAGAGAGCTGACAGAATCTGGTTTGGGCCTTTGGGACAACTCCCAGCAAGCAAGCCAGCCAGCGAGCGGGCGGGCGAGCGAGAGAGAGAGAGAGAGAGAACCAAGTTCAGAGTGGGAACCCGATGATGTTCAGATAGCACTGACTTTTGTGTTTCACAAAGGGCACCTACTCAACACTCAACTTAACCTCCAATCAGTACAGCCAAGCCCATCAACCAAAATGGTGGATGGGGCTGCTCGAAGAGCGGGGAAGGGGGACTGCCCCTTCTCCTCGCCCCGGAGCAAAGCAAAGAGAGAACCAAGCGGGGCGAGGGGCACACCGACAGGACAGAACAAATGTCCGCTGGCCGCTCTGAGACGGGGCAGCACAAGCACCACAGTTCTGTAAGACCTGTCTTCTAGTGTGCAAGTCGGGGTGTTACCAGTTACTCAGGTGCTCTGCCTGTAGCGCTAGCCTATTGCACTTACTAGAATGCGCTCAACCAAAAGCAGGCGGCCCCTAGCGGGGGGCTCGCCCCTCAAGCCTGGTGTGAGAGAGAGAGAGAGAGAGAGAGAGTGGCAGACGGACTTTACCGCCCTTGACAGTCCGCTGGGCACAAGCCCCGAGCATTCATGACCCCACAAGCCTCTTCCACCATCGTATTGGGGAAGGGGGCGCCGGGGCGCGGGTCCATCCGTGGACCTTTCCCCCGCGAAGCGAAGCGAAGCGAAGCGAAGCGAAGCGAAGAGAGAAAGAGAGAAAGAGAGAAAGAGAGACAGAGAACCACCTGCAGTGCCTGCTCCACAACATAGAAAAAGAGCTCGCGGAAGATGGCCGTCACATCGGGGGGAACCTTCCAGGTCAGCAACACCACCGTCGCCTGCCAGCCGCATAAGACAGTCATTTCCACACTTGGTTCACCCATCACCTTTGGGGAGCAGACAACACCCATCATAGCAGAGATGTACAGGCGGGGGAGGCAAACCTTCGCCAAACACAAGCAAGTCCTGCTCGCCAGGACCAACCTCAAAAGCAGAATGACAGCTTACATCGCATTGGTCCGCAACGCAGCACTCTATGCCGCAGAGACATGGCCGGTGAACCACCGGATACTCAAAGCCGCTAACTCCCTCCAAGCCCAACACCTCCGACGCATGCTCCACCTGGACAGGCGGCCCACATCCGCTCCCTCAGAACAGCCAGAGTCCACCTCCAACGGGGGGGATGGGACAGATGGTCCACCCACATCCTTACCAAAGTGTGGTCCCTCTGGGGGCACATCGCCAGAGGGGGGCACGAAGTCAATGCCATGATCCGATGGAAAGACCTACGCTTCTGGCGAGCAGAACAGCGCAAACCCCCGAGAGACAGGGTCAGCCACGCAGCCCGCTTCAACCCGGAGGGGGATGTGGAGAGAGCCCTCGAAAGCATCGGAGGGACAGAATGGAGCACCCTAGCCGCAGACCGAGCCCAATGGCAGCTACTTACAGCTGCATTCGTCGACGAATTCGACGTCCAGTGGGCGACAGGAAAGCAGACCAGCATTCAGGACAACCTTGTGCCACACAGAACAAGAGGGCCGCCGCGCATGCAAGCTTTAACACGCTAGTGCAACACGCACACACCTGACAGAGCCCGTGCCACCCTAGCCCAACCAACGCCTGACACACCCTGCATACAGCAACCTCGGACCGCACGCAACTAACCGCTTCAGCAAGACTCTTCACCAAACCTACGAACAAGCAGACAACAGCACGTAACCACAGCGATTGAAGGGAGAGAACCTGAAGAACTGTGGCAGCTGTTGACCTGTACTTTGAGGGGAGAGAACACAGACTCTTGTGTTACACGTCCATGACAGTTTGTTACAGCAATGCAGCCATGCTTTTGACATGTGCGACAGCCTGCCTGCTGCAGAAGGGGGAGACAACCGCGGATGCTGCAGCATCTGACTCCAGCGACTCCCCACGGCCCGAACCCTAGTTACTAGTTGCACACATGGCTTCGAAGGGGGGAGCTCCTTTGCTTCGCAGCGACCGGCCTGTTGCTGCTCCACCTCCTGGTAAGCCCTACGCAAGGTCGACCGACCCACCCCAGTGATGAGGGAAACAACGAGGGACCACGTATGACTCGTCTGGGTCAACCTCAGGGAGCAGGCCCTCTACCTCCGAGGCACTCCGAACAGACAGCTACAGCAGGAGGGACCCTGCCAACGACAGCCACACAACACGACAGCCGCACGGGGGGGGGCCCCAACATGCAAGCCACAGCACATGGGCGGGACCCATACCCGCACAGCAGCCGCCGCAGCCAACGCAGCCGCAGAGCAGCACCGGAACGAGCGCACCACCAGCGACCTTCCACCACGCGCCACCGACCTCCCAAGCATCACAGGCCTCCCGAGCAGCCCCACGACATGCCGGGGAAGCAACAATACACCCAACCTACCACATTCCACTCCACGCCCCAGCACTACCACTGGCAGCAACCACCTCCACAATACGACCCGGCATCAGACCCATGGGTACAACCATATGACACGCAACCACAACCACAACAACATCAACGGGGGCGACAGCCCCCAACCACAACCACCACCACCCACAGCCACAAGGCTGGAGCTCGCACATCGGAGCCACAATCACAGCTCAACCACCACCGAACCCGGTGCAGCAGGTAGCCGAAGGGCTAGCACAAATGTACCAACAACAACGGGCCTCCCAGCAGGGGGGCGCACCACCACCACCCTACACAGCAGCCCAGTTGGCGCAAGACCACGGCTTCGCATCCTACGATGGGGGAACCTGCGCGACCCCAACGGCCAAATCATCGAGCCACCACCCACTGACCAGCACCACCACACCGGACAGCAGCCGACAGGAGCCCCTTTACGACCACATGGCCCACATGGGGTGGCATATGCCACCACCTACAACCCTGACACCGACCCATGGTCGGAAACCGCAGCAACAACACACCACCCGGCGGGGCAAACGCCGGAGCCAACACACCACACGACAGCACCGCAAACGGAGCCGGCAGCCACCGCACCGGACCACCCCCACACCACAAGCACTGCCACCGCAGACCAACAGGACCACCACCAAAGCACGCAAGCAACAGCAGAGACGCCAGCGGGGCGTGCAACAGCAGCGGGGAACCGCAACACAGACCCTTCCGCGAGCACCCCTTCCAAGCAGCCACAGGCAGCAACCTCCCACCTGGCGGCACCAAAGCCATCCCCGGTATGACCATGCGCGAACACTACCACTGGATAACAACGGGGCAGATACCAACGAGCTACATCCACCGAGAACTCCTGTCTGCCTTCCCAGACGCTGCAGCAGACGACAACGACCAGGCGGGGGAAGCACCAGCGGAAGCCACCACCACACCCAGACGCCGCAGCAGCCACCGCCCCCACCACAACCACAGAAAGCATGAAGGCGGGGGAGCTGAGAAGTACCGCATGAAGAGATGGCTCAAAGCCCACGGCCTTCACCACACCAGATGGGACCAACACCTCCAGTACCAAGACGATTCCACCGCACCGACAACCAACAACACTCCACCACACCACACGGGGGACAACGATCCTCACAACAGCCCACCCACCACATGGCAAGCACCACAAATCACGCGGGAGGAACGAGCACAATACTTCCGTATGCTCAACCCGGGGCAACCGCTCCCTGCTCACCTCCAACCACCGGAGGAACCACAGCCACCACAACAGCATGAAGTCACCGGTGGCCCAGCCGAGCCAGACCAACATTCCAAAGCAGCCACCTACACACCACACTGGCACCCAGACGCAACCGACGACCAACCCACACAAGGAACCAGCTACTACCCATCACGGCAACCAAAGCCCCAGCAGGAACCTCACAACCTACAGCAGGAACCACCTCCACAACCACGACCACCAACACTGGGGGAGCAAAACGCTGTCCCGCCCCCACTACCACACTCCAGAGCAACCAGCATCACCCACACGGCGCTGCGTGCCGGAAAATGGCTGACCAGAGTAGCATATAGCCAGGACCTGCCAGTCTCGCCAGGCGAGGGAGCAATCACGACGCCCCCCACAGTGGGGATGCCAATGGCAGCTTACCCGCCAATAAGCGGGGAAACATGGCTCCTCCAAGAGCCCATCTCGGAGCGAAGATGGTTGGTCACCGTCACACAAACACCCACAGCAGCACAACAAGAGCCATACAGCCTGGCTCTTCAAGTTGGAGACCAGTTCCTCATGCTGAGGGGAAACAACCACTGGCACATGCAATTCACCACCGCTACGCCGGATCGCTTCCTTACGGAGGGGGACACCGACCACAGCCCCACTGCAGAAGACGCGCAAAGCAGCAACCAGCCGCAGCCGGAGGTCACTCCGAGCGCAGAGGACGACCCACCTAGAGCAACACAGGACCACGAAGCACAACAGCAAGACCCACCACAGCCACTAGAAACCCTCTCTCAGACAGGAGAACTCTGCGCCGTTCAAGCAGAGAGGCGCAACAGGCCACAGCAGCGCAAGCCCAAGCACCGACTCCCACGCCATGGTACCACCAAGTACGAGACGGCAGGCATATAGGCCCAAAGCCTAGCCCAACCCCAGCCCCCCGGCGGCATGGAAGCGGAGCATGTAGAGCTCATGCAAAGGGGGGGCTCCCAAACTACCACCTCGACTACCACTACGCCCTCGCGATCACCGACAGCATGTTCGCACAACGAGACGGGGGACCACCTCAACGGCACGACCACGGACGAAGAGAACTGTGGCCTTGTGAGACGACGGCGAGCACGACCAGACGACGAAACCGGCCGGGGGGACAGGCATCTGCAAGCTCCTCGGGTCCAGTGGACGCGCAGGCACGCCTGGCAGCACAAGGGGGGGCGATCCAAGCTGCCCTGGCTCAGCTGCAGATGATACACGAGATCGCAGATGGCCTGGACAATCGCGCCGGGGAGCTCATCTCCAACATTTGTGCCATAGCCCTCAGGATGCTCACGCAAGCTGACAGTTTCCCCCACTCACGACCGGGGGGGATCCAAGCAGCTTTCGCAGGCCCCTCAGGACTCAGCGAAGCATATCGCTTCGTAGCCTCAATGCGTGTGAGAAGGGGGGAAGGCTTCACGCCAGAAGAGTACGCCACCGACCTCAGCCAGCTGCGCGCCATGGTGGAGACAGGGCTGGCCGAACTTAAAGATCCCATGCCGGGGGATGTCAGCGAACACAACCTGAAAAAAGCAACCCAGAAGCTCACGGCCGCATACCACCAGATCGACAAGATCATCCTGGCAACGCTGGGGGGAGACCGCGGCTGGAACACCTTAGCGTGGTGGAATGACCTGCATGACCTCCTGGCGCCGGGGGGAGCCACCGGAGAATGGGAAGCTCGCTCCTCACAAAGATCGTCGGCAACCACGAGGCTACTACAGGCCGCGGGGAGAAGGAGGAACATGGTTCCTTTCATGAATGACCATCTGATGATGCCTATAGTCGAAATGCTCCAGGCGCTCGAGGCATGGCAACAGGCGCTGTTCGGAGGGGCGCATGCCGTGCATGAGCACACACAAGCCGGAGAAGTGAGCGACGAGGGGGAGACGGCGGCCAACCACGAGCAGCCCGTGAATCCCGACGGGAACCGGGAGGAGCTTCGCGACGACACCGAGAAGGCAACGACCGAGCTCGAGCCTGCAGAGCCGCGTTCGGAGGACGGAGCCTTGTCGGCTGAGCAAATGGCCCAGCTCATGACGGCAAGCCTGCAGCAAGCCGTCAACGAGGTGGGGAACATGGCCACCATACCGACCCAAAGTGACAGCGAAGCCGCGACCATGCCATGGAGACCGCCGCCAGAAGGGGGACGAGCTCAACTGAGTGCCGAAAGAGCTCTCGTTCCCCACGTCAAGATGACGACGACGGGGGAAGCCACAGAAGGAGACGGCTTCAGGCTGCTGTTTATGGGAAGCATGGGCCTTATTGACACCAACCGCGGGATGCACATAGCTAGCGAGTATGAAGCACAGGGTTAGGGGGACCCACTCGTGTCAATAGGTCACCTGATGCAGTCCATGTCTCACGAGCTGGTACCAATGCAGCTAAAGCCCAGGCGAATGAAGTAAGGGGGATGTTGTATTACATTTCGTCATTTCACTGTAGTTTGTCGCGTTTCCAATTTGGCCGGGCCCTCAGTTCTCAGTGTGCAAACTTTGTGCTACGGGGGGGGAACATGTAGTGCCATGTTCTTGTGTTGTTATGCAAATGAACTGAAAGAAACCTGCTCATGCGGGGAAGCAAGTCCACACTGTCCACCCAGCTACAGCCAAAACCGGGGGGACAGTGAATGGACGACACCCTGACTGTTCCTGTGCAGCCGAGCCTCAAATCCCGTGAGGACAAAGAAAGGACGCCCCGCGAATAGCGGGTGTGCGATTCGCGCGGGGGGTGGGGCCTGGATGCTGCCCCAATCCCCAAGCCCGGTAGAGAGAGAGAGAGAGAGAGAGAGAGAGAGAGAGAGAGAGAGAGAGAGAGAGAGAGAGAGAGAGTAGAGTGGATCACTGCCAGCCCACTGCCAGCCATCGGGTGACTGCCTCTGTAGCTGCCGCCAATGGACTTGCTGGGATACCGTTTTCTCAAAGCCAGGGGGGACACTAGGCAACAGCTTGAGACAGTCGTAAGTTTTTCAGGTCAGTGTGCTTGCTTCGGTAGGGTGCTGTTGCGAACCTCCGCCTGGCTAAAGCCCGGGCTGGGCAAGAGCCGGGGCCCTAGGCTTGACAGAAGCAGTTCTCCACAGGCCGGTTTGACAGTTTCAAGCTCAGGCTCCAGGCGGGTTGGGGGTTATAGGTCTAGTGGTTTCTGTGGGGGTACCGGTGTCTGAGACTGCTGTTGCACCTTTTGAGTCGTTTCGCCCTCTTTTCCAGTGCGCGGTAACGCGCGAGGGGTTCATGCACTTGGATTCCCGTGTGCTGCGTGGAAGAAGAGAGAGTAGGTGTGAACTAGTGGTTGTGTTGACAGGGGATCCTTTGCTGCTTCAATTCAATGACATTGAACAGCCAAGAGCAATCTCCAGCAAGTAGTTGTTTCTGGAGAGAGCGTGGATCACCCGAATGCAGCTCGCAGGTTATGTTATACATGGTTTAGGAGGTGTGTTTGGAAGCCGGGGTTTGTTGAGCTCAACACGTGAGAACTTTCAGCCCCGAAAGGGGTCCGTCAGACCTGGTGGATGCAAGCTGAGTGAGGGTAGGCCTTCGGGAAAGGGGTCCGCGGGGCTCAGAGAGAGTGGGGGAGCTTTCGAAAACCCTGCCAGGACTCACGCGGGGTGTGAGGGCTGGACTTCCCCTGCACTCCCCACCTCGTATAGGGGCCAACGACTCAGAGTTCGTGACAGTGGCAGGAAGGGCGAGATCGCAATCCACGAAGATGGCGGCAAAGGAGCAGATGTGTAGGATCTGCCGTTGGGGAGGGGGAATATGCCAGGTGGGATTTCGCAAAGTGCACGTCACAGTGTCGGCTGCATGGAGACCAACGCCGTGCCAATGTGAGGCTGGGGGAGGCATACGTGCCGCCGGCTACCACAACGCCTCCGACCTCATCCAGCGGGGATGCGAAGACACCGCTGGATGCCAAGACCGCCTTCCGAACCCAAGGGGGATTGCACTTGCTGTTCGAACCTGATGCCTTGGACCTATGGATACAACGCCAGGTCGAGACCCAAGAAGGTGGGGGATACCGTGACATGGCCACGGGGGAGCTGCTGGGAGCAAGGGAGGAAGCCTCTTACGAGAGAGAGGCACCTGCAGAGGCTGACGGAACGACACAGGACCAGCGAATAAGCAGACCGCCCAGTCCGTATCGTTGACAAATGGCTGCCTAATGTCTCGGCAGAAAACAGGGCGTTCGTGATGAAGTACCCTGAAAAAGTGAAGACCATGCTGGCAAAGACATGGAAGTTGCGCCGCAAGTTGAAGGCAAAGAAAAAGGAACAAAAACAAAGATGCAGGGGGGAATGCGATCCCACAGAAGCTGCACTGCCGACGAGGTTGCGAGAAGAGCAGGTCGGGGGGGACGACCCAGCAACTTCCTCCACCACGCCGCCGCTGACTCAACCTCCCGGCGCAACGGGGGAAACCAGACGGCTTGCGAAAAGAGCACCCAGGGTCTCTGAAGAGACGCCACCTGACTGGGGGAGCGCCGACGAGAGCAGCAGCCGTGAAGAAGGTGAACAAAACCAATGGCCGTGGGGAGCTGAGGGGAGACCGTCTGACCATGTCTGACCGAGATGCCAACCAAAGGCGTCCTGCCGAGCCCGCGGGGGAGCCACCGGCCAGACGACCCACGGAACCACAGCAAGAACAAGAAGGAGACCGAAGGAGGCCAGCTGAACCAGAAAGCGGGACCGAGAACTACGCGACCCGGCGAGCCAGAGGGGGAGCCACGGACCAAGTGTGTTCGGCCACCCACACCTGCAGGAGGACCGCAAGGGACCGGGGGAGACCGACAATCACCCTGGTCCCGAACCTGCGCTGGCAAGTACAAGAGGTTCAGCAACACATGGTACACCGCAGAGGGGAGATGACAACAAGGTCCAGCACTGAGACGGAGTGAGCGCGGCAGAAAAGTTTTTCAAGTGACGGTCGAAGAGGGGGAATGGGGGAGGGAGTTAGGTTCGGTTTGTTGTTTGTTTCGGGGCTTTGTCGAGCGACCCACCTCCTTTCCACGACTGACTGTTTGCCTTCGCAGGGGGAATGCATGTTTCCATGTACCATATGTGTCCTGTAAACCTTTCCGGTTCTTCTGAACGCCGCCTGTCGCTACACGACAGCTTTCTTTCCGCTTGCCGCAATTCGCTGCATTTCCGTCGTCACGACGAAGACGGTTCCGCCGCTCTACCGATAATTCGGCATTCCCCCTTGCTCCGCTAACGTGGGGGGAGTAATAATTCAACATGCTCCTTTTGTCAAGCCCCCAGAACTTGCTCTTTACTATGGACTGTTTCGGGGTGGTACTTCGGCATAGTTGACAATGGGGGGCAACTTAACCGGCACATTTTCGCTCTTTTCAGCAGCCTAGAACAGCTGCATGGGGGACGTTCCACCCAGATCCCAATGAGAGCCCCGATGAGTGCCACAGGGGCGCGGGGACGAGGCACGTTGGGGGTCCCTAGTGTAAAGGGAGGGTCGGGGCTCTCGGTGTGACACCTGGAACATCCCTAGCCAATTTTTCCTATGCATTGAGACCCCAAAAGCCGTCCACTCATTAGCACGGTGTGAGGGACGGGCGGGCGTAATGCCTGAGGGTCGGGCCGACCGACCCCTAAGCCCGGCAGAAAAAAGAAAGAGAAAGTGTGCGCGCTTGCGTGCGGCGGGGTAGTCCGACTGCTTCTCTCGTCTGTGCGGAAGAAAAGAAGAAAGATCTCAGCAGTTGTTCTAGTTTGCTCATGGATGCCGCTGTTGCGAGGTTCACGGATAATGTAAGTCGCGACTACCTGCGAACTTGCCGTTGGCTACCTGCTCGGACGCGCACATGCGGCTTAAATCAGATCTGTTGCTGTTAAGGCTGGTGTTCAACGACCTCTGCAGCACGCTGGAGAAGCAGCTGTTCTGCGAGGAACCCGCTGCTATTCATGTGGCCGATCGCTAACTAGTATCTTGATGTGGGTCCAAGATGCTTGGTTGGCAGGGAGAGGCGGTCTTTCGACATGGGACGCTGGCCGAAATGATGTCCCCTTGAAAGCATTGCACTCGAACGGAAACCCTTGAGAAGCTCTGCATGCCAAAGCCTCGCGCGACTAAGGTATATAAGCAGCCATGGAGATTTCCGAATTTGTGCTCGCTGGTTGAGAGTCTTCTCTTTTTTTCTTCGCTCTGCTGTCTGTCTGTGTGCGTGGTGGAGTATTCTTGCGCTATGTCGATCTTTAGCAGTAGCAGGTACAGATGCGCAAGCTACGAAGAAGTTCTCCGGCCCGCACTACTACTTCGCGGAGGCCATGGTAGGTTTGATTTGAAACCAATCACGGAAGTTCAATATAGTTCAAGCCGGGAAAGGGTACCAATATGATCCAATATGTGTGAGCAGTTTTGCTGCCATGGATTTTGACTTTGATTTCCAAGTTGGGGGCGAGGGACAGTCCACAAGCGCATGGACCAAAGAAGGTCGCGTAAGGCCGGCACAGCACCAAGGTTAAAGCATCTCGAACCTTAGGAGGCCTGTGGCCGTTGCATGGGCTTCGGATCGGACGGCCAACTGCTTCTCTTGAACGGGCCTGTGCATTGCAGGGGCACCGAAAAATGAGGGTCATGTCACGCCGCACACGCAGACAACTGGACCGCTGTCTCCTCCAGGCCAAACCGCCCGAGGCTCCACAAGAGATGCGGAAGCAGAGGAATTGAATGCATCTCCGAATTTAGAGCACTGGCTTGCTTACTTTTGCAGGTGGCCCTCTACGTCGAAGCATCCATGCACGACTGCACCTTGCTGGCCGAGTCCTTCACGGAGGTGTGAGCCTCAGCCAGCGTGTGGACTCATGCTGGTTTCGTGCTCCTGCTTCGGCCAAAGACGGGGTTTGTAAGTGCGGCACGCGTACCTTCGGATCGGCAACTCTCGCACCTTGTGACTTGTGTGGCCAGTTTGTGGCTTGGCAGGTCTTCATCCTGACGAGTGTGAAGTTGGCGACGGTTCTGAGCCATGGCTCAGATGCCTCTGAGAGCCTGAGCTGGCCTTCGCTTGGGGTCGTATCGGCATGTGAGAATCTGTGCATAAGGGCCAACTCCCCGGTATGTGCGGCAATGTACATTGAGTATGCGAATGAGCCACTCGGACCTGCCCTGCAAGAAAGACCGGGATGGTGGGCTAAACGCTGAGATTTGGAGCCAAACTTATTGCCGGTTGCTTCCAAAATCAACTCAGTGCTTCGGGGTTTGGCTCCGGGAGATTGTACACCCACAAAATCTGCCGTTGGAAATGTTCGGAGCCCGATTAATAGTTGAGGTATATCTCGCACTTCGTGGTGATGTCACCAGATGCTGAAGTGGAAGAAGTCATCGAAGCGCATCTGCAGAATGCCGAGAACTCATGCGAGAATAATTCTTTCTACTTGGACATGTATGTCGACGAGCGCGCCTCATCCTGCAGAAAGGTTGCGTCCGATGGTACGGACCTGACATCCAAAACTTAATTACATGCATCTGCTGATCATTTCCAGCTGTCGTCTGCTTTGTCTTCCAAGGAAAGCAGCTGAGCAGCCTTCAACTGGCTCCCCACCGATCTGAGCCGCAGATCAGGTTGTGTCTATGCTGCAGCATCGAGTTGTATGGATAGGTGTCCCACCACATCACCATTGATTGGTGTGCATGATCGCAGCGTGTGCGAGTGCAATGGTAACTTACTGGTCCTGCGCAGTTCTCCCAAAGACTGCGAAGGTTGTCTCTTCCAGTGTCGCCCTGCGTCTCTCGTGCTCTCTCGCTGTATACACCAGCAAATTTTCACATGCAGACATGCCTGCTTGCTATTCAGGAGTTTCCGAAAGTCGGAGTCTGCGAGCTCTTTGGGATCTGGAGGCAACATCGCGACGGTCCAAAGAGTTCCAGCGCAAGACTGCTTGCTGCACTGTGCATGCAAAGCGCTTCACTTGTGATGTCCGTGCTGCAGATCTGGCGGTTATGACACGGACGAAGTCTTTCCATCATCGAGCCCGGACAATGAAATCGCAGCGCCGACACGACGATGAGCATGTAAGGCACATAAGTCCCAAAGAATTTGTTGACAAAGTCTTTGAGAACGACCTACCGAAGCTTGGATGAGCAAGACCCAGTTGTCGTCCAAAGCTCTGACCCTGCCTGCCCCTCCGAAACTGTGCAAGGACAGTTACTTTGGTCAATGAGCTCCGTGATGCTTTTGTGGAGCTGGAACCGGATGATGGTCTCCATGCCAGGCGGAGAGTGCCTGCAAAGCACGACAGGGTTTTGTGGCTCGAACACTTGTTGGAAGTCTCCCTTATCGGTGCCAGCCCTGGCAAGGTTTTCGGATTCGAAGGAACAGGACGCGGACTTGTCTGTGGTACAGCTGGTACTGCGTGGCATCGTCGCACGAGCTAGGCAAGCCGAAACCTGATTCCCCGCCAAACGAGCACACGCATGTGCGCTATTGCGCGCTCCGTGTTCTGTCTTAACTTATGTTACATGTGATTTCTGTTGGCCGTCACAATGCCGTTGCAGCGACATGAAGTTCACCTGTGGCATCCCTTGGCTTCTCCCTTGTGGAACGTTCGGCCTCGGGCCAAGACACCCTCAGGCAGCGATTTTGCGATCTTACATGGCACACGAAGGCACATGAACCCTCCAAGCCACCAGACCATCCACAAATCCATATACAACCAGTATCGTCGTATCGTCCTAGTGGCGCGGTTGAACATACTCATGCGCGGGCAAGTATGCATGGGCAGGAGCGAGCAGAGTCTGCGATTTTGAGTCTGATTGCCCTGGTTCGCGGCAACTACGAGGCAACTCTTTACTTTACTTAAGTTTGCATCGTGCAGCTGCGAGTGGTGACGACAGGGAGATGCAACCCCTACGTAAAGTGAAGGCGTACACGTCGCCACAGAAGCCGGCAGCGCGCTTAACACTGGGACAGTGGCAGCAGCTGCAAAGTGTGATGGCGTGGGCCGCACCAGATCGGGAGTCGCTTGGCCATTGCAGTTTGACATGCTTTAAGAGGTGTAGACAGTATAGAGCGCTGCCACTGTAAGTGCGTAGCGGCCTAGCATTCGTAGTTTGAGGAAGATCTTGGCCGCTATCCTTCTACTGGCTGTGAGGGGCATCGGCAAGTGTAGGCTGGATGTGGGTAAAGACTGCACGGCCTTGACGCTGCCGGTTTGTGCCTGGTCTTGAGAAAGATGTCTTGACAGCCCCAGCCTGGCAGTAGCCATGGCAGGTCTGTCACACACCAGCTGCCTCCGCAGCATCAGCGCCCAGACCAGGCAGTGTTGTTCATCCTCGCTCCTTCACTGCACAGGGCGCGGACGTGTAGTTGAGTCTCTGCTCTGTTTCGAGCTGGCCTCCATGTCGAGTTGCCAGAGCATTTCTGCTTCGGCAGCTTCGTGTGCCGAGGACCATTTCCCCGATGCTGTCCCATCTGTATACAGCGTTGCGCCGGATGTAAGACATCTGCTGTGCCCCATCTGCATCTCACGGAGACGGGAAAGGCTAGTGGCGAGCTGATCGGCTCGCCATGCAGCGATGCAGGCGCTGTCGCATGTCTGGTTTCTGTCCGCACCAGGGACGATACCCTGGAGCTGCAGCAGAATTTCATATTCGCGCAGATGCTGCAAGGTGAGAATGCATCTCGGCCGGACTCGGCATTCCGCGGATGCAGAAAATATAAGCGGAAGGGCACATCATGTGAAAGTAGGTCGGTGCAGTTATTCGGCTTGGCAGTCCCGTAATACAGATGGTGCGCCCAAAAATGGTTTTGGCATGTAGTTGCCCGCACATGATTCTCTGCCCTGGTATCCTTGAGTGTCGGACGGTTCGACTTCGTAGTCCGCATGGCATTTGGTTCCCGCCGCTTTAGCGTCAAGCTTGGTTGCTCCTGCTGCGTTAATGAACGAGGCTAACTTTTGTCATGCATCTCAGGTTCCAGCCAACTTGGTGCAGCTCAAGGATTTCATAAATCAGAGAAGCGGCAGCTCAGCTTCACATGGAAGCATGCTGAAATTACCCATGGCGATTGATTGAGCTTGCTGTTAAGGTGAAGAAACTCTGAAGTTTTATGCGCCTTTTCTGAAAGATCTCAGATGCAGTGCAGTGAGAAGCATCCGTGAGCCCTGTGAGGTGATTTTTCTGTTGGGCTTTCTGTCCGGACTAGCTGGCGGCCAGGGCTCGCGATTCATGACACACAACAATGCCAAGACAACCATCCTTGGGTTATCGATTCTGAAACAGGTCTTGTCGAAGGCGCGATGCAAGCATGCGGTGCACGAGCAAGACTAGATTGCACTTCAGAGTGCTGAAGGATCCGACAGCAATCTACTGGACTTACATCAACAATCGTGGAGTGGAGCTGGGGAGAAACGCCAAGAGCACAGAAGACCTCGCGGTGTTGCGACTCGCATGTCCCTCGGCTGCAAGAAGAGCGATGCCGGTCTGTGAGCGAGTGGCGGATAGTGGTGGGCCGTGACTGAAACGAGGCTTGTGCCGTGCTCAAACAGAGAAGGAGTCGGAAAACTTGTCGTGCTAACCCTGGCCCTTTCAGCTTTATGCTTGCAACGGCCGGTGGGCCTGGTCTTCGCAGGACCTCAGTGAGCTTCAGAGCTCATGGGATCAGCTCAGCAAGACTGACCGGAAAGAGATGATCAAGCATTTTTTGGCGGATGGTATCGTCTTCCGTGCAGTCGTCCTGGAGCCACCTGGGTTTGGAATGTTTTCTAGAAATTTGTAGCACGTGCTGTGACTGCTTGAGCAAAACTCGGCACGGCTGCAGCACAAGCGTGGAAAACTGAGGTTTCTGCCCTTATGCCTGGAGCGTGCCAAGAAGAATGCCTTAGCCCCCAGCAGCATGCTTGTTCCTGACATGCCAACTTTCTGTCAGAGTCTCCTGTCTCCGGTTTCATTCGGCAGGCATTTGTTACCGTCCCCACGTTGCTTGAGGAGCACCGGTTGCATGTTTTGTCGTATGGAGCTTGCAGCGTTCTAGATGGACACTGCACAGGTGTTGGTGGAGCTGTTGCGTGCCGTGCGTGCAACCGTATCTGGAGCAGGCTGTGAGGGCAAGAAAGAAAGACGGACAGAGATTCCCTTTCACAACCCAACCACAACTTGCTTCCCACAACTTTAATGCTGGTTCCGCATGACTTACTTCAATTTGCGCCGGTTGACCCCTCTCAGGGCAGATTGTATCTGTCGATCTTGCCGACTTTGCGGCTTTCATCTTGATGGTGCAGAACGGAATCTTGGCACATGACCCCCGCCGAAGGGCGAGCGGAAGTGCCACGAGTGATGGGTCGGAAGAGGATGAGTTTCAACAGAATCTTGAAGACATTCCTTTGCCATGGGGTTGGCAAAGCCCAGGATTTGTTTTCCAGACCTGCCTGTCCCGTTCCAAACTTCAAATTAAAGAGCCTCTTTTGCATTTGGACCACTTGGAGATTGGCACTTCGATGATCTGTAACGCATCAGCTTCACAGCTTTGGCCGATCCTGAGGAGGGCCGCTGTACTTTGGAAATGACGCAGGAAAACTGGCGAAGAGCGACTCAGCTTGTGAGCACCCCTTTGCGCAGATGGCCCAAACTGGCCCACGGTAGTTTGATGTACGCACATTCCACTCCGTTGAAGCAGAGGTCAGCGAGCCCCATACGGATGTCGTTCTGCTTGCCAACTCGGTCAGAGATCTCGTGCAGACACGAAAGCGCGAGAAGGCTGAGAAGGACCATAGCTCCAGCTACTTACCCTGTTAACAACCGACAGATTCCTGATATGGGATGTGCCGGCAGGAGGATACCGTGCAGCCCTTGGCGTTGGCGCCAGCCGTAATGAGCTGCGGCTCGTTGAAGTTATGCTCCTTTCGGCAGTCTCGAACTCGGGTGCGGTTTGCAGCCGAGGCCGCTTTTAGTCGACTTTGTGCGTACGCTGGAATGCTCAAAAACTGAGTTGGGCCCGACTTGGCTTGTGCACAAAACTCTCTGTGTTTAAGTTTCGGTGTATGTTAAACATACCCCGTTTGTCCTCGTGATGCATTGTACAGTTGCTGCGCTTGCGTGCTGTGTCTTCCAGATCAGAAGGTTTGGCTCCTCCCTGGCATGTCAGCAATTCATAATATTTGCGTTTTCCTCTTGGCACATGTACCTATTCGGAGAATTGTCCGGCTGCCGAGAACCGTAGAACACTTAACGCCGAAGGCGTTCAGAGACCGAGAAGCAGGAATTAGCTCGGCGCAGAGGTCAGCAAAGGGCTCCGATTTCGGAGTCTTGCGGAACATGATCTCGAGCGTTTCATCGGTGATCACGCCGGCATGCAGTGTGTACTGTAGCTCAACTAGAGGGGCAGCAGGTGGACGAAAGTCACAAGGGTCAGCAGCATAGGCGAAGGATAACAATTGCCCACTGCAGCGCGAGCCAGCTTGCAAGCATCTGAAACATGTAGCAGCAATGAAGCAGTGAGTCTTCGGTGGGTATTGTGGGGTGCCGGACACGGAGCCGTTGCCATGGCAGCAGAAGACATTCAGTCCGTGCTGTCAACGCGTGGCACCCTGAGAAAAGTGTAATCAACCAGTGTCATACTCGTCTGGGCAGGCAGGGTTCGCAATTTCGGACGTCTCGTCTTCAGGCTTTGCGGAAGCAGAAGGCGAGCTGCGCAAGTCCTTGGATCAGATCCACCTCCAGGTCGCCCAGCCGCCCAGCGAGACACAGAGTCTCAGAGAGATTCAGAGAGAGTACCTGTTCCCATGCAGCACCCCTTGCTCTGGTACAGATGGAATCGGTGCTTCACATCAGCGCCCAGCACATTCTGCCCTGCCCGCCCGCCCCCACACCCGAAGCAAAGAAAGAAGTAAGAGGGCGAGACGGAGAGAGAGCGTGGCTTGTACAGCCTATGCCTTGCAACATGCTCAGGAGTCCTACAGAGTTGAGGGTTTCGAAGTGCAGCTACATGTTGAGTTTTGCATTGCTCTACTCAGGAACTTAGACGACATTTGCAGGACATGAAAGGGCAAATTGCGCGGTGGTTAGGTTAGCCGGTGATAGTGCTGCAGGAAAGGAGGTCTGTTTTTGTTTTATGGTTGTTTCGTTCCTTGTGTTGCTGGCTTCCTTTCTGGTTAAGTTTGGCCTTTCGCTTGCTGTGTATTAGACATTCTAGTAGCTTTTTGCGCTTCACTGCTGGTGCTTTTGGGTTTTGCTCCACATGTCTGGTTGCCTTATTGCTGTCCGCTCTTTCTGGCTGTTGCTTTCTTGAGCAGTCTTGCAGCTTAGGGCCCAGGGTTGAGGGGGCCGTTTAGGGGCTGTCTCCCTGCCTCGCCTGCCTCGCCACGCCACACGGCCGCTTGCAGAAGAGATCTGTGCTGTGGTCAGGAACTCCTTTTTTTGGAGATCTGAGGTCATGCAGTATGCAGGGTTTGTAGTCCAGGCTGTCATAGACGGCTACACGAAATCCGTGGAAGCATTTCCGCCGATCGGATCCGCTTTAGACCGTGTGCGGCCAAAGTCGATAGCCCCAAACCTGTGAAGGGGTGGGACCCACAATGAGCAAGTGGGAAGAGCGGACAAGTTTTCCGGCACCGGCCGCCGGCCACCTGATCCGGCTTGGATCTCGACCGCTCTTTGTCTATCTGATACTGTACATGTCGAATCCGGAATCCTACAGTAGTAGGATGTAGTAGGCTATTTCGGGAGAACATGCATGGGCGCCGATTGTGTGGGGTCCGCGACAGTGGGATTTAGTGGGCCTGAAGAGAGACACAGTCTGTGTGGAGACTCGGCGTTTCACGAGCAGGTGCAGCAGCTCCAGAGCGGCATCGAGTCGGACCTTCTTCGGCTCCGGGAGAGCTCCGAGGAGCTGCAGGAGCACCGCGGTCGGATGCACCGACGTAGTCATCGACATAGCAAAGGCAGGTAGCAGTGAACGTCAAACTGCTTTCACGAAATCCCAACACATCGTCGCATCGTGTTCGGACTTCCGCGTTCCCCACTTCGCGAAGGCAGACGTCGGGACCATGACAAGGTCGTGTTCAACAGCGTTCGACGCACTCACAAATTCTGCTTGCGAATAGCAACTTTCCCGTTCAGGACCTGTCTCCGAACCATGGCAGCGAGCCGAACGAAATAAACGGCTTCAGCGGTGCAGAACTAGCGGACACCTGGCTTCTCGAAGACGACGTGCAGCAGCTACCAGGCGAAGACGGCTTTGGAAAGGTGCTTCCTGTGGGAGCTTTGGTTTTGCAGCAAACGGCCGAGATTCAGAATGGGAGGTCGCAGAAATTGAATCTCCGCCTGAACCACCACCTAATGGAGCTTTCTATGAAAGCTGGAGAGGCCGTTGGAAACTCCGGGAGAGAACGATGGAGGAATGCACTCGAGATCACTCGAACAAGGTCATCGACAAAGACCTACAGTAGCGAGTTTGAGCGGTGTGAGTCTTGCACAATCATCCCTCCAAATTCCAAGTTTCGGATTGCTTGGGACATGGCGAGTGCCGGCATGATCCTGATGGATGCCTTCCTCCTCCCCATTTGCCTTGCGTGGAACCTCACGCTGACGCCTTTTCCGACTCCCAATGTTGCCACCCACGTTGGCCTGCATGTTTTTGCATCTCTTTCTTTAGTTTTCTGGCCGGTTGAACCTCGGAGCAGCACTTATGACTTTTGAATTTTGGTGTTGTCAGTCAACATTGTAGTCTCGTGGCGATCGTGCTGAGTTTTGATGGCGAGCAACTGACCTGAGGACATCTATTTGAGTTTTACCACCGGCTTCTTTGTGCAAGGGGTCCTTCAAACAGCGCGTTCTGACCCTTGCTCGAAGTTCTGGTAGCTGCAGCCTGTTTCATGCCGGACATGAACTGATTTGTCAAGGCGATCGCCTCGCGGTACCTGCACACATGGTTCCTCTTTGACATTGGCCTGGTGGCGATCGACGTTTCGGCCGGGTTCATGATGCTACTCGAGGAGGCACGGATTCGGCAGAAGGTGGAATACTTGACGCATACCTGTGGACCTCAGATAGGCTTTCCCTCTGGCACAGGAGAACCAGTCTCAAGAATTTCTGCAATCCCTGCGCTCAGCCCGGTATCTTCGTCTGTTGCGAGACTTGGCCGCACCGTTGCACGGAATCCACGGAATCTGGGCAAACCAGGCACAGTGCATCATGCATGACCCGATGGCTCAGCATAGAACCGAGGAACGCTTCGCATTCTCCGGCTGTTGAAGGCCGGAAAGATCAATTTGTTGCTGGAGAATCTCGTGGTCTGCTCAGACGGTGTCAATCATCCAGCACTGCCCAGTGAAAAGTCGAAGCACTGAGGTGATCTCTACCGGTCGCCAGTGGCTCATCCTTGCCTTCACAGTTGGCCGCATGTTGCTAGCCATTGGGATGGTTGCCCACATTATGGCCTGCATCTGGTATGGCCTCGGGAAGGCACTCTTCGTGATGTCAGCCTGTGGTTAATCATATGTGACAGGGAGCTACAGCCTGAGATGTCGATAATGTAGGAGCCAAGAGGGCAAGTCTCCGCGTTGAGCGTGCTTATGGACTTGTAGTGATTCCAACCGTCAGTAACTCTGGTCCCATGCCGGCACTCCATCTTCTGCAGGCGGTTTCCGAGACGAGCGACATCGACAGCTGGATACTTGGAATGCGCAAAGCTTCCAAAGAAGACCTGCCAAGCACTTGCCGGAGCCGCTTGTAATGTGCAAAGACGAGCAATATTTCACCTTCGAGTTCTAAGGATCGAACTGGCTTTAATCACGAACTCTACCGGGTATGTGCAGTATGTCCATTCCATCGGATGGATTCTGCTGCCTCCAGCACCGCCCACACTGGAACCAGACTCTTGTCAAGGATGCACTCCATCACTCCATATTTTACCCTGATTATGCCCGAATTGGCAGCCATCATGAGCATTGCACTCAAAATGGCGCTGCACATCTCGATTTGCAGAAGCATACTATCCAGGACAGTGGTTTGGAGCACTTTGTTTCCCTGATGCTTTTCGTGACAACAGCCGCAAGGCTGCACCTGCTGGATAAGTGCAGATCGCAGAGGGCGTGTCCTGAAGATGGTTTGAAAAGACACCGTTCTCAAGCTCCAAGGTTTTGGTGATTGGATCTGCGCTGTCGATCTTGACCGGAACTCTCCAAGAGATTCGCCAGGTTAACAACGAACGCAGCAGAGCCTGGATCTGCATCTGGCCGCTGCTTAGTAATGACTCACATTTTCGTTCATGGTCGGTCGCGCGGAATGCGCTTCGATGACATGCGGTCGTCCAGGAAAGCGCCGCGAGTTGCGCATTTTTCTCCAGACCAAATCTGTTCCAACAGAGCTGCTTGGCTGTGTAGGCATCTTTTTGTGCTGAGCTTTCGCAATGACTGGAGCTCGTCACTACTTTCATTTCACCGCCCTTTCCAAGATTTCGATGGCAGGGCAACGGCGAACTCTGATTTCTTAGGGACAGCATGGCTTAGGTGTCAGCCTGGTGGTTGTTGGTCTTTATAACCGAAGCAGTGATTTACCTCCAAGTCTTGAGTTCAAAATAGGTCACAAAAAACGCTACGGTCGCTTTTGCGTGGTGTCGCTGTGCCGGCTGTTCGCGCCGGTTCTCAGAAGACCACATCTCTGCAAGCAAGGAACAGCCCCGTCCCCGTTAGCCCCTCAGGATGGCCCAGAGGCCATCCTGAGGCACCTAAACGGCTGCGGTGACGATTCGAGATGGACTTTGGCTTGCAATGTCTGACAGGTGTGAAGGCGCACAGATGAGAATCACATTCATTGATTTTTATGTAGTTGTTAGTGCTACATGGTATTTGCTTCCTGCTAGCTGGACCGCATAGGGGAGCGTCGGCAGGCGGATCGAAGTCCAACTTTTGCATGCTGGTTCCGGGCTGTGCCTCATCAGGCTTCTCATGCG